TCAAAAAAAGAAAACGTTAACATCCCTAACCATAATAGCATTTTTTAATACAAGGAAAATTATTACAAATTAAACATCTAAAAGAGTATAACAAGCAAAATATTTTGCTTGTAAACAACACGTTTTATCATAAAACAAAAGAAATATTAAATATTCGTTATTTTACTGGACTAAAAGCTTTTCGATATTTACAAACAAGATAAGTCTTCAGTTTAAACCATAAAAAATACACAAATCGTAAAAGAATACCTTAATATGCCTTAGGCAAAGTCACAACACAGGTATCTTATCAAATATCAAAGTTTAACTGACTATAAAAGTGTTTAGTGTACAGCAGACAGTATTGTTTCTAAAACTAAGTTTACAATTTATCAAGGATGTAATGCAAGAAAAGTTATTTCTGAAGTGTACGCATCTTTTGTACTGCAGTGTACTGTCTCTGGGCGGTAATGTGAACAGAAGACAGATGGGATCCATATTTCACATAAAAAATCAATCAATTATTCTGGGCATAGGAAACTATTATGTGAATCATCAAAATTATCAAATTTAATACTTTTAACCTCCTCGGATACTAAACGAACACTGATGCATTTATTCTTGTTTACAAATTCCGCCCAAAGAGAACTGGTTTCAATAAGTACGCAGAGTATACACGACCGCAATTAACTTTCCTTGCATTACACCCTTGCAATTTATAACCGGTTTCGTTTCTGTGAAACAAACTCAACTATACTCCGTCCGTAGGGGCTTCACAGCTTTACTCCAGGATATTCCACTTAAAATTGTATTTAATGCTTCAAGATTTGAGTCGGTGCTCAATTAAAACTGGTAATTGGCGGATTTGAGACGCGGCAAAATTCATCAAATTCGGACTCAGTTGTGATAATACACCAATAAAAAGATTATATAAGCTATTTATTCAAACTAGAAAACTAGAAAACTTCAACCTTAAGGCCGGTGAAGTGCATGCGGACAACTTCTTTGGGTGGGGCAAACTGCCTTAAAGTGTTATCTATTTAAACACAATGTTTCACAAAAAAAGCAATGTTAAAACATTAAAAATTATTGGTTGACATATATTAAATACACATTTTGTTCCGCTAGCACACGCAGCATACTTAGAGTCTGTGAAATACCCCTGTTCTCTGGGGAGATCCTATTCGCCCCTGTAACGTATAGACGTTCTGTACAAGTGTTTTCAGAAAAAGTTGAAGATAAAGAACCTGTTTTCTACCGACAGCTTTTTGTGTACTGCACAGAAGCAGCACACACGCGTTCGTTGTTTATAGTTTTTACAGTATATTTGTCGGACTTAGATTTAGTTGTATTATAAAATGTTTTCGTGATTATTTTGTGCTGAAATCGGCGGATAACTGTGGTAAATATGTTTTTAAATATTAAAATGTCTTTTGTGTTCTTTGTATTGGATATATATATATGATTAATATGGGCGGTTCACAGTTTTTTAATGCCTGATGGGTATGGTGTTTTGTCCGATGGAAAATGATTTGTATTATACTCATCAATGCTTTTTCTGTGATGCTAAAAAAGTTTTATTTTTTGCCCAGACTGAAGTGCTGTTCCTCAATAAAACTTGAAGCCCTTTCCTGTGTGTTTTATTCATCATGAGAAGAAGCGAGAGTAGAGGTGCTTACGGTTCGACCCAAAGAAACTCAGCACGGTATTGATTTTGTATAAACCAGGGCAACGCCAGTCGCGTAACACATTTAGTTCTTAAATGTATTAATTAAATGGGGTAAAAGGAAAAAAGGTTATTTACTCTTGAATTTCATATTCCTTTCATATTATCAAACAATTAATATTTACTCGAGACATAGATCATTTTTAGTGTCTTTTTTCAATCGAAATACATCAATAAAAATTGGAAAATCTCATAACATTGCTTTTTATGTCTTACATTGTGTTAAAATGGTTAAAACTTTAGAGGGAGTCCGCCCCATACAGGAGTCCGCTCCACGCGTGACACCGGTAAAGTTAAGGAAACAAGTATAATAATAAAACTTTAGAGGGAGTCCGCCCCATACAGGAGTCCGCTCCACGCGTGACACCGGTAAAGTTAAGGAAACAAGCATAATAATAAAACAATGTAAGTTCATCAAAATCAAGGTAAAATAACACCCCCTTCCCCCTACTTTAAAAAAATCCAGTTACAACCCTGAACGTAATATACAGAAGAAAGTAGCCTCAGTTTTTATTAAAGAACTATCTCAAAACCTCGATTCCAGAAGGAAGTGGGGTTCATACAGTTCACAAACTGCAGGGCCTGCAGCTGTTTTTTTTAAACTTCGATTTTGGCATACATTTAGATAAAATATTTAGTAGGCATTTTCCCGTGATCTGAGAGAGATATCTTCTACAAAACATATCAGCACATAAAATGTAGGAAATACCTACTCCATAACAATGTACTCGAGAAGTATCTATCCAGGTCTACTCGTTACCAAGATCAACCAGGCTTAACTCCCCAGTTCTAAAGGACACACAGTCCAATGAAATTTTTACACAGGCAATTTCTCAACCAGATTTCAATCCACGGTTATAGATGACACACAGGCCAAATTCTCAACCAGGCTACACTCCCTGGTTCTAAAGGACACACAGTACAATGAAATTTTTACACAGGCAATTTATCAACCAGATTTTAATCCACGGTTATAGATGACACACAGGCCAAATCTTAACCAGGTTACACTCCCTGGTTCTAAAGGTCACACAATCGCATGATTTGAGCTAATCATGTGAAGTATTGGATTGAAACGCAGTTTCAATGAATAATCTCATTATCTTTAAGTTTTAAAAAATTAAATCATTTATGACAAACAACATACTTTACAGAGTATTATGTTTATCCGCTTTTTTCTACAGACATATCAATGAACAAAACATATCAAGATACAAAACATATCAATGAACAAAACATATCAAGATACAAAACAATCATAACAAAACATATCATATAACGAAATATATCAAAAACGAAACATATCAAAGACATTACATATTAAATGAAAAACTTATCAAAATTTTTTTTTTTAACTTATGAACCTGCAAAAGATCCCTCTCAGCAAAACCAACTCTGCACAGATTAGGAGTAAAATAATTTTCACATTATTTTATTGAAATTTAATACTCTTTTTTATTTCTATCGTTATTACATTATTACATTATTATGAAACTGATTTGAAAGATTTCTTCTCGGATTTTCTATTTACCAATTTGAACATTTTAAAAATTTCCTTGAAAAATTCATCTTTCGCAATCTATACAATTTTCTCATCTCATTCAACTTAACTTTTTGCAATCAATTACAATCAAGATTAGAATTTCAACTATTGAATAGTTGAGAAGTTTTGTATACAAATTGATAAATATTTTTGTTTTGTTCTTGATATGTTTTGATTTAATATGTTTGTTGACTTGAAAAGTCACTATAATAAAATAAAGAGATCTAAAATGGATATTTCTAACATTTATTTAAAAAACGGGTGTTTTTTGATATTTTTGTTTAAGGCGGAGTTAAAATTGGTTGATTTAGAAATTAACAAAGGAATTAATGCTGGATATTAGATGGCGCTTCATGGAAGTGTTGTAGAGCTTCATGTTGGTGGAGCAGATCCGGGAACTGGGACAACAGGGCTTTTCAATGGATCGAAGGCAATGCAACTCGAGATAGCGGAAACTTCGGTCAGATCCGTTTTAGTTTCCTAAGTAAGCTTCTCAAGAAGTTAATAGGGAGATCAGAGGTGAAAGCACGCCTGCTGTTAGTTCAGTATCTGCATCATCAGCCTGAAGGAGTCATGGGGGGTGATGTAGAGCTTCATGTTGGTGGGGCAGATCAACAGGTGCGTTGCGCTGAGTATCTGCATCATCATCATGAAGGAGCCAGGGTTGAGACGGAGTTGTGAATGTCTTGAGTGTTTATAGCTGACTGCCGGGGCTGGGATCTGTAGAAGGGGGGGGGGGGGGAAGAAGGGGGGGTTACATGTGGGCTTCATGGCGGAAATGGATCTTGAGTATACATACATCTAGAGAAAAGGCTACGGCATTTGAGTCGGAAAAATCGTCTTCCTTATATTTTCGAATTTGTGTTAACAATGTTATTTGTTGCTGATATGTTTTGAAGTTTGACATGTTTCGTAGTTTGATATGGTTTGTAGTTGATAAGTTTTGTAGTTAGATATGTCCTGTTTGATATGCTTTGATTTAATATGTTTTGTTTTGATATGTTTCGTTGGGAACTTGGGATACGTTTAGTGATGATATTTTTTGTGCTCCAAGAATGTAAACCAAAAACAAGAAAGGAAACACTGGAAAAAGAACTTATTTTAAAGAAAATGTAAAAAAACTACAGTTTTTCTACAGGCTATGGGGCCGAGCGCAGCGGCAAGAAAAGGCTATCTGTTTTATAATTCAACGCGACTTGCACTCTGCGTACGTACGTAACTTTCTTGAGCTTCTGTAAAAAAAAACAGCTTTTTATAAAGGAATGTACTATTCACATTTCCTACAATAATGAATAATAATAATATTGATCCCTGCAATTCAAATAGTTAAGGTGAAATTAATATTTGATAAACGGATTATTCAAATATGTTGTAATAATTTTAAAGTTTGGTATCTGCTTAGTTGAGCACAAATTCAGGAGAATATATATAAAATTAGAAATCCACCAAAAACAACTTGAATATTTACAAATTATTTTATGGTTTCGGAATGTGAAAAAGTATTCTAAAATAATTAAAAGAAAAAAGCGGAACCGGTTCCGTTAAATTTCCGTTTTTTATATGGATTAGCTCTGGATCCGGATAAAATCTGAATCAGGATTAGCTTTGAATCCGGATCAACTCTGTGCTCAATCAAATTTTTGAGAACAACTGTAAAAAGTTATATCACAAAAAAAAATATCCAATTAAATATATTTCTTTTTAAATTATGCAAAACATTTACACATTAACGCATTAAAAAAAATGTTTACCTCAATTTTTTACAAATTATATTAAACATTTATGTGAACAATTAATGAACATACATTTTTAAACAATAATCTGTTGAAATTACTTTCGATAATTCTTGCAGTTCAAGCTTGATAATCGTAAATGTACCTAAATCAACCTAAGTGGGGATTAGAATTTTTTCTAGGGTTTTAAAGTATTAACTCGGAGAATTAGGATTTTATTTTTTGTGTGCAAATTTTGTTTCACTATAGAAACCTCAGGTAAGTCTTTGGTTTAGGTTGGTAACTATTTTTTTTATATTTCTATAACTGTAAATAGTTTTACTGCAGGGCCCAGTTTTTATAAAAAGAAATATCACCAACATAAACCAAAGTCTCTTATTCCATTACAAACAATTGATAAAAGAAATATATTTTTCATTGTTTTTCTCTTTTATTTTTTCCTTTAGAATATTAGAATTAAGATTTTTTTATCTTATAATTATAATTATTATTTCAGTTTTAAAACTTCTTTGTTACAGTTTTATAAGATGTTTTAATTTTGGTTAAATTCAACGTGGACTCAAACTTTCAAATTGAATATCACATTTTAGAGACTAACATTTGTCTTTTAGAGATTTGATCGCTGCAGCATTCTTGATATAACAGCTGAGATTTAAACAGCTGTGGTACACTGTGAAGTGCCGTCCTCGCTGTTGTTATTTTCTGGAACTAAACATGTGACAGCTTGAGGGTCTACTGCAGTCACGGTAACACTACGACCAAACCGGATTTCAGGTAGAAGCGCCCACAAGCATTCCCTGTACAAAAACCGGTTTAGCAACGGTTTCAATTCTCAGCTAGAAAAGAATTGAGTCTTTCGAACAAACTCAATTTTTATGATCCCTTTATCTTTGCCACCTTTAAACTTTTGATATTTCAAACACAGATTATTTGTTCCCTCAGACTTAGAATGGGATTGCAAAGTTATAGGATTTAGAAAATCAGAGTTTGTGGCAAAGACTGAATTTCTTTACAGGGAGTGTTCGCGAAAAATGAAAACGTATAGTGCTGGAAGGGAACTCATGGACAAACTTTTAGATTTATGAACATTCCTGGCTGCGCAAATGAGGTATCCTGCGTCTTAGGTTTATCCTTTAGTGGGAATAGGCATCATAATCACAGAGTCAATACACTTAAAAGTTTTACCCTCAGGATACAGAATTCAAAATCAAAGTAAAATACGCATTATGTGAGGTGAAAACTAAATTAGACACCCTCCTCTTGGCGCAGTGTTTTTTAATTAATTCTGAATTAATTAATTCAAAATCTTTAATTGGAATTATTAGCAGTTGAATCCCATCTTCCGAAGTTCAATTGTTAAAATTTAAAAAAGCTCAAGGGTGATCTAGCCACATTGTATTCCATTTTTACAAAGATTATTTGAGAAAAAGAAGATTTTTTTTATTTTCTGCAAATATTCTTATTTGAATAGAAACGTTTATAGTTCAATTGGTTATTATTATAAAGCAAATAACAGATTTTTCTACATTTTGCCTCATAACTTTAGAGAATATTACAGGTAAGGAGTGGACTGTAAATAAAGTTTGTAAACGGAGGTAACCTATCCCACCCCCGGCTGCCATTTGCCTCCAAGATTTGCTATGCAGTACCTAGACTCTGCTATTCAGTGTAAATTTCATACTTAAAAGGAAGATAATAAGAAAAAAATCAAAAGTGAATTCGACAGATTTGTTAAAATCTTTGATTTAAGCGATACCTTTCTTATTTTAACAAATCAAATCGAATTAATTCATTTTTGAATTTGTTTTCTTAAAATCTGGGAGGCTCTTGGCGGCCGGGGGTTCCCTCCCTAGTCCAACAGATGACCTATAGAATTGGTCATTGTTTAGTTCGATTTCAATGTTCTTTGGGTTTTAGGAGGATCCATAACTAGGGTTTCCATTCGCAAAACTTTTGCGCAATTTTTGCGGAACGAAACGCAATTCTTTGCGCATCAATTTTGCGCGAAAAAACAACAATTTGCGCAATCATTCGCAAAAGTCATTTCGCGCAAAATTGCCCTATTCCGCTTTTGCGAAACTCAAGTTTTGCGCAATTCCGCAACAAGAGTTTTGCGCAAATCAGCAATTCCGCAATTTCGTAAAAATCAAACGGTTGGTGACGGTGTGTGTTTCTTAGAATTCAATTCTGGAAAAATCTTGTTTTGGAATGTCTTCCTATTGGTCACTTTTACATAATTGACCAATGACAATTAAGAAGAGTTCAAATCTTTTGGACATGCATATTTCCTAAAAGTAGATTCTTCAGGCATTGGTTACTTTCTTGCATTATTTTATATGAAATCAAAAAGATTTCAGAAATTTGATTAAAAAAATTTAAGAATACAATTCATACTCATGATTAAGCAAAGCTTTTAAGGCCGGGTCACTAGAAATTATTTAATAGGATTAAAATATTGCAAAGTTTCACACTCTCTAATTTCTATTTTATTAATTTTGGTCCCTTAATTTAAACTTTTTGTAACTGGAAGTAACCAATTGAGTGTAGTATAATCGTTATCATACTCGTATGTTAATATTTTTTTTTGTATATGGAATAAATCTTCAGTTGTTTAATTCTAAGCTTAGAATATCAATTTTTGACAATGTGCCTAAAAAGTTACATTTTGCGTAAAACTTGCGGTTTTGCGCAAAAACTTGCGGTTTTGCGCAAATTGCGCAAAAAAATTGCGCAAAACTAAAATTTCGTTTCATGCGTAACTTTCGCAAAAAATATTTCCGGTTTTGCGCAAATTGCGCAAAATAAATAGCGCAAAACCGCGCAAAACTCATTGCGTTTCATGCGCAAAAATAGCGCAAAAGTTCGCAAAAATCAAATTTGCGTGAAAATTGCGCAAATTTTGCGCAAAAGATTTAGCCATTTCGTGGAAACCCTATCCATAACAATCGGCGAAGTTTCACAATTCAAAACTTTAGTCCCTACAAGGTTTGTTAGAAGATATAATTTTAATACAGTGGTAGGCGATTGTATTAATACAATGAAGACGACTTTCGATTTCCATTTTGATTCATATAATCTGTTTAACAGCATGAATACACATAAACATAAAAAACAATTGAAGCTGTCAATTAATAAAAACTTCTCTTTGATTAATTGTAAACTTGTAATTCTAAAAATTAAAACTTAAAATAAAAAAGTCGTCTTCATTGTATTGATATAATTGCCTACCACTGTAGAATACACTTTAAGGTTCAATTCTTATAATTTAATGGAGTCTTCTGAACGTAATAAACCCGACGCTTAACGCATTATAGAAATTCAAGGGTAAAAACTCAATTCCGTATTTTTAAAAGTAAAATAATAATAAGGTTGTAAGCTCTCAAGCAAAAATCTATGAGAATTTTGTCAATTACTTCTTAAAAACCAAAGCACACTTCAAAGTCGACCATGTCCTAAAAATCGATAAGACTTTTGAGATTTTTCTCTCAACAATTATTTTTCAAAGACTATTCTACATCCTCTGGGCACTGATCTAGTTAAAAAATAAATTGAGTTCTTGCCACAAACTTTTGTTTTTAAAACCTTATAGCTTTATACAACCCAATGTCGTAGACCTTTGATATGACCTATGAATTCTGTTAGATCAAATAATCTAATTTTAAAATATCAAAGGTTTGAAGCATCAGGTTGCAAAGATATAATGATTAGAAATTTTGAGTTTGTGTCAAATTCCTTGGTGAGATATGCCCATATTTGTGGGGGTCACAATGTTTTAAACATTTTGTTTTCACCATTAAAGGGGACTAAGTCTCGGCCACTCTAACCCTTAACAAACGTTAAAACTATACAATCATTACACATGATACACTGCTAATTTCGTTTAAATTTAATATTTAATATTAAAGAGACACAAACGAATTTTAATCGGCTAAAGAGTTTGGAATTTTGAATTTTGATGAGCCAGTTGTGGACCATGATGAGCTGGGAGCTGCCGACCATAGCAGTGTTGAAGGGTATGCACTGTTCAAGCGGATCCTATCAACTTATGGGACTGAGTCCTATTGACTATATACTTTTAGCTATAGTATTCATTCAAATCTAACATATTTCACGCAATCAAGGTTGTATAATAAGGTTGTGTACTCTCGATGCACCCCAATGTACGGAAAATGTCGTCTCCTAAGATATATAGATAAAAACTTCATATGACGACACTTTCGCCTCTATGATCAGTGACGTGATATGAGGTCTTTATCTATCTATCTTAGGAGACGGCATTTTCCGTACATTGGAACGCTTCCTGAGTAGCCAACCTAATTTTACAACCTTGATCACAATGCTTGTATGAGGACGGATTACCTGAACCTGGATCCAACCATGCAGTAAATAACAAAGTTGATTGACGAGTTCATTACAACCAGGAATCTAGAAATAAAGAGTTTATTACAACCAGGAATCTAGAAATAAAAGTTTATTACAGCCAGGAATCTAGAAATAAAGAGCTTATTACAACCAGGAATCGAGAAATAAAGAGTTTATTACAACCAGGAATCTAGAAATACAAAGTTTACTACAACCTGGAATCTAGAAATAAAGAGATTATTACAACCAGGAATCTAGAAATACAAAGTTTACTACAACCTGGAGTCTAGAAATAAAGAGTTTATTACAGCCAGGAATCTAGAAATAAAGAGCTTATTACAACCTGGAATCTAGAAATAAAAAGTTTATTACAACCAGGAATCTAGAAATACAAAGTTTACTATAACCTGGAATCTAGAAATAAAGAGTTTATTACAACCAGGAATCTAGAAATAAAAGTTTATTACAGCCAGGAATCTAGAAATAAACGAGTTTATTACAACCAGGAATCTAGAAATAAAAGTTTATTACAGCCAGGAATCTAGAAATAAAGAGCTTATTACAACCTGGAATCTAGAAATAAAAAGTTTATTACAACCAGGAATCTAGAAATAAAGAGCTTATTACAACCAGGAATCTAGAGATGAAAAGCTTATTACAACCAGGAATCTAGAAATAAAAAGCTTATTACAACCAGTAAATCTAGAAATGAAGAGTTTATTACAACCAGGAATCTAAAAAGAAAGAGTTTATTACAACCAGGAATCTAGAATGAAAGAGATTATTACTACCAGGAATCTAGAAATAAAGAGTTCATTACAACCAGGAATCTAGAAAGAAAGAGCTTATTACAACCAGGAATCTAGAAGTGAGCTTATTACAACCAGGAATCTAGAAGTGAGCTTATTACAACCAGGAATCTAGGAAGAAAGAGCTTATTACAACCAGGAATCTAAAAAGAAAGAGCTTATTACAACCAGGAATCTAGGAAGAAAGAGTTTATTACAACCAGGAATCTAGAAATAAAGAGCTTATTACAACCAGGAATCTAGAAATAAAGAGTTTATAACAAACAGGAATCTAGAAATAAAAAGTTTATTACAAACAGGAATCTAGAAATAAAAAGTTTATTACAACCAGGAATCTAGATATAAAAAGTCTATTATACAATCAGGAATCTGGAAAGGTCGTCTTTCTTGTCTATTGAAGACCTTGTCTACTAGTATAAAATAGAAGTTTGTCCTCTTGGAAGCCAATTTAAGACGTCCTCAGCCGTCTCCGGTTCTGATAGGGTATAACTGAGAAGTATGCCGTACAAACAATGGAGAAAATATTCAGTACAATTGAGAAGTATATAGTTTAATTGAGAAGTATACAGTATAATTGAGAAGTATACAGTATAATTGAGAAGTATGCAGTATAATTGAGAAGTATGTAGTATAATTGAGAAGTATACAGGATAATTGAGAAGTATACAGTATAATTGAGAAGTATACAATATAATTGAGAAGTATACAGTATAATTGAGAAGTATACAGTATAATTGAGAAGTATGCAGTATAATTGAGAAGGAAGTATGCAGTAAAATTGAGAAGTATGCAGTATAATTGAGAAGTATGCAGTATAATTGAGAAGTATGCAGTATAATTGAGAAGAAGTATGAAGTATAATTGAGAAGCATTCAGTATAATTGAGAAGTATGCAGTATAATTGAGAAGTATGCAGTATAATTGAGAAGTATACAGTGTAATTTACACTTGTAATGTTTACTTGGGAAGCTTGTTTGGTAAAAATTACTTTTTGGTCCTAATTTGAATTATATATTTTTGGTCCTAATTGGAATTATATATATTTTTGGTCCTAATTTGAATTATATATTTTTGGTCCTAATTTGAATTATATATTTTTGGTCCTAATTTGAATTATATATTTTTGGTCCTTATTTGAATTATCATATTTTTGGGCATTATTTGAATTATATATATTTTTGGTCCTAATTTGAATTATATATTTTTATTCCTGAATTCATAAAGTAAATTATCAATGCATAATGTTTTCGTAATTTAGAAAATTCTCAAAACATTTATTAATATTTCAAAGTAAATCCGTCCTGATCTAACCTGACAAATATATCTGCAATCCACTGTCTATAGTCTGGATTGTACGGACAGCTTAGTGTGTTGCATCTGTTTATATTTGGTATCAAAGCAACCTAGAAGAAAACATATTTAAAGGGAATATAAGGCGTAATTTCGAGTGTGTTGTATCTGTTTATATTTGGTATCAAAGCAACCTAGAACAAAACATATTTAAAGGGAATATAAGACGTAGTTTCAAGTGTGTTGCATCTATTTATATTTGGTATCAAAGCAACCTAGAAAACATATTTAAAGGGTTGCATGTAAGATCAACACTCTGTCAAAGTAATAATGAGGAATATTTCGTTGTTTTTTTAAATTCAAATTTTTTACAATTATTTTCATTCTTTCTGGCCAGGGGCATACATCCTCAAGTCACTTTTACGGAGTAATCACTAATTGATTCGGATTCTTAATAACAGCTAACCAGGCTTGTTAATAAGGACTATATATTTAAAGCTGTCAGTAGCAAAATCTTGATCCAGGTAGGTAAAAACTCTCCATTCTACAGGTTAATACGTTAAAAGATAAATGCAGGCTTTTAATTGTACTTGTAGTTCCGTTTTTTTTCTTTTCCATTTATGTGCAGGGGTGTACACAGGATATACACCCCTGGTTAAAGTTTCTCTACAGCGCAGACAAGTTAAAGAATTAATTACAAAGTTTTACATCAAACTTTATTATGGCTAAACTTTCGATAATTTAAAAAATTTTCGATCCAATTTCATAAACAGATTTTAGTACCAAACACAAAGCAATTATGATCATTCTGATAGATCTTAACTACCTCGGATCTAATTAACTATGCTAAAAATATTATAAGTTTACAACCTCAGTGGCCGAATTTAAAGAATTTGAGCGGCGGTTTAAATTTAAGCCGCGGTTTAAATATGGTTGGTTCCACTGAAAATTGTATCAAATGTTTCAAGATTTAAGCCGGCACTAAATTTAAACCGGGTTTTGGTGGATTTTGGCGGATTTAAACCGCGGCTCAAATTCTTTAAATTCCATCTCAGGTTGCAAATATATAGGCAGTATAAAATTTGAATTTTGAATTTTCGAGTTTATTTCTTCCAAAAATTATACATTTTACTTGCAAAGTGAAACTTGTAAACGTAATATTTCAAGTGACCCTATATATATGAAGACTGGAGTAGTCTGATTCTGATCTGTACCCTTTAAACCTTTATTTAAGAAACAATATATATATATAAAGACTGGAGTAATCTGATTCTGATCTGTACCCTTTAAACCTTTATTTACATAACAATATATATATAAAGACTGGAGTAGTCTGATTCTGATCTGTACCCTTTAAACCTTTATTTAAGTAACAATATATATATAAAGACTGGAGTAGTCTGATTCTGATCTGTACCCTTTAAACCTTTATTTAAGTAACAATGAGGAAGATACCGTAGAGATATTAATGATCACAAGCGTTTCTGTGACTAAAATAATTTTCATTATTGAGCAGAGAATTTGTATTTACCTCATAAAGTCCTAAAGAAAGCCGAGGCAGGTTTAGAATTAAGAATATGAGGACTAGAGCCATCATAGTTCTTGCCATTGCTAGATCAGAAGGATTGTTGGCTGAACCCTGGCGACGAGAAGCAAGAAATATCCTGAAATTAAAATATGAAAAAATCTTTTGTTTAGTTATTTTTTTTCAAAAATACAATCCTAATAATTTTAATCGATTTAAGACTTTAAAATTCCCAGTGACCTTTGAAATAGTTATCAGCATTCATGAAAGGCAACCTCATTCAAGAAATAAATAGTAGTCACAAAATAGCCCTAGTCCTACCATTTCCATTTTTTCTTTTAAAAATACTAGAAATATTCAGAAGTTGTTAAAATTTCTATTTAAACTTTTAAAACCATTTCTAATTCTGAACAAAATCTCCGATAATTATGATAATTATTGCTAAAATGAGGTTGCCTATGAAATATGCCACAAACTATTTCTAAGGTCAAAGACGACTTTGTAGTTTTCAATTAATTAAGATTATATCGATTTATTAAGAATATGACCGTACTATTTTTATTGACACTGTTAGTGTTCTCATATGAATCGCCTCTCTCTCCTCGCTAAAATCTTGAGTTTTCTTTCATTTTGTTTGTTTTAGTAAGATTACATAAACAGGTTTAAAAGGCACACCTACATTGTGAATCTAAGTTGTATTTTTTTTTAATTTGGAGGGATATCTAAAACTACGTTGAATATCCCTTTAAGATACGTTCAGATTTGTATTTACAATAAAGTCTAAGTCCCAGAATAGTTTTCAAGTTGTTAAAATTGAAAGGTATTTTTTTCATTATTAAAAATGCAGACTTGAAAAATGCATTAAAATTTTTTATCTATAATCCTTAATTTTGTGGTTTTTCATGCATTTTATTTTTTTTAGTTTTTTTTTTAATTAGTTAAAATTTTGTTTAAAATATTTATTTTTCTGACCTGTAGTTGAGAACAGCTAGAGATATGAACGGAAGGATACACGTGGTACAAACCGGATGGAAGATTTGAGAATAGATTCCGGTCTGTATATACATAGGATCCGCCTACAATAGTATGGTCGTATATACATAGAATCCGCCTACAATAGTATGGTCGTATATACATTGGATCCGCCTACAATAGTATGGTCGTATATACATAGGATCCGCCTACAATAGTATGGTCGTATATACATAGGATCTGCCTACAATATTATGGTCGTATATACATAGGATCTGCCTACAATAGTATGGTCATATATACATAGGATCCGCCTACAGTAGCATAGTTGTATATACATAGGATCCGCCTGTAGATGTATAGTTGTATATACATAGGATCCAACTATAACAGTAATATATTCTAGTAGTATATACATAGGATCCGTCTACAGTAGTATAGTTGTATTAATATAGGATCCGCCAACAGTGATATAGTTGTATATAAAAAAGATCAGCCTTCAGTAGTATAGTTGTATTTACGTAGGATCCGCCTACAGTAGTATAGTTGTATTTACGAAGGATCCGCATACAGCAGTATTTACAAAGAATCTATGAAGGGTGCTATAGGGTTCAGTTAAAATGTTTTTTTTCTTTCATTTTTATAAATTAAATGGTACGAGTCACATGGAATAAATCTATATGTTAATCTTTCTCTCTTTTCATCACCCGTACGTCTGCAGATTCTTAATTTTTCTAACTCCTTTTTGCCAGGCTATTTTTTGCACTGTTTTTTTTTGCAGCGAAAAGAATTTTTTTAATTAAAAGTGTTTAAGGAAGAAAACTAATCAAAAAGTTAAAAAGATTTTTCGAACCATCATTTACCATAAAGTTTAAACTTATTTTAACATGAAAAAGTGGTTTTCTAATCTGAATTCAGCATGCATCAAATTTTAAAGAAAACTGAGGTAGAGGCTTTGAATAAAAATTTTATGTGAATTGTTAGATTTAAAGAAAAGTGTTGATATAAAATTTTTTAAAATTTTTTAATTTCACAGTTTCCTAATATACATAATTGTAATCTGACCATAGCTGCTGAGAGTCATCAAAAAAGATTGATATTTTATGCTAAATCATTATTATACATTGCATATTGTATACAGTCAGAAAGAACTTTCCAACAAACTTTTTAAAAAACCTGGTCATTTTTCGAATCTTTCAAATTTTATACAAAATTGTTTAAATGATTTTAAATACAAAAATAATTGTAGATATTTTGTAATTTTTATTAAAGAGTGGAGTGAGCAATATTTGTCGAAAGTTTAGCTGTTCAAATCTAATTATATTTTTGTTTGGTACAGTACACTGTACAGAACACTGTACACTGTACTGTACACTGTACTGTACACTGTACTGTTAACTGTAGTGTACACTGTACTGTACACTGTACTGTACACTGTACTGTTAACTGTAGTGTACACTGTACTGTACACTGTACTGTACACTGTACTGTACACTGTACTGTACACTGTACTGTACACTGTACTGTACACTGTACTGTACACTGTACACTTTACTGTACACTTTACTGTACACTTTACTGTACACTGTACTGTACACTGTACTGTACACTGTACTGTACACTGTACTGTACACTGTACTGTAAACTGTACTGTACACAGTAAAAGGTTGAGATGGAAAGTATAGAGATGAACATTAACTTGTCAAACTATTCCTATTCCATCAATATTATAACTTCAAGAGCAAACTTTTACGAAGAAGGACTTAATGCATCAAATACAGATAAACATGAAGGTTTATTTTAAAAACACTGCTTTAAATAAAATTATCTAAAACTTTTGTAGAGTTATATTTCTTGAAATGCCCAATCTAAAGATTAAGGTGATATTTCCTTTAGCAAGTGATAAACAAATCTCTGGTACTTTGCCTGGGGTTTCTCCCAATTAAATCCCCTGAAAGTGAAAACAAAATTTCCAAAGAGATTTGAATTGGTTCTGGTATTGGCATCAAACGTCTTCTTCTACTAAAGCCAGGATTTTTTATATATCTTAGTTAAATAACGTTATTATCTGGTTATTGCATTTAACCTATTTCCAACATATATGCAATCACTTTCCCAGTAATATTGTTACATAAAAACTATATAATAAAAGCTCAAGCAACATTAAGACTTTTAATAGAAAAATAGCATATTTTCTTTGGAGGAAACATGATACAGCCTACAGGGTTTACCCACAAAGAATGAGACGTTAAAGACGACATGAAACTTTTCAAATATATCAATTCCAATTTGAAATTAAGTCGGCTGCCTTGACTGCCTTAAATATAGTCTTCTTGTGGCCTTTTAGTGACTGGAAAAAGAAAGAAACAAGTTTACAGTTACAGCGAGAATCATCAGTATAAGACTGACAGTATAAATTCATCACGGTCGTTTCTGAAGTCTCATCCTTTGTGGATAAAAGTTTAAGGGTACCGTTGTGAATTGGTTCTCTTTAAATCAAGGATATCTTGAAATTACAACGACAATCCCTTTAAATATATTCATGTATCTAGTTCTTTTGCTAATTTTCTGGATTTTAGATTTTCAAAAGTTTAAAACTTAAAAGTTATAATTGAATATTCTTGGTCAAAGGAATTGAGTTTTTGCCACAAACTCAAATCTTCTTACCCTAATATCTTTGCAACCTGATGGTGCAAACCTTTGATATTTTAAACTTAGATTATTTTATCTATAAGTATTAATGGTTTGAAATATCTAAGGTCTACGACATTGGATTACAAAGATATAGAGATTAGAAAAAACTCAACTCCTTTTAAAAACATCGATTTAAATCTGAGCCTGACAAAAACAGCTAAAAAACTGAATTTTAATTTGACTACGATAAAAACAATGTTTTAGTAAAGAAGATATATATAAATATTATTAAACATAAGTTTTCTTATTTGATTGTAAATAAGTTTTAAAATGTTAGCGTTTCATCATTTTCTGATCCTGGTATATCTTTTTGTATCCCGGGCTTGAAATCCATCTAGCCCCTCGCGATCGGGTTTCCTGTCCAGTTATTTCTTGAACCCATGACTAGGAGCTCATCTGAAGCTCCGTTCCTGAAAGTGATTGCTTCTCAGGACTCAGATTGTCTGTTACAACACCATGGGGAGTTGGGAAAATTTCTTCAACTTCTCCTCAAGAGACATGATCCACAACTTCCTTGTCTTTACTCTATTCCCTGTGCTCTAGATGTAGAAACCCAGTCAAGGAGCTTTGCATGAGCCTAACACGCTCTAACACACAGAGTAAGTAGGCCCCACATTCCATTCAGGAACCCCAGTCTGGTTTAACTACTCTAGGCTTATTCCATTCAGCAACCCCAGTCTGGTTTAACTACACTAGGCTTCTTCCATGGTAACATCCTCAGCTTGAATTATTGACTTTGCCAGAAGTTGAGAATTTAATCCTGCTTAGACTTGGAGTTTCTTTTCTGAAATCCCATGGTGGTTTACACTAGAAACCAAGTTATTTCCAATCATAAATTGTGAACATTGCAGTGTACAGCTTCTGTACACTGCAGTGTACAGCTTGCTTCTAAAAACCTTCTCTGGGTTGGGTTTTCCAGACACTTTTGTAAGAACTTGAGGGGGGGGGCTGTTACTAGGATGTTAGGTAGGCAGTTTGGTTAATTGGTTAGGCTCCTCAACTCGGACACATTAGTCTCCAATAATCAGTAAATATATTTCAAACCTCTAATATAATACAGGTATAGTAAAAAATAAAATGACGATGTATTAATTTAGTTGAATATTTAAAATATATCATTTTTTTGTGACGGAGTGACAAAAGTGATTAGGGTTTGAGGGTTTAATGGAATAGTTTAAAACATTTGTAAATACTTCTGAAAATATAAACCTGGTTGTTTGAGTGGAATTAACTATGGATTGCAAAGTTATTTATGGATTTTATTTAGTAAAACGTTTCATTGTTCGTTGTTTCTTTGTCGAAGAGTATAGATAAGTTTTAACAGAGTCTTGCTTTGGTTTGGTTTTTCTCCGAGGGAGGTTTTGGTAAAGACAACCTACGGGGGAGTGGGAGGGGGGGGGGGGTTTAGAAGTTGTATTTATAGTCAGCAACTGAGTGAGTGAGTGGCAGGTCCGATTAACAACGATACGTGTGTCTAATCATTGAGTAATCAGATACCTTATAGTTTATCAAACTCTGATAAATGATCATTTTTAATATAGTCCCAAATTGAAGGGGAAAACAAGAACGGAAATATAAGTATAAAATAGTGGGACTCTATTGTTAAGGATAATGGAAATGATGAACATATTTCTAAATGTAAACTGTGCTGTGTGGTCTGACATATATATAGCTTGCTAGATGTCTAATTTTTTATAAGTTTTTCATTTTTATATTTTAGGGAGATATTATGATGCATGAAGATATTAAGGATTTAAGTTAAAGATAAGAAAGATTAACTTCCCACTGATGTATTTTCATTATTCTTCTCCTAAATGTATTTTCTACCCCCGGCAGCAGAATTCATTCTAAATGTTTAAGGTTGGAAAACTACAAACAACTCAAGAATTTCAGGTTTCCAGAGAATAAAACTTCTCCAGATGTTAACTCAAGAATCCAGACAAAAGGAAACTACATTCATCTTCCAGAATTCTTCCACTGCAATTATTATGTTCTTTTATAAGAATCCAATACGGTTAAAAGAATTCAAAACGTTTTCCCTTTTTCAAAATTCAAATTTTTTGGGGAAGAGTTGCAATTCTTTTACCTCCTTTTAAGAAAAAGCTCCAGTTTTAATCAATTTCCAATTTAAAGTTTCTGTGAAACCAATTTTATGTTTTGGCCAAAAAAGTGCAACTTTTAATCCTTCCAGGAATAGTTTAGTCTTTGTTTGAAAACAAAGTTTTGAAATTGGTTTTGATAAATCATGCTTAACAGATAAAAACGCATGTAAAAGTACGATGACTTCAAAAGGGTCGTAAAAACTTTAATAATAAGATGAACCAAAAATTAAAATTTAGAATTTAGTTGTTTTGTATTGTGTCTGTTTCTGTAATGAGAATGGAAAACACGTATGAGCCCTAATCATGAGAGCTGACATTCCACTCTCCACTTAACCACACTTGTTGACCATAAACATATCTCCTAACCCCCACCTTCATGTCATGTCGTCTGTATGTGTAATGAAAAATGTTAACAATTTTTTTTGACATAGTGGCATGATATGTTTCTCAAAGATGAAAAGTATTTATCAAGTATTATCATAAATAGTTCCTAATTATGACTAATAAAGTGGTATATAAAACTTAAAACATTCTTTACATGAAAAGAAAAATATTTGGAGAAAAATTTGAATTGAAGTTCATCTTTCTTTTATTTTATTTTTCTGAGGGAAAATTAATTTTTTTCCATGTTCAATTTTTAACCGGCCATTCAAAGGTTCTGTGAGTTAGCAGAATATTTTGGGACTGATTTTACGTTTATTCGACACGATTTTATATACACACATTCGGGTAAATGTCTAAAAAATTTTCTTAATCGCTTGTTGACAATTAAAAAATGCTACTTTCAAATTATATTAAAGAATAAAACTCGGTTAAGATAGAAAGCAGAATGAAAATTCAGATTTAGCGCATAAAATATAGCATACAAAGTACAGAATATAGAATACCTTCAATGCATAATAATACACAAATCAAAACAGAAATTCTGTTTAAAGGATAAAAAAAGTTATATTTTTAAGACCAAAAAATGTCTTAAACGTACACCACCTTTACAGGGACTGTAAGCGTAATTTCAAGTTACCCTCTGCATGCAAAGATGTTAATGCCCGATTCACAACAACACTCTTGAAACCTTTCTCTGAACAATATTGTGGAAGAAATTGTCGTTTTTCTAAGTTTAAAGCATTTACATCTGGCAATTCCTTTATGTTTGTTTTTCTGCAATGAAAACGTAGAAAAGTCACTTTGTAGAGAAACCACAATTGAAAATAATTAGTTTTTAATATTATAAACATTGATATCCAATTCATTTTTATATCAGGCATAGCTTTCAAGGGTACCATTGTGAATCGGACATTGCCATTTTTACATGGAGGGTCAGAAATTACGCTTACATCCCCTTTTACGCCATGCAGTTAGTTGTTTATTAATCCAAAAATGCAAGGAATCCAGGTTTTTTTTTTGGGGGGGGGAAGAGGGAGATTTTTATCGTACGATACAGGGTGTCCCACGAATTATGACAGTTGGTAAATAGTTTAGAATCTCTTCTTCCATAATTTGTTAAGTTGTTTTATACCAAAGACAATTATAAAAATATTATATAGGAGCATGGATCAACTATAGGATGAATTGTCGGCGCGGTCCGCCCTGTCTAAGTAGCCTGGCTCAGATTTACTAATCATACAGCTGTATATACGTGTATAAATTAAGATAATCAATCAATCTTCCTGTAGGAATTAGGGTTATCATAGATGTTGCGCACACTATTTCTGCAAAATCAACTGTTCACAGTGGGTTTATTTACAGTGACTTCGACCAACTATCGCGTTGTGTTTTGTCTTAAAATTTATGAATTACAGTGGTTTTATTAAAATAATTCACGAAAAAAATAATTTTTACTATTCATTAGGGCTCACGTTAAGACATATTTGACACTATATTTAGTAATTGGAGTTTCTTGGTATATTCCTAGAGAACGATTTTTGGACCTCCCTCCTATCAAAATCAATCATTAATATTTTCTTTAAGTTAATGAGATAATCCTAGATGATATAAACATTGATTTTGAAAAATATGATTGTGATGTTGTAGAATATATCAGTGGTTTTGTTGTTAAAAGTGTTGGCATTCACCTGTAATATTTGTTTTAAATTTGCTCTAAAGCATGCCAGCGACAAACACAATAAAAATAATTGGATAAATTTCTAAGAAAAATACTGCCTAAATCATCCTCAAAAAGAAATTGTGGACATTTGTAAATATGCAGAAGCAGAGCTTAAAACCTCCCTTAAATTTTGAAAATTGCATGAAAAAATTGGTTTTTTTTCAGAAAAAGACTCAAAAAGTTGTCAATCAATTTACATTCAGATGTCCAAATTTTTTTGATCAAATGTATCTTGTCCCTGGGAATGACCCAGAACACCGTTATAATCTTCTAGTAAAACTTGTAAAAAAAATATCTTGCCATAAGAGTGAGTTCATAAATTTATCAAAAATCACAATGTAGAAACAAAAAATAAAGTCAGGAAGAAGCTTACAAAGCTTGTTCATTTTAGAAATAAATAAATGGTATTTAATAATATGCTTGTATTCTTTACTTAAAGACACTTTTTTGTTTTGTTTTTAAATTTTTCTTTAGATTTTTTGGTGTAAAGATACTGGATATCCAAACAAACATGGGAATTATACGTAAATGATAAACAGACAAAAGATTAAATAAAGAAATTTAGTCTTGGGCTTTCCAAAATTTGGTAATTTGGTATGCAATTTTCTCACATTTCCTCTTATTTCAGTTTTCAATTTGTATAAAAAAAAAGATAAAGGAAACTTTCTATTTTTGAAGATACATAAAAGATAAATTATTTTGAATTCTTAGCTTTTAAAGGGAAAAATAACCTCAGATAGGTCATTGTAAATCAAATGAAGATTCCTAATTCAATATTTGTTGGGACACTCGAGTAACCGAGTACATATACTTGAGTTTAGTTAATAAAGGTTTTTTATTATAGTTTTACAAAATCGAAAATTTTCTTTTTATTCTTATTCTGGGTTTTTAGCTTTATGATATTAGCTAAGGGCGCTGCACAAACTTAGTTTACAATTTGCAAAAAAGATTGAGATAGCGCCCCGCTGTACGCCCACTGTGCATCTTGTACAAAAAGGTTCCGGCATTGAGCATTTTCAAACGACGCGTACCGGCTTATCAGACGCCCGTACGCGTCAACTCTGCTTCCTGTCTAGTTGTTCCATGTATAGGAGTCATTTTATAGTAAAATTCTTTTCAAATTAAATATGTTTAAGCAAGAGATTTTCTGAACGCAATAAACTGCATAAAGCCTTTAAAATATCTAATACAGTGTATGGAAAACGATATAAAAACTATTTACCAACTGTCATGTTTCGTGGGACACCCTGTACGTCAATTAGCAATATTTTAAATTTTAACTCTTAGAAAGATGATAAGCTCAAAACAGCACGCGGAGGAAGGGAAGTGTTTAAAAAATTGTATTCATTACATATTTTATCTTTTACAAGTTGTTCTATAGATGTAAGGTGGGAGGGATAGGATTTTGTACAGTTTACTGTGACATGTTCCTTCTTAATTGATTTTCTTCGCAAAAATTGAAAATTTTCAACTCCTTTTTTCTCTATAGAAATAATTAATAAAATTGAAGAAGTTCGTTCTCTTTTTAAGATATAAAACGATGATATCTCTCTCACTCTTGTATGCCGAATCCATTAGCGCCTGATCCAATCAGGGTTTAGTCATGTGTTTGTTGTCTATTCTGAACCAATAGAAATTGTACGGCGATAACATCTGTCTTTCTGTCTATCTCATCATCCAGTTATGAATCATTCAATCAGTTAATGGAAATATTTACTTCTACTGAAACTATAGTGCTCGAATCACTTCTTAGATCTAGATTTTTAAGGAATTTTTTGTATTTAATGTCGTATTTGGCGCAAATTATTTACATAATTTCTTCAAATAACATGGCGGAAACCGGATTTAAGTTTAAACTACCTGAAGGATCTGTCCGAAGGGAAAGTGCGCGAATATCCTGGGCAGGTTGAGCAGGATGGAAAATAGTATGACCGGCAGGCTGTAGGACACCAGCAGGCACACGTGACCCTTCTCTACTATCCGAGCCTGTGCATACAAAATAAAATATAATGCATAAAATTAATTTCATTAAACAAAATAATCTGTGAATCTAAAAATTTCATAATTTACACCGTCAGCTGTAAGCTTAAAATATGGGAAATTAAACTATTACAAAAACGATGTGCGGAATTTCTAAGAATACTGCACTGGCACATACCAAATCTAAGTATAACTAATGAATGTCTTGACAGATATATCTAAGTTTTTAAATCTGCATCTTGCAATTTCATCTTGCGAAGTTTCTACGCTAGATCTAATTGACTTTGTGTCAACTTTTATCCTAAAGTGTCAAGCTTAGTTGAGTGGGTAAATTAAGCAGGAAAACACATAAAATAAATGGAATTAGAGGGTTTATGATTTACAATATAGGGTAATCCACATTTTATTGAAACAAGTTCGATGAAAGACCTAATTCTTCTCAAATCAGAAAACATATTTTCACACATAAAATGGTTCTGATGATATTTGTAAAAAATGACATTGGCATATATTACAGAAAATAAGGAAAAAAACGCACAAAATTTAAGGCAACTTTTGAAGATTGCTTAAAAATTGCGTATACCTGAAAGGATAGAGACAGCTATATACCTGGTAGGTTAGAGACTGCTGTATACCTGGTAAGTTAGAGACAGCTGTATACCTGGTAGGTTAGAGACTGCTGTATACCTAGAAGGTTAGTAGAGAACAGGCAGCTGTATACCTGGTAGGTTAGTGGAGAACAGACAGCTGTATATCTGGTAGGTTAGTAGAGAAAAGATAGCTGTATACCTGGTAGATTAGTGGAGAACAGACAGCTGTATACCTGGTAGGTTAGTGGAGAACAGACAGCTCTATACCTGGTAGGTTAGTGGAGAACAGACAGCTCTATACCTGGTAGGTTAGTGGAGAACAGACAGCTCTATACCTGGTAGATTAGTGGAGAACAGACAGCTGTATACCTGGTAGGTTAGTGGAGAACAGACAGGTGTAAAGCGTATACCTGGTAGGTTAGTAGAGAACAGACAGCTCTATACCTGGTAGGTTAGTGGAGAACAGACAGCTGTATGTCTCTCAAGACTGATTGCAACTGTGAAGAAGACACTAGCTGTAACAGCTACATGAGCCAAGCTGTCACTAATAGGTAGAACAGTTCTCATATAAAGACCAGGAATAAGAACCTGAGGAATTTAAATTTTATCTTAAAGGGAGTGTTCGCGAAAAATGAAAGGGGGTATAGGCTTAATGCGATAAAAAAGCGCTTTTGATCGCTACTAATCTTACTTCTATCTGTTGCATCTATAAGGAGAAAATTGTTAAAGACGTCTCATACCGAATAACATGGCGCCCAGACAAATTGAGAAAATTGCAACATACGACTTAGACCGTAAAAAATCAATTTAATTTTAAACAAATCATTCAGATATTACAACCTATAGTCATCGATTATCTTTCGCCACATTTATATATAGTTGATTTTTCATAATATGTTTTAATTGTTATGATCTGAGAGTTACTTATAAAAACATTTATTCCTGTTTCGAGGATTTTTGGGAGTGAAGACGACATTTTCATATTTTCCAGGAATGTTCGAAAACAAGTTTTAAGCTAAATATTATTTTAAAAAACAAAATCAAAACTAGTATGAAATATCAAATATATACAAATGTGGCGAAAGATGATCGATGACTATAGGTTGTAATATCTGAATGATTTGTTTGATATTAATTTGATTTTTTTACGGTCTAAGTCGTATGTTCCAATTTCCTCAATTTTTATGGGCGCTACGCTCTTCGGTATGAGACGTCTTTATTAATTTTCTCCTTTTAGACGCAACAGATAGAAGTAAGATTAGTAGCGATCAAAAGCGCTTTTTTTTCGAACTAAGCCTATACCCCCTTTCATTTTTAGTGAACACTCCCTTTAAAGTGAATGTTTATATTTCAAACTTTACCCATTTTATTTTTTCCTGAACACTCCCTTACAGAGAAACCAAGTTTGAAAATGTGGTTCCTTCTAACCATATTTAGGAGCGAGAAGCAGCATATTTAATCTAGTATTTTATACAATAATTTGGCTTTACAAAATTCTCCCTAGTCTCATTATAAATGGAGATTTTGTAACATAATAGAATACAATTTTGCAATTTATCAGAGTACAATTTTTCAATATATCTGAGTACAATTTTGCAATTTATCAGAGTACAATTTTTCAATATATCAGAGTAAAATTTTGCAATATATTAGATTACAATTTTGCAATTTATCAGAGTACAATTTTGCAATATATCAGAGTACAATTTTTTAATATTTCAAGGTAAAATTTTGCTGTAAAATAGAGTACAATTTTTCAATATATCAGAGTACAATTTTACAATATAATAAATTACAATTTTGCAATATATCAGAGTGCAATTTTACAATATATCATAGTACAATTTTTCATAAATCAGAGTACAATTTTGCATAATATCCAAAAAAAAATATGTAAGGAATTAAAATTTAATCCTTTGTCTGATCAATAATGAATAAGTTATCAATGTTTTTCTCTCTAAAATTCATTATTTATAATCGTGGTTTATATTCAAAAAGATACTTGCAGATTTATGCTACAGAATCAATAAAGGTAGTTGAAAAATTATACGTACAACTTATACAGCTTATACAAGCTAGAAAAATGACGATACTGATGTACATAAAATAGGGGTCACCCAAAATTACAGTCCTTTCAAGATTTACTAAACAAAGGGTAAGTTAGCACGTATACTTTAATAGAAGTTCTAGATAATATTTCGTCAGAATGATTAGCTTATCTACTAAAATCATAGATATATAAATCTATGAATAAAATTAAGAACATTCGAGTTGAAAAGGAAATATAATCTGAAACTGATTCAATTGATTTTTAGAACTTAAAGGAATATTTTGACCGAATTGGGAATTCTTGAATGACAAACTTACAATAGAAAATATTTCGAATAAAAGATAAAAAAAAACGGGTAAAAAAATATTTTAAAAACTTTCATTACTTGAACTTGTATCAATTCATAAATTGAAATATTTCAGCTTGGTTACAACATCAGGTTGAAAAGGTAATGTAGAAAAATATATTTTGAAGCGAGTGATTAGTTCCTTTATGCAAACATATGTGAAAATTTATTTTATATACGTTCATGTGCATAAGCTATAAACTTAAGCAGTTAAAGTAATTAAAGTAATTAAAGTAATTAAAGTAATAAAGGTAATTTAAACTATAGATATTAAAAGCAATTCAAGTTCAAAGTTACCTTAAACGAAAATATAAGTCCTGTTAGAGTGACCAAAATATCTGCACAGCATAGTAGAACAAGGAGATGGTTAAATACACTGCTCATTCTCCTAAACAGAGTAAATGTAAAAAGTTTATAGAGACGACATTTCTAGTACATTGGAGCGCACCCGGAGTAGTTAACCTTACTATACAACCTTGATTGCTTGACGACATTTCTAGTACATTTGAGCGCACCCGGAGTATTTAACCTTACTATACAACCTTGATTGCTGGAAGACATTTCTAGTACAATGGAGCGCACCCGGAGTAGTTAACCTTACTATACAACCTTGACTGCTGGACGACATTTCTAGTACATTGGAACGCACCCGGAGTAGTTAACCTTACTATACAACCTTGATTGCTGGACGACATTTCTTGGACATTGGAACGCACCCGGAGTAGTTAATCTTACTATGCAACCTTGATTGCTGGACGTCATTTCTTGGACATTGGAACGCACCCGGAGTAGTTAACCTTACTATACAACCTTGATTGCTGGATGACATTTCTAGTACATTGGAACGCACCCGGAGTAGTTAACCTTACTATACAACCTTGATTGCTGGACGACATTTCTTGGACATTGGAACGCACCCGGAGTAGTTAATCTTACTATGCAACCTTGATTGCTGGACGTCATTTCTTGGACATTGGAACGCACCCGGAGTAGTTAACCTTACTATACAACCTTGATTGCTGGATGACATTTCTAGTACATTGGAACGCACCCGGAGTAGTTAACCTTACTTTACAACCTTGATTGCTGGATGACATTTTTTGAACATTGGAACACACCCGGAGTAGTTAACCTTACTTTACAACCTTGATTGCTGGATGACATTTCTTGAACATTGGAACGCACCCGGAGAATTTAACCTTACTATACAACCTAGATTGTTCTGGAGACGAAAATTCTAGGGAATAGGAGAGCATTCAGAACAAAATTCAACAAAATAAAAATTGAGACACTGTTCTTCAATCTTCATATGTCGATGCTTTTTAAGGTATAATAAAAAAATGGACCACATTTTTGAGACCTCGAAAAAAAAGACATAGTGGTAATAATGAGCACTATCATATTTATGATTTGTTTTTACGTAAATCAAAGTCGTCTCCAAATACCCGTACTATTTTGGACACCCGATGTAAAACAGATTTTTATAAAGATTTTGTGACACCCTGTTCATCAGGAAATATAATAAAACATTTTCTCTTCTACTGATGAAAAAATATTTGTTGTGACATATTTGTTCACAAATAAAAGAAGCAAATGCATCTTGTATAAATGTAAATATAATCAAATTAAAAGTAGGGCACAATATGGGAGATTCAAAAAACAAATAATAAAGCCTGTATAGCACCGAGTGGCTAAAATGTTGAGACGGCTAAATGTTTATTTAACCCCGAAGTTTCTAAATAATCATGCTCTGCGATTTTATAAAAACTATTTTTTCTTCTTTAAAATATTTCATTAAAAAAAATCACAACAAATACAACTTAAAACCCCATTGATATCTCATTTGGTAAATACTAGCTTTGGAACCCAGCTTTGCCTGGAGTTTTCTCACTCAACTTTCCGTTCTACCGAGTTTTCCAAACCAAATTTTAGACCAATCGGTCATAGGGTTCATGAGTTATGATCGGGCATTCGAAAAAACCCATAAATTACTACTTTATATATGTAAATTCTTACATGAATTCTCTACTGCTTTCAATAATAGTCGATAATATTCAAAACTTTGCTGCATTTGTCTGCAATATTTCTCAGATTTGCAGTTACTGACCTTTGATCATATTTTAAAATATTTATCAAAAGTCTGATACATAAAGAAAAGAATGAAACAAATTTACTGCAGAGCATGGTCATTAAATGAGAGGAGTGTGACAAGTGTTTGGTAATTTATTCACAATTAAAAACATATTGTAAACATATTGTAAAATATTGTATGATATTTCAAAAAATATCCGTGGAAGAAGAATGGAGGATTCCATTTTTAAATGAACTAATTTCTGCAAAAAACAATAAGATTGTTATCAATGAAATTGACCAAGCTGAGCTTAGCGATATTATTAATTTTAGATGCACGACCTAATTATAGTATAATTTTGTTTTTTTTGTATTTGTATTTATCTTTATATTTATTCTTATATTTTTTTTGTCTGTTCAATTGTACAAATTATTTAAATTGTGTACGTTCACGAAAAAAAAATATATCGTTACTATTTACATTTACATTAACATTAACATTATATAACATTAACATTGACCTCTAAAAGTTTGTGAAAATTTATTCGTGTCCGTGTATAATGTTACCATTAACATTAACATTAACTTTAAATAATCCATTAAAGGTTATGGTTGGCGTATATAATGTAACATTAACATTAACATTAACATTAACATTAACATTAACATTAACATTAACATTAACATTAACATTAACATTAACATTAACATTAACATTGAACAATTCATTAAAGGTTATGATTGTCAGTTTATAATGTTAACATTAACATTAGCATTAACATTAACATTAACTTTAAATAATTCGTGAAAGTTTATAATTGTCAGTATATAAGGTTACCATTAACATTAACAGTAACCATTAACTTTACACAATTCGTGAAAGTTTATGATTGTCAGTAAATAATGTTAACATTAACATTTACATTAACATTAACGTCGACTTTAAACATTCGTGAAAGTTTATGATGGTTAGTACAGGGTGTCCCACATCATATTAGATCGTCAATCGGTCTAAATTACGATTTTCAGAAAATTTAGAAAGAATGAATTATTTTGAAAATTTCAATACGGCTAATATAAGAATTTTCTTGTGGAAAATACAATTTCTTTTTTAGTATTATGGTTGTATTTTGGCGTTAAAGCTTGGAGATAATCTAATGTGATATGTGACGCTCTGTATATAATGTTATCTTGATGTCGGTATATAATGTTAACATTGTGGAAGACGACTATCGGCCTCCTTAGGATAGTTCCACAACCAAGACTCTGGAAGCTGGGAACAAGACGGAGCTTCTAGCGAGTGCTTATCTCGTGCAAGTTATATAAACAATTAGTTCGAACCCTTGTTGTTCTCTTATACCGAAAATATATACTGATCTACATTAACTGCAATAACATTAACCTGTAACATTTATATGTTAATATCAATTAACATTAACATTTTTATGTTATAATATTAACATTAATTAAATTAATAAATTAATAAATAACAACAATGGTCTCGTATCATGCCTGGTATCTATTTAAATCTTGTAGGTTTTCCTTCTTAACGAATAAGAAAAAAAGGAACACCAAATCCTAAGAAAAAAGACTATAAACCTACTTCTGCATGAGAACTATGATACTGAGAATGTTTCCCGCCAGTCCGAAGAGACCCAGGAGGAGAGAGAGTATCCCTGTGATCCAGAATGTATACGGAGCTAAATCTCGATAGTTTGGTTCATATCCACAATCCCTCCCAACCTCATCTAAATAAATTCATAAAGGATTGAGAGAACTAGATTTATATTAATGATCATTTATAAAAATAAAGTAGTAATCTGTCTGTTTGTATGTCCGATCTAGTAATCTGCTGTTTGTATGTCCGATCTTTTAATATGTCTGTTTGTATGTCCGATCTAATAATATGTCTGTTTGTATGTCCGATCTAGTAATATGTGTGTTTGTATGTCCGATTTTGTAATCTGTCTGTTTGTATGTCCGATCTAGTAATCTGATGTTTGTATGTCCGATCTAGTAATATGTCTGTTTGTATGTCCGATCTAGTAATATGTCTGTTTGTATGTCCGATCTAGTAATCTGTCTGTTTGTATGTACGATCTAGTAATCTGTCTGTTTGTATGTCCGATCTAGTAATCTGTCTGTTTGTATGTCCGATCAGAACGCAAGAACCTCTTGATCTAAGTGCCTCAAAGTTTGATTAGGTACTTGTTAGAACCATGTCCTGGAATGTTCTTAGCTTGGTTGGGAAATCTACCGGCCAAGCTGGGTTAATAAACTAGTTTTTAATAATTCCATCATTTTTATAGATGTGTTTATCTCTTTGTGTCCTTCATATACATGCGTCATAAGATTATATCCTATTCATTAACTTGTATCTGACATTTTATTAATATTTATCTTTAATCAATTGCTTCTAGGATCTATTTACTAACCAAAAAATATACTCTGTAATAAGGATTATATTCCAGTAACTTCCATAAAATAAAGTAAACTACAGTTTCTGAAAGAGCTAAAAGGATTGTTCGCGAAAAATGAAAGGGGGGTATAGGCTGATATCGAATTGAATTCGATATTTATCTCCACTAATCTAACTGATATCTGTTGCGAATATAGGGAGAAAATGCTTAAAAACGTCTTATACCCAAAGAGAACAGAATATGTAATTTTCTTTGCTTATACCTCAGATCAACGGAGTTGGATTATTACACTTTGATCGTAAATAATTCAATTAAATTTAAGTAAAGATTCAAGTTTTAGTTAGACTTGGTTCTAGGAAAAGCCGATTTAGTCGGTTTTATCTCTTCTTGGACTTGGTTCAAATGAAGCCAGAGATTGTAAATTTCGTAACAACTATTATATTTTTACATTTGAAATTGAAGTATCTGTAGTGTCGAAATTGGCGAGATTTATGAAATTAACATTTTATATCTCTGCAACCTGATGATGTGAACCTTTAATATTTCCAACTTATTGATCTTACAGTATTCCTAGTCTGAAATTAAGTATTTTCTTTTATTTTGACCAAACAAAGGAACTGAAAATCCAATCTAAATCAACCTAAAACAATTTATTTATATATATAAAACTAACTTGAGAAAGTCAAGATGCCAATCTCTTCGCCGACATATTCTCGTAAAAAAAATAGTGATTAAATGCAATAAAATTATCCGTCAGCGTTAAAATGAGACTATAATGCTAGAGTATCTTTCTTGGTAGCGTGAAAAATCCACAGAAGCGACCGTACAAAATTTTAATCAATGATTTCTATTAAAAATGAAAAGTAAAAGTTAAGAAATTATAGCAAAAGCAAACCTAAGATTCTCAGGTTCCTGTGGGATATTATCGTTTTCAGATTGGTTGCGTATTTGTTGAATATGATATGTTTAAACCTACAACTTTTATACAAAATTCTATATATATGAATTTTCGTATGAATTTGACACTGCAGTTTCATGTCGATTTCTCGAGACAGGAACATCAGATAAATGTCTTATATGTATCATTCAAGGCCTGAGATTCTCAGGTTTTATCCTATACCCCCTTTCATTTTTTCTTTACAGTCCCTTTAATAATTCTTTAGTTTGAAATCCTAGTTACTAGTTTGAAAAGTTAAGTTGTCCTTGCAAAATAAAATCTTTAAATGATTTAAAAATTTCAAATTCATTCAAAATAATAAAATTCACTAATAGAATCTTTACCATTTTTAGATAACAACAATTGTTGTATGACCAGCAACAGTTTAGTTTGAAGGTATAATTTTAATGATGGAAAAAATAATTTGTTAAATTTTTCTTGTAAATTTAAAACATACATCGAACCAATTCAGAGTTGATACAACAATTTCAGATTGACGTTGCATTTATTAACTCAACTCAGCTCAGCTCCACAATCTGTGTAGAACATGTTTTTCTTCAATTTTTTCTTTTACATGGAAAGCACTGATTGATATTTGATAGGAGCGAGTTTATTCCGATTAATTACTCTCCATAAATTCTGGAGCTTTACACATTTATCTATTTAGCGGATTAATTACTCTCCATAAATTATGCAGCTTAACACATTTATCTATTTAGCGGATTAATTACTCTCCATAAATTATGCAGCTTAACACATTTATCTATTTAGCGGATTAATTCATCCTCTCTTTTTTTTACGAACATTCACTTTAAAAGACGTTTCCTACATTTTACGCCTAATTGCCCAAATGTAAACAGTAACAAAATAGACGCGACTTTAAAACATTGCATGATGTGAGAGTCTTAATAAAGCTTTGTTCAGCTCTACAAACATCCAACAAGTGCATAATTCACTGGGGAATCCAACAAGTGCATAATTCACTGGGGAATCAGATAAGTGCATAATTCACTGGGGAATCAAATAAGTGCATAATTCACTGGGGAAACCAACAAGTGCATAATTCACTGGGGAATCAAACAAGTGCATAATTCACTGGGGAATCAGATAAGTGCATAATTCACTGGGGAATCAGAAAAGTGCATAATTCACTGGGGAATCCAACAAGTGCATAATTCACTGGGGAATCAGAAAAGTGCATAATTCACTGGGGAATCAGATAAGTGGATAATTCACTGGGGAATCAGAAAAGTTGCATAATTCACTGGGGAATCAGATAAGTGCATAATTCACTGGGGAATCCAACAAGTGCATAATTCACTAGGGAATCAAACAAGTGCATAATTCACTGGGGAATCAAACAAGTGCATAATTCACTGGGGAATCAGATAAGTGGATAATTCACTGGGGAATTAAATAAGTGTATAATTCACTGGGGAATCAAATAAGTGTATAATTCACTGGGAAATCAAACAAGTGCATAATTCACTGGGGAATACAACTAGTGCATAATTCACTGGGGAATCAGAAAAGTGGATAATTCACTGGGGAATCAGATAAGTGCATAATTCACTGTGGAATCAAACAAGTGCATAATTCACAGGGGAATCAGAAAAGTGCATAATTCACTGGAGAATCAGATAAGTGGATAATTCACTGGGGAATTAAATAAGTGTATAATTCACTGGGGAATCAAATAAGTGTATAATTCACTGGGGAATCAAACAAGTGCATAATTCACTGGGAATCAAACAAGTGCATAATTCACTGGGGAATCAAAAAAGTGCATAATTCACTGGGGAATCAAACAAGTGCATAATTCACTGGGGAATCAAACTAGTGCATAATTCACTGGGGAATCCAAGTTTGTGACTGAAAATTAAATCAGAGTTAAGTTGGTTTTGTTGACTACATTTATGATGGAAAAATAACAACGAACCTTATAATAAGTCAAAAAAACGAATTTGAACATTATGATAATTATAAAAAGAACCAATTGCAGATAGATATAAACATAAATATACTGATAATATTCTAATCCTGTATATGGATGACCTCTAGATTTTAAACTGAGATCACATTACTTCTAAATAACTTTAGCTAAAGAATAGTGCTTCATATCTCTAAAATGTATGTACATGTCTAAGGCTACAAAAAAGTATTCATGAGGTTAAATCAAGGCTAAGGTGTTTGCAAACTGTAAAGTCGGCTCAGTCTTGATACACGAGGCAACGTTATATTGTTAGATAAAGGTTCAATTCAGACATAGAACACTTTAATCAGAGTTTTACTTGAGATTACAATGCAGTCCCTTTAAACTTTCATCTAGAGAACAATATTAAAGAAGTTTAAATTGTTTTAAAAATACAATAAACGCGAAATATATAGAGCATAAAGTTGTTTCAGACTGTAATGTTTTCAGCTTAAACAATATACATAATGTTTTCAGACTATAATGTTTTAGCTTAAACATTATACATAATGTTTCAGACTATAATGTTTTCAGACTATAATGTTTTCAGACTATAATGTTTTCAGACTAAAATGTTTTCAGACTATAATGTTTTTAGCATATATATGATGTTTTCAAACTATGATGTTTTCATACTCTAATGTTTTTAGGCTTTAATGCTTTCAGCAAATGGATGATGTTTTCAGATTATAATGTTTTCAGACTATAATGTTTTCAAACTTTAATGTTTTCAGACTATAATGTTTTCAGACTATAATGTTCTCAGACTATAATGTTTTCAGACTATAATGTTTTCAGATTATAATGTTTTCAGACTATAATGTTTTCAGATTATAATGTTTTCAGACTATAATGTTTTCAGATTATAATTTTTTCAGACTATAATGTTTTCAGACTTTAATACTTTCTGCGTATTTATAATGTTTTTAAACTATAATTTTTGCAGTTTGTAAGGAAGTAAGGAAGGAAGGAAGGAGGGGGGGGGGGGAGTATTTTCAGTTTACTTTAATTTATCCCATTTACATAATAAAGTGGAGAATAGTGCTAAACTGAAAATCAGCCTTGTTAAATTATACAGATTAAGTCAGTCTTGTTTTGTCATTAAGATTAAAGACTAAAGGAACACTGCAGAAATTGTTAAAATTAATCACTTCAAGATTATAATCTCACATATAAGAATACGTAGCAAGAGCGCATAAAATGTTGTCTCGAAATTTATTTTTAAAAATTTATGACAGCTGTAATGCTTCATCATTGGTCTGCAAAAAAGAAAGCTGCTGAGATGTTCGCAGCTTCATAGGGTTAAGTACGATTTGTGAAAATACATCCAAATATCATTGTAGAGTCATAAATTTTTTGATAATTCCTAAGAAACTGCTTTTAATTTTTAATCTAAGGTAAATTAATTAATTAATTAATTAATGAAATATGAAGGACAGCAATTTATATATTAAATTCGTTTTTCCGCGGCATTTGATATAATAAGAATACGACATTATAAAAACTCTTGCTATGTATTTATATATCTGGGATTCACTGTACATACGTAGTTCATATATAAAGTAGACAGTTTCTAATGCATAGATTAGCCATTTAAACATGTTTAATATTCAATATTTTTAAGATACTTTAAAATAAATTGATTAAAATTAAATATTTAATAAAATATTTAATTTTTAATAAAATATTTAATTTTAGCAAAAAAGCAAAATAATTTTGAATACATAAAAGATTTTATTAAAATAGTTTTAACTTTTCCTGATACATGACCCAAGGGAAAATTACAAAAAATTGTCTTTAAAAGTTTCTGATTTTTGTAAAATTTTGAAAATACGCGAAAAAATATTATGAAATCCATGAATGCTGGAAGAAAGTAGCAGCATATTTTTCTCGCTCAGGTCATGCAACCTTCCACCGTAGGAGAAGAAACAAAACCACGCAACCTCCCTTTTCTTCTGAGTCCATATTACATTTAGTAATGATTTTATACCTTTTTTACAAGAAATCTACTAAATTGAAAATGAATAACTTCCAAGTTAAAACAGAAATCCCAGTCTCAATGCATTAATGTATTCCCATACTATCTTCTATGACTCGAAATCCGCGAACTTTTTTGTTATGTGTTATATTGTACTAAGAAGAGATGCTAACAGAAAGAGCCACAATTAAAAGTTGAAATAAAAGATTGGATGCGAAGCGCCCTAAAAGCCTAGTCAGAGGCTTAGCCTAGTGTTTGATATTTCTGTTTGAATAAAATTCCTGTTTATGAAGATTCCTGTTTTTTAAAGGCTTATGCTTGTTAAAGATTTCTGTTTATTAAAGATTTTTGTTTCATAAAAAGTCCTGTTTGTCAAATATTCCTGCCTATAATATTTACAAATTTATTAAGGGATTAAAATCAAAATTTGATATTTTAAAAATTTTAACGAAGTCTTATTATCCTAGAAAATCCTTGAGTGACCAATGTATTTAATTTTTAAAGGGACCGTACGTAGTCTTGATTTCAAGCGACCCTTCACTTTATTAAAGAGAGCTAGGCATGTACGATTCCCAACGTTATCCTTTAAACCTCTGTCTGATCAAGATGTTTTTTTATTCTAACGTGATTTGCGTATATGCTGCAGAAAAAAGGAATTTTTCATAATTTAGCAATTTTTGGTTTAACTTTAAAAAAAATTCTCACCTAACAAATGCAGCATCAGAGATGTATTCTTTCCCTGGATTAACAAGCTCTCCATTCTGAAATTAAACACGCTTTAAGTTTAATCTATTCTAATATCCCATCTTCAATGTATGGACGAGAAAGTTTAGATCAGTTGAGGCAAATTTTTCTTTTCTCTTCTTTTTCTTTCTAATAAAGAAAATAAATTCAACCTAAAACCTAATCTTGGTGTTCATATGTTCGTATAGTTCATAGTTGCATTTGCAAAGTAAAGAATCAACATTTTTTGTCGTAGTATAAGTCAGCTAAAAAACGTAGCAAAAAAAAGTTCAGCGGAGGAACACGGTTAAGCGGTCAATAATGCACTTTCTGCAAAAAGAAGAAATTTGTCGGAAACTTTTTTTTTATTTCACAATAACCCTCGGTATTGAATTGGTTGCAGTTACATTAAAGAAACCCCCCAAACATTAAATTTCTGAAAAAGTCTTTCTTTAGAAAAATTAAACGTTAGTTTTTAAGTCTTTCATCCTTCCTGCAAGTTTGCATCATTCTCATCTTTAAATGTAGTGCTTGCATTGTCGGCATTCATTGAACACTAAAACAACATTTCAATGGAAACCAGAACACACAGCACTTTTATCCTTTTTTAATATCTCTCTTTCAAGTATGAAGACACAGCTAAATTAAATTCTTTAAAATTTAGAAGGATGTCTAAAATAAAAGCAAAGAATTTGTAGATTTTCTTCTTGATTAACTCTTCAGAATTGATCAAGATTGAAAAGAATAAAGATAAATATTGAATCCTTGCCACAAATTTAATTTTGGATTGGACCTGAGATCGTAGACCTTTGATATGTCAAACTATGAACTCGGTTAGATCACTAGTCTAAGTTTAAAATATCAAAGGTTTAAACCATCTGATTGCAAAGATATATTAATTAGAAAATTTGAGTTTATGGGAAACATCAGTTCCTTTGCGCTACAGCAAATTTTCTGTATTCCAGGACGCGTCTGCGTTTATCCATATTTATGCCTATTCCATGAATCTACACGATATACATGAGGCGACTTATCATCCGTCCCACTGCTATCATTGACTACAGTTTATTTACAAGTAAGCCTCTCTCCATGCTTACACGTATACCAGAGTTAGGGGATGACAAGGAGAGGGCGGGGGGCAGGGTTGTTCTTCCAATGACAAAAAACTGTAATCTACATAATAAAACAAGACATTCATATTTATGTTGCGTATAGCCGGCCAAACGGCTGGACCGAATGGACTGAAATTTTTGTGGACACTCATGGGTGGCCGGGGGTGTTATAGGCTAAAAAAAATTTTAAAATTTTTTGAACATGTTTTTATAAATAGTTTTTTTTTAATTTTCCATAAGCACCCGGCGGCCATTCAGCTAGTATCTAATATTTTCTACCTCGTTTTTATTTTAGCCACCTTGAGATTTTCTTACTACACATGAGAGACACATAGTGCCTATAGCTGTCATTCTATACAATATAACATTTAAAAACATTCTGTTTATTTAATATCGAACCCTAATAATAAAAATAATAACAACAATAATATTAATAATAATGATATTAAAAATTAAAATATAACACCCATAAATAATATCTATATAACATCTATAAATAATAGACATGTCTGTTTTGGTTTAGGTTTGTTTGATCTGCAAATAAACTTCAAAAGTGATAAAACGATCAGGCCAAATATTTTTGCAGAACTAGGATAGACTCCAGGGAAGGCAAATGGATTTTTTTAATCTGCAAAAAAAAGGAAATTTGCAAATTTGTCATTGTTTTTTTAAACTAAAGTGCCAGTGGAATTAAAAAAGAATCCAATTTTGAAAGAACAAAAACATTTGTAAAAAAAACCATGGGTTTCCTCAAAACTGTTAGTCAATTTGGTCCAGCCGTTTGGACAGCTATACCTACGCGACGGAAAAAAAGACTAACAGATGTCTAAGATCGATTATTTTAATATAATAAGAAGAGCAAAAAATTCAGAACTTTTGTTTTCTGATTCTTAATGGTCAATGGTCATAACGTGCAGGGATAACATGCAGGGATAACATGCAGGGATAACTTTAATTAAGGTATCAAGGATGTATTTTAACTCAAATTTAAAAGTACCCACATTGGATCGCGAGATTAAGTGTTCAAGATTATCAATGTCTCTTATTTGGCAACCCTTTTTTATTTTATTTTTAGATCAAAAAACGTCACTGGATGATTTTTGTGAAAAAAATACTAAATATTTAAAAAAGAAAATGAATAATTTCACGTAGACATATTCCGAAGTATTTTGCAATGAATTCTATCTATGCCCTAAATATTTAAACAATAGTGCCGTGATTTCTAAGATTTAAATGTTTAAAAAGCACCTGTGAAAGCCATTAAAAAGTTTTAAATTGAAGAATCGCTAAGCAGCATTTTCTCAAATTATTTTACAATAAAACCACTAGTTTTAAAGTTTGCCCTTTTAATATTTGGTTCAGTCGCTGAACCCAAAACTAAAAGTTTCGTCCTCATGAAGGTCGTCTTAGATCTTTGAAATTATTTGCGGCATTCACCGTCAATCTTTTTTTACATCATTACATGGAAATAATAATCACACGATTCTGCTGATCCTGCCGAAATATGATCTGCCTTTATGCACTGTCAATATTACTGCAGAGATATTGAGAGTTTTGTTCAGATTTCAATTTATTTAATAACACCAAATTATCGAAATCTTAACAAAATTTTAATATCTTTGGTGATATTGAAACCACAAAAAGGGCAGACTACATTTAGGAAATGCCAGAACTAGGAATATTTTGTGATTACTAATATTAACTTTAAAATTTACTTCTTTACAAATAAATGCCGCAAATAATTTTAAAGATCAAAGACGACCTTGAAGTCGTCCACATTTTGGAAATGCCAGAACTACGAATATTTTGTGATTACTAATATTAACTTTAAAATTTACTTCTTTACAAATAAATGCCGCAAATAATTTAATTAAAAGATCAAAGACGACCTTGAAGTCGTCTTGCTTCTGTCATGTTTCGTGGAACACCCTAGTTCCTCGACCTCTCAAAAGTATTCTGAAACCTTTACTTCACTATATATTTATAATGATTGACCAAATAAATGATTTGATTTGTGTCAGCGCTTTGAGTTTTCCTTGAGTCTAATATAAAACTAATAAACATCATAATTGGGAATTTTGGGACAATGTAGAATGTCTACCAGAGAAAAGTATTATTTATAACTCTAAGGGGGGGGGCAAAGAGGTAAGTGCCCCCCTATCTTTAAAAGGGGGGGGGGTCAAGGACATAATTTAAGGCAAACGGACAGAGTAGAGGAAAATTAAAGAAGTTAAAAAAAAGCAGAAAGGTAAAGAAAAAACGAAATATTATATTTTTTCATTAACAACATTCTATTAGCTGATTTAGTTTCCTAAATAAATTGTGTTACAACCTTGCAAAGTTCATCAATGTAATTTTTCTATCTATTTCAGATTCCTGATCGAAACATTATAAATCCTTTTGTACTTACAAGTAGAAAAGATAAACAATAACATAGAAATCAAAACATATTTAAAAGCAAGATTCCAAATCTTATTTACGCATCTTTAGGGGGAAAATGGAGATTTACAGTTTTAGTTTTTATAATTTTTTGAAAAAGTATTTCTGCAGATTTTATTTGAAATATAACATTTAGATAATTGTTTTGGACCTTGATTTTTAAAATCTATTAAACCTGGTTGTAGTGCCCTTTGTAACCTCGTATAACTATTCAAGTTTTAGTTAGACAGAGCTGGGAACTTTTGAATGGTGGATATCGGGATTAATGCTTGATCCACTCTTTTTCTTAATCTCGAGATTAAATAATGCTTGTTCTCCTCTTGTTATTCATCTCTAGATTAATTAACCGATCAGGATTAAGGATATTCCATTCTAAAGTTTTCAGCTCAGGAAAAGCTTTGGTCGCTCTCGGAATAAACGGGAATAGGTATTCCCCCCCCCCTTTTCATTACTTTGGGTAGGTAGGTATGTACTATTACAATTATATATAAATAACTTGGGAACCCAGCGTTGCCCAGGATACTAATAGTGACTCCCTCCGTTTACCCGCACTTGGTCGATTTTACCGGGAAATTAAAATTTCGCTTTAAAAGTCAACCCACTCTAAATAAAATCTCAAAAGTTTTTCAGATTTACCAAATAAAAATGTGAGGCCAATTGGTTCCTGAGTTATGATCGGACAAACAAACAGACAGACAAACAGAGATTACAACTTATATGTATAGATTACCTCTCCATTGCTCTAGGTAGATAGGTACTAATGCAGGTAGAAACGGTTTCATCTGCACTTGTATTCATTTCTCTCTGAAATTATAGAATTGTTATTAAGAAGTCAATATTATGAGAGATATTGTCGCTACACTAGGTTTAAAGGTGTTTACTGATTTTGTTTTTCTGGAGTAGAAATGCGCAAGTCATTTTGCAGAGAAACCACAATTAAAAATAATCAGTTTCCAAAATTCTGAATATTAATATTTAATTCATTTTTCATCAGAAAAAGCTTTTAAGGGAACTGTTGTGAATAGGACATTGCCATCTTCGCATTGTCGGTAACTTGAAATTACGCTTGCAGTCCCTTTAAGCAATTTTCAGAATATGCAGCTAGTCAAAGATACTATTTTAAATTGATCAAAAAATGATTTTAATAATAAGGTTAGGACAGGCTAAAGTATGGGGGTGGGAGCCCTGCAGCCACATAAATGCGAACGAGCTGAAGGGCCCGGCGTTGCCCGTGGAATTTTTTTAAATATGTAAAAAAAATTCGATTTAGCCTATAACACCCCCCGGGCACCCATGAGTGTCCACACAAAATGTCAGCCCAATCGGTGTCGCCGTTTGGCCGGCTATTCGCAACATCTATATAAACGAATGTCTTGTTTTATTATATAGATTACATTGTCAAGGTTGCACACATGTTTTTAGTTTTATCACAAATTATTATCACAAATTTTCGGGGTGATAAATATTTTTTACTTACGAACATATACAATTGACGCCAATCTAATTTTCATCTGGAAAAAGAGAACGGAAAATAACAATTTGATTTTTAATTTTAAACGTGTTATATTTGAATATTTTCATATTTGCATATCGATATATATCAAATTATCTTTTCGTCAGCGTCTTCTTATCTCAAAATATTTGTCTACAAAATAGTTCCAAATATACTCTACTCCAGGAATCATTTAAACCAACTGTGCCGATGGCGAAGATGTCGGGTAAATAAATCTGAACTTTCGATGTACGACATCGGCAAATCGGAGACTTAAAGGATAACGTCTGAAAAATAACATCAGCAAATATATTCTAATTTTTTCAATGCAATTTTCGAATGCATCAAAAATTCAACTTTATTTAGACATCAGAGGCAATTATTTTCTTTGGTAGAAGATGCATTTGATCATAAAGCCAATTGTTATTAAAAATGTTTTTTAAATTCATCTTTTATTATTATATTCATTTATTATTCTGTTATTTTTGTTGTTGAACATGTATGTTTGAATCAGGGGGGTTGATAGTTTCCTACTTGTGTGCTCAGTTAGCTGTACACATAGAGAATAGAATATATATCAGAGAGGAATTTAAAGAATCTCTCGGTATGAACTTTTTCAGTCCCTTTCAGCCTGAAAGGGAGTTCAAAGTGTACAAATCATGTAAATGTTCACAAATTATATGCAGTAGAGTACATTAATACAGTATGTTCCCTAGACTATTCATTTCAATTTCGAATTTTTTAAAGCTGTTAAATAAACTTTTTAATGAATTAGGTGAATAAAAAACATCATTTGATTTATAGTTAAAACGGAAAATCATCGTTTGTAAAGTGAAAGGCATAGAGTCTATGTGAAATGATAATTGGTCAATTATTTGGTTTTCTTTTAACATTAATTTTAGATTTTCTATAAAATGATATTCCAGTGCCTAAAAGGTTTTATAGCATAAATATGTGAAGTACACCTGCAGTATGGAAACTGTACATCAAAATGGCCGTTTTACACTTTTTTCTAGTAAATTCCCCTCTAATATATATTCTATTCTCTTTGACTGTACACTTACAAATGTTTACTAATACTGATATAGTATAGGTTAGGCCAGAATCTCCTTATAATAAACAAATATTATGCAGTACGCTCTCGGTATAGTTTATGGCCAAAGATAATATATATATAGAAATGCAGGCAGGTAGAAACCTCCTTCCTAAATTGCTTGTAGCAGACAACTAATTTTTGTCCCTCTGAGATAAAGTGCAAGGAGAGACATCTATAGCAAATTGATTACTTTCTATATTCCTTTCTCCCCTTGCTGCCATCTGTAGGAAATACGCATTTGTGTTATATAAACATACAGTACGCGTATTGCATCCTGTATAGTTCAAGTGTTGCTATCTGGACCTGTTTGACCAATAGAATTAAATTTCAAGGTAACACAAACATACAGTACGCGTTTTGATTATGTTATGCAGTCAGAGAGAAAAAGATTTAAATGTTTTAGACAAGGTGAACTTTGAAGACACCTTTTTCTAAAAATGTAGATGGCTTTCAGGCTCAAATTTTGATTTTTAACAGTCCAAGGAACATAAAATACAGAAATTTTGCAGTGTAGTGGATTTTTTTTATATTTTAATCCTGAATTAAGTTTTTAAAAGCCATTGCCTCGGCAAATTTAAATATTTAAATATTTCTTCGCAAAAGTTGTGAAATCGGCTTTCTTTTGTTAAATTGCATATGATAAATTCGCACCCTGATCTCTAATCGTTCTCCTTAAATCTATTTAATTGAAATGTTTTGTTATTATCATTGAAATTAGGTGGAAAAAATAATCAAAACAGCCAAGAGCTATTTTCCACTTAATTGCTTTATACTTGTACTGTTAATATAATCATCAATTTGTAATTGTAAACTCGTTCTGTAAACAGATATATGTATTTTAGCAATAAACTTTATCTTATCTATCTTATCTAAGGCTTTCCAAAGAGTTGTAAGAAGTCAAAATCCAATGACCGGAGGTAGGTCTAAATATAGATTTAGTCGGGTAAAGGTAAGATAAGGCATTCAGGCAATATGCCTGAAGACTCAGGCAGAAGGTATAAAATCCCCACTTTGAGCCAAAAGTGATGGGCATGTGTTAGTTAGAAATCTCAAAAAGTTTGAAGAGCCTCAGACAATACTTTTATAGTATCCAAAAATGTCAGGGGGAGGGTGGTAACCTAAACCCCCCCCCCACAGCCAGAATTGGGCTAACTTTATTGCATAATAACAAAGAAAAGATTAACAGTTCCTTCCTGCATTTGTTTGCAGAATTTTCAATGAATTTGGAAAGTTTAAAAAACAGAGGTTTAAAGGGACTGTTTACTTATTTGGGTAATTACATGGTAAATTTGAATTATTTCAAAAAATTTAACTAAGGCTATCAAAGGGGATATGGACTGGGGCTGGCTCATTTCTTTTTTATATACCAATCAAATTGAAGTTTTGAGCGCAACCAAACCTAGGATGATCATTTTAGGAAAGTAATGGAGTTTTTTTGAGTTTTTGGGGTTAAGGGGGTGATGAGCCAGTTGTGAGCCATGAAGAGCCAGGAGCAACCAACCATAGTAGTGTTGAATGGGTTGCATTGTTCGACCGGATCCTGTCTGCTATTAGGACTTTGTCTTAGATTCGATGTACTTTTTAGTCATAATTTTTATTGCGTTAATTTACGTATGCCATTCAGTACAACTTGCACATTTAAACTTTGTCTAGTCAAATTCCTACCTCAGTTTTATTTGCATTGATTAATTTGTTTCATTAAGCACAATATGCAGTATACATTGTTGATACTATAGTACGCATTTAGTGTTATCACGCATAAACAAAGTGATAAATTAGCAACAATCCAGAGGATAAAATGCCATGCGTACGACAGAGATGGTGCTGTTTGCACTTTTTCTCAAGACCTCAAAATTTATACCTGCCTGCATATCTATATAAATATTATCTTTGTTTATGGCCTAAACAATTAGTAAAGGATTAGCGTACACCATCACTCTATAAACTATAACCTCGTTGGTTTGAATGCTCGGTAAGACTGGTTTAATTCTTACAATATAATTTGCTTAAACTATTTTCAAAGAATTTGCCCTGATTGAGACAAATTGTCGAAAACTGCCAATTTATAAATATTGATTAGGAAACTTTCAACACTTTTATTTGTTTTTAACTATTTGTAATCAAAGGAAAGGAATTTAGCTGAGAAGTTTAGAGTTGGAAAAGATTCATTTAATTACTTTCCATCGGTATTGGATAATTTTCGATAAAAGTTAATTTTAGTCGTTTCACCATTTCAACTGTAAGTGTTGGTATATATCCAATTTACAAACTCCATTTATTTTTATGGCCGTTCAAAACTAACCTTGTGAACTACATAGTAGTTCATAGTTATGCTACATTACTGGTACGATTTTGGGTCCTCATAGCTACTCTAGTATGAGAAAAGCTAATTTATCTGCTGATAACTGACATTAGAAATCTAAAATATATTTTTCTTCTCAATAGCTTTTTATTAAGAGGAGTTATGGTTGAAAATAAATAAGATTTCAATATTACGCGCAGTTTACTTTAGTTTGATTTGAACAACGACTAGATCCATCATAATTAGACCTTACCTTAACCCAATGGGACACTATAGAATTATATGGTTTGTTTATAATTCACTGTGACGTCTTATATAATCACGGGCAGCCGTAGTACATTTGAATTTCCGAGCCTGGTCAACCTCTCCGATCCAAGTTTGTACTGTATTGCCAGGACATTGGGTTAATAAAGCAGACATTCAATAGGACTAGCCGGTGCAACAAGGTTGACGCGGTCTGACTTTAGGTTGAATTTACTTTTACTGAAGGGTCAGAGGTGCGTGTAATAACACAAAAACTTATTTCATTGTGAATTGAAGTTGCTTGGCACGGCCCTTACTGTAAACCCAGTTTACAATCTTTTTTATTGTTTACAATAAAACTATAGTTCTCTCAATGATTGGCTCTATAAAGCTGACTAAGGGGCACAAAGATAAATATTGGTCTCATTTTATAGAACTACCGAACAGAGATAATAATAGAAGGGAAATAAGACAATCCCTCGGTATGAATTATATCAGTCCCTTTGAGTCTGAAGATGATTTTAAAGTGTTACTTTTCATGTGAATTTCCACAAGTATACGCAGTACATCACAATAATACAGTAATATCCCTGGACTTATCCGTTATACATAATTTCTTCTTTTTACAAAGTTTATGCTGAAATGAACTCGGGAACGCATGACAGGTTATCAGAGAATTGATTTAGAGAAAATTTAATAATTTTCAAGACAATTTATTTCTATATAAAGATGCTCCAAGGACCAATAGATCAAAAAGCACCAATGTGTGAAGTACATCGGGGTGTATGTAAACAAAATGCCGTTATTGCACTTTGTTCGACTTAATTCCGTTATATTCCTGTCTATTCTCTTTGACCTGTTTTCTAAACTGTGAACAGAATAAAATACAGTTATTTTCAAAATGTGAAAAGCATACAGATTACAGACTAAGAGAATAGAATACAGAATAGTTTTATTTTCAAGGAAAATAAATGTTGAAAAATCAGAAAACATCAGTGCTACAGTCGTGTATTGGGACTGCACTATTTGTACTCGGTGTACTGTAAATGCATTAGTTTCTGTACCTGCAGTACTGTATCTCTATTATATTGCTACAGTCGCTGAACTCTGTTTATAATGGGACTGCACTATTTGTACTGGGTGTACTGTATATGCATTAGTTCCTGTACCTGCAGAACTGTATATCTCTATTATATTGCTACAGTCGCTGAACTCTGTTTATTATGGGACTGCACTATTTGTACTCGGTGTACTGTATATGCATTACTTTTTGTACTCGTTTGTACTGTATATGCAATAGTTCCTGTACCCGCAGTACTGTATCTCTATTATATTGCTACAGTCGCTGAACTCTGTTTATTATGGGACTGCACTATTTGTACTCGGTGTACTGTAAGTACATTAGTTACTGTACCCGCAGTAACGTATCTCTATTATATTGCCACAGTCGCTGAACTCTGTCTATTATGGGACTGCACTATTTGTACTCGGTGTACTGTATATACATTAGTTCTTGTACCCGCAGTACTGTATCTCTATTATATTGTTACAGTCGCTGAACTCTGTTTATTATAGGACTGCACTATTTGTATTCGGTGTACTGTATATGCATTACTTCCTGTACCTGCAGTACTGTATCTCTATTATATTGTTACAGTCGCTGAACTCTGTTTATTATGGGACTGCACTATTTTTACTCGGTGTACTGTAAATGCATTACTTCCTGTACCTGCAGTACTGTATCTCTATTATATTCTTACAGTCGCTGAACTCTGTTTATTATGGTACTGCACTATTTGTACTCGGTGTACTGTATATGCATTAGTTCCTGTACCCGCAGTACTGTATCTCTATTATATTGCTATACTCGCTGAACTCTGTTTATTATGGGACTGCACTATTTGTACTCGGTGTACTGTATATGCATTAGTTTCTGTACCTGCAGTACTGTATCTCTATTATATTGATACAGTCGCTGAACTCTGTTTATTATGGGACTGCACTATTTGTACTCGGTGTACTGTATATGCATTACTTTTTGTACTCGTTTGTACTGTATATGTAATAGTTCCTGTACCCGCAGTACTGTATCTCTATTATATTGCTATAGTCTCTGAACTCTGTTTATTATGGGACTGCACTATTTGTACTCGGTGTACTGTATATGCATTAGTTCCTGTACCTGCAGTATTATATCTCTATTATATTGCTACAGTCGCTGAACTCTGTTTATTATGGGACTACGCTTTTTATACTCGGTGTACTGTATATGCAATAGTTCCTGTACCTGCAGTACTGTATCTCTACTCACATTTCTGTATTTGATTGACATACTACGTGAAACTAATTACTAAAAAACACATTCTTTCTGTATTGGAATATTTGAATTCATTTTGTGAGCTCTAATTCAAATTCCATCAAAAAAGATTTTATCTATTCTAATTTTCAACAACAAAAAAGTATTAAATAATAATTACAAAAAAATCTCCATTTAATGGGTGAAAATGGGGTCTAAATCTAAGGCTCTCTGAATTTTAAGCAAGACCTCCAGTTTTCCGTGATGTGGTTTTCCTTGACAAAAAAAAATGTTTATTAACGAACAAGGGAATTGAGTCTTTGTCACAAACTCAAATTTGTTAATCCCTATTTCACAGCAACCTAATAATTTAAACCTATATTTCAAACTTAGATAAATTAAGCCAACAGAATTCATAGTTTGAAATATCTAAGGTCTACGGCATTGGGTTGAACAGATATAGGAATTAGAAAATCCGAGTTTGTGGCTAAAACTCAATTGTTTAAATTGAAGATTCCAGTATATCAGAAGGATTCCTACCCTCTATATTCTCAGGCCTAAGAAGAATCTTAGGCAGCTGGAATCTTGTCAACCCTCTTCTCAGAATGAATGAAGCGTGGATGGATGAATGTGCTGCCAGATTACAACCCCTGGTAGATCAATATAAAAACCCAGACAACACCAGACTTTCGCAATAGGAAAAATTCCGAGATTTGATCGTAACAACCCGATCATGTCCTGGGGACAAAAAAATCTCTTTTAAGATTAGGTACAGTGTGATAGAAGAGAAGGTTCTTATGAGTAAATACTTCGCAGGTTATTTATAGACACTTAAATGTAAAACAAATCTTTAATGTTTAAAAAACAAAGCTTTAATGTTTAAAAACAAATCTTTAATGTTTTAAAAACAAATCTTTAATGTTTTAAAAACAAATACAAAAATGATGCCAAACACCATTAACAACAATTAATATCACAAAAACTTTTTCAATATCGTGAATTTTAAAATTTCAATATTTTCATGTTTCATAATGCAATTTTCAACCTTCTATTTATTTTTGTGATAACTCTGATGACCCCATGAAAAGGTAAAATTGTATGTTCGCCTCAAAACAATTTAGATTTCTTAAATTCTAGAAATCGGCCACAACAAAAAAAATCTAAAATCACCCAAATTTTTCATTTTTATTTTTCAAAATGTTGATAGATCATCAAAACAAAACTAAGATTATTATCGGAAAGAAGAGAGAGCTGCTTTATATCCTTCAATCTTAACGTTATATGACTGGGGATAGATCTGCGGAATCAAATCTAATATTTAATTGTTTCTAAAAGTTTTCTGGATTTGAATTGATTTTTTTTCGCTGAAAACTATTCCTTTCTGACATTCGTATTACTTGTTTTTTTTCTTTTTCATAAATCTTAAAAATTAAAATCTTAAAATTAAACATCTCCCCGGCTCCCTGGGTTCCCCCGTCCATCCCGGATTTTCTCTCGGAACTGAGAAACTTGTGAACCCCAGATTTCTCTCCTAGCATACTTCTCTCTCTTCTTCTCCCGGACTATCTCCAATCCTCGCATTCTCTCTCTCTCCCTTCCTCGCATTCTCTCTCTTTCCCTTCCTCGCATTTTCTCTCTGTTCCTTCCTCACATTCTCTCTCTTTCCCTTCCTCCTTTTCTCTCTCTTTTCCTTCCTCGCATTCTCTCCCTTCCTCGCATTCTCTCTCTCTCCCTTCCTCGCATTCTCTCTCTTTTCCTTCCTCGCATTCTCTCTCTCTCTCCCTTCCTTGCATTCTCTCTCTCTCCCTTACGCGCATTCTCTCTCTCTCCCTTCCTCGCATTCTCTCTCTCTCCCTTCCTCGCATTCTCTCTCTCTCCCTTCCTCGCATTCTCTCTCTCTCCCTTCCTCGCATTCTCTCTCTCTCCCTTCCTCGCATATTCTCTCTCTTTCCCTTCCTCGCATTCTCTCTCTTTTCCTTCCTCGCATTCTCTCACTTTCCCTTCCTTGCATTCTCTCTCTCTTCCTTACTCGCATACTCCTTCTCTTCCTTCCTCGCATTCTAAATCTAAGAAATGGTTTTGAAAATAGCAGAAATTATGTCCCTGTCATTATTTTTAATTTGATTTTTTAATATTCGATTTAAAAAAAAGGAAGAGCTTAATATCTTTTACATATGATTTTGTATTTGCGTACTAAGCTTTTTTGTCGATGAGTAAAGAAGAATGCGTCATAAAACTACTTTTCGGAGCTTTCAGGTGCTTTCCTCCTTCCTGGCGTAGAGACACCTATACGTAGAAGGAGCTTTCTATATCCTTCTATATGTTCTCATGCCAAATATAGATATCTACACCTATGCAAAGTCGGCACCTCACAAAAATATTTTTGAAGCAAATTAATTAAAATATATTTTATCAAATATTGAATCAAGATTTAGGAATTTAAACTAAATTTAATAAAAATGTTGTGAAAATGTCAATTTATTAATCGTTCAAATATGAATTGAATTGAAATCGCTCTAAACCATATATGACCTGAGTAATAAGATAAAGGTGAGGGGGGGGGGTCCGACGGTTGACCGGTGTGCTTGAAGCAGCTAGTCCTGCAGTTTAGTCTTATACTTATGTTCGATATAGTGGAAGAGTGTTATTTCTGGGTCACTATTGCAGTCATAGCTTTCATCTCATTCATTTCTAGGTATAAATACAGACTAGTAGGAGAATAGATGGATATATCCTAGTAGGTAGAATAGAAGGAGAATAGGTGGAAATATCTAGGTATAAATACAGACTAGTCGGTGGATAGATGGATATATCCTAGTAGGTAGAATAGTAGGATAATAGGTGGATATATCTAGGTATATATACAGACTAGTAGGAGAATAGGTGGATATATCCTAGTAGGTAGAATAGTAGGAGAATAGGTGGATATATCCTAGTAGGTAGACTAGTAGGATAATAGGTGGATATATCCTAGTAGGTAGAATAGTAGGAGAATAGGTGGATATATCCTAGTAGGTAGAATAGTAGGAGAATAGGTGGAAATATCTAGGTATATACACAGACTAGTAGGAGAATAGGTGGATATATCCTAGTAGGTAGAATAGTTGGAGAATAGGTGGAAATATCTAGGTATATATACAGACTAGTAGGAGAATAGGTGGATATATCCTAGTAGGTAGAATAGTAGGATAATAGGTGGATATATCTAGGTATATATACAGACTAGTAGGAGAATAGGTGGATATATCTAGGTAGGTTGAATAGCAGGAGAACAGGTGGATATATCTAGGTAGGTTGAACAGCAGGAGAACAGTTGGATATATCTAGGTAGGTAGATAGGTAGGTTTATCCTAGTAAGCAACCTAATTGGAGAAAAAAATAGATTTCCTTTAAGTAGGCAGAATATTATTCCAATGAATCACAAAGTTTGATAATTTTTCTAATTGTAGATCTTGGACGTGTTTTATAAATACTGGCTGAATGCTTCATTAAAAATAAGTTCCAGCTTTCAGTGTCACTCAATCTAAATTAACAAAATTAAATGTATTTTTCAGACAAAAAATCTAATAAAAACATTTTTCTCATTTACTCCAAATTTTTTTTAATGAATGAGCGGTAAAATTAAGATTTCTACGTGAGAATGTACAAAACATTGTAGTTCATCACAGCTTAAGAAACATAGGATAGAAAAATATTGGGATATGTTTAGTAGTTTATCTATAAAAGGATATTAAATATGAGCGGTAGGAAAGATAAGAAGGATTGGGAGGCTAGCCGGACGGGAAAGGATAGGAAGGATATGAAATATGAAAGATAGGTAGGATAGGAATCATAAAAAGTATAAGAAGGATTACGTGATGGATAAGATGAAAGGTAGGAGGATAAGAATAAAAGGAATTATAAAGCAGGTTTTTGGAGGGCTAGGATGAAAGGTAGGAAGGATTGAAATAAAAAGAATTATAAAGGGAAAGGATAGTAAGGATATGAAATATGAAAGGTATGAAGGATTGGAATAAAAGGAATTATAAAAAAGGATTTCGTGAGGGATAGAGGATAGAAAGGATAGCACGGATAGGAATAAAAGGAATTATATAAAAGGATTGTAAGGGATAGAGGATGGAAAGGATAGCACGGATAGGAATAAAAGGGATTATAAAAAAGGATGGTAAGGGATAGGATGGAGAGGATAGCACGGATAGGAATGAAAGGGATTATAAAAAAGGATTGTAAGGGATATAGGATGGAAAGGATATCACGGATAGGAATAAAAGGGATTTTAAAAAAGGATTGTAAGGGATAGGATGGAAAGGATAGCACGGATAGGAATAAAAGGGAATATAAAAAAAGGATTCCGTGAGGGTTAGGATGAAAGTTAGGAAGGATAGGAATAAAAGAAATTATAAAAAAGGATTGCGTGAGGGATAGGATGAAAGGTAGGAAGGATAGGAATAAAAGGAAGTACAAAGAAGGATTGCTAGAGGGTTAGGATGAAAGGCAGGAAGAATAGGAATAAAAAGGATTATAAAAAAGGATTGCGTGAGGGATAGAATGAAAGGTAGAAAGGATAGGAATAAAAGGAATTATTAAAAAGGATTGCGTGAGGGATAGGATGAAAGGTAGGAAAGATAGGAATAAAAGGAATTATAAAGAAGGATTGCTAGAGGGTTAGGATGAAAGGCAGGAAGAATAGGAATAAAAAGGATTACAAAGAAGGATTGCGTGAGGTATAGGATGAAAGGCAGGAAGAATAGGAATAAAAAGGATTATAAAAAAGGATTGCGTGAGGGATAGAGGATAGAAAGGATAGCATGGGATATAAGGAAAGAAAGAAAGGAAAGAAAATTATGAAGGAAAAGTAAAAATGCAAATATTTTATAGTTTATATTGTTAATTTATTAATTTTACTTTTCATGGCGTCTGTCTAAGTTAATTTTACTGCTATGAAATTCAACCTGAGCTTAGAACTGCTGTGTTGGATAACCTTGATTTCAATCGCTTGGGCATTTTTGAATTTTACTCAGAATCTGCATGATCTCTTGATTTTTATATTCGCAGTTTATCTTTTCTCTCATTGGTTGAAATTAAATTTCCCTGACTCCTGATTGGTTTTTCGTTTTCTACAGATTTACGACATTCTTCATGGAATCTCGAAAAATCTGTAGATTAACAAAAGATCAATGCTTGATCTCTGTATTCATGATTAAAGAACTCCCATCTCTNCTTTTCCCAATTTCAAATCTAAAAAATACAATTTCTATTTCAGTTTCTTGTTTGGGCAGAATCAAGGAACAGACCACTACACCGTCCATTAGGAATAATTATTCTTAACAATTTATTTTTTAAAAAATTTAATTTTCCGCAATAGAATTATTCTTTGATGGACCAATTTTATTATTTAGCATATTGCCCATCTAATTTACAATTTAAATTCACTTCCTAAAATTTTTTATATTTGATTTGTAAAAAATTCATTCACAATTTCTAGAGTTTTCCTTCAATAAGTTTGTATGTTTTTAGCTCCGATTTAAATGGAAAGAGGAGAAGTTAAATGAATTTTTACTCATACACATTCTTTAATTTTCTAATCTCCATATATCTTTGCAAACTGTTATTGTAGTAGACCTTAAATATGTATTTTGCTACAGTTCAAGTTTATCACCATCAGGTTGCAAAGATATAAGGATTAGAAAGAATGAAGAGTGTGAGTACATGTGCATTTCTTTAGGAAAATTACAAATATTTGCTCTCTCCAGGCTTTTAATTTTCTTTACAGAAAATTAATTCACAAAAATTTATTTTGTAAAACTATTTTTTATTCTTCATGTTGACTCTTAATAACGAAAAATTTGTTACCGTAATACGGATCAAATTTTAAATCATACTTTTTTGACTCAGCTACTAGGTTCAGTTTATGCGTTGTGTTATTTCTAATAATATTATCAAGAATATTAGTTTAGACAATAGAAAGAGCTACCTGTGGACATTGTTTGGTTAGAAAACACAAGGTATTTAGTTTGGGACAAAAATAGTTTATTCTGGTATGAAGATAATTATTCTGATATGAAGGCAGTTATTCTGGTATACAGGTAGTTAGTCTGGTCTGTAGGTAGTTAGTCTCATATGAAGGTAGTTTTTCTGGTATACAGGTAGTTAGTCTGGTATGTAGGTAGTTAGTCTGATATGAAGACATTCATTCTGGTATACCGGTAGTTAGTCTGGTATATAGATAATTAACCTGATATCAATCTTTAAAGTTTCGTACCAAGGTCAAAATTTAGAAAAATTTAATTTTGATTTTCAACTATGCACTTTACATTTTAATATTTAAAGTTTAACGAACCTAATCAAATAAACTTGTTTACCTCACTTCTCAGATCTTCCATGATTTCTCTATCATTAAAACAATTAGGCTAAAATATTTCTTTTTAATTCAATAAGAATTTAATGCAAATATGGTTTATTGAAATGATTACATCAAATTTGATTTCGTCTTTTATTATTCAAAAATTCTTGAAATTCATTATAAAGTTTGTATTTCCATTAGATAATACTTTATTTATCAAGTTTCCTCTATTCCTTAAAACGATATCCTCAAAACATACAGAGAGACCAACCAAACTGTGGAATAGGAAGACGACTGTTAAACTCAAGTTATGATTCAAAATAGTTCAATGAACATAAAACACAGCAATTGGCCAGTGTAGCATTTCAATTTATAAGTTGATTTAAAGCGTTCAAAGAAACTGATTGCTTTATAGCAACATCAATTGCACATAATATTGCTAAAATACCGTCTTCCTCTTCTACAGTTTAAGCAACATCAATTGCATATAATATTGCTAAAATATCCTCTTCCTCTTCCACAGTTTAAGCAACATCAACTGCACACAATATTGCTAAAATATCCTCTTTACAGTTTAAGCAACATCAATTGCACACAATATTGCTAAAATATCCTCTTCCTCTTCTACAGTTTAATGGGTCTGAATATATTTAGGAAAATTCTTGATTTTCCTCTCTCTAACTATTTTCTCCTTCTTTAAATAATACTTACAGCTTCATTTCTTGGTATAAAGATCACTTATATACTTTAAAAATAATTATGGCAAAGTTTGAATGTTTAAGTTTTTATTTGTATTATAATGGGAATTGCTCGTTCTTATTTGCCTCATTCATGTACCATAGCTGGATCTTGTTGCATCCTATCTATCTATCTATCTACAGGGTGTCCCACATCATATTAGACCGTCAACGGGTCTAAATTGCAATTTTCGAGACTAATCAGAAAATTTAATAAGAATGAATGATTTTGAAAAATAACATAAGGCTTATATAAGAATTTTCTTGCAAAAAATGATAAGTTTTTCGAGTATTAAGGGTTTATTTTGGCGTTAAAGATNCCCCCCTCCTTTATAAATGGCCATGTACAGTGTACACTGTTTTAAAACCAGTTTCTACCGGTGTGAATCAGCAGATTAATCCGTCACTATAGTTTATTTCAAATTTTCCAATTAACAAAAATGATCGAATCTGAATTCTGAAAAAACTTTTAGGATTTAGATAATTTAGAACGGGAACAATCAAAGTTCTGAAAGAAAAAAAATAAAATTTAACGCAAAAGCCGGATGTAAAAGTTAATAAGATGAAAGGATATGACTTATTTCAATTCCATTTTAGAGATATTAATTTCAAAGTTGTTTTCGTACAAGCTTGCAAGGATACTTTACGAAAAACCTTCTCGAATATCGTCATGTTTTCCATTTTTTATTTTAAAATTGACATATATTTTTCATCTGTAATCCTAAAGTTTAATGTTAAATTCACAACGTACGCCTTGTTTTTATAAACAGTCAGTTGATGAACTAACAAATTGTCATAGTTGCCAAAGGTCGGCCGGGTACTTCAACTAAACCTCATTTTATAGTTTGTAAGTGATCTTATATTAACATGTATATATATATAAAAGTGGGAGTACGCTAGTGAGGATGGAGAGGACTATGAGTGGGAGTATTCTGATGAGGAAGGAGTAGAGAATAAGGAGAAGGAGAAGAATGATGAGAAGAAGGAGGAGGATGAGAAAGAGAAGAAGGAGAAGGAGGAGGACGAAGAAGAAGAAGAAGAAGAAGAAGAAGAGGATGAACTAGAACTAGAAGATATAGATCTCCCTGATCCATTCAGTAGTGAACCTATTCCAACTATCAAACCAGACGTAAGGAGCAGACTTCAGATAAACAGATATACAAGACTGTCTGCTCATCTGTTTTTGGTTTCAAATAAACAGATATACAAGACTGTCTGATTATCTGTTTTAGATTTTAGATAAACAGATATACAAGACTGTCTGATCTTCTGTTTTAAGCTTCAGATAAACAGATATACAAGCCTGTCTGATCATCTGTTTTTGGTTTCAAATAAACAGATATGCACGACTGTCTGAACATCTGTTTTTGGTTTCAGATAAACAGATAAACAAGACTGTCTGGTCTTCTGTTTTAAGCTTCAGATAAACAGATATACAAGACTGTCTGATCATCTGTTTTTGGTTTCAAATAAACAGATATGCAAGACTATCTGAACATCTCTTTTTGGGTTTCAGATAAACAGATATACAAGACTGTCTGAACATGTCTTTTTGGTTTCAAATAAACAGATATGCAAGACTGTCTGAACATCTGTTCTTGGTTTCAGATAAACAGATATTCAAGACTGTCTGATCATCTGTTTTAGAATCTTTAAAACTTATCGATATTATCTTTATCATAAAACATTCAGGATACAAAATTGGAAATTATTAATAAAGAAGATTAATTACTTTCCATTAAAAAACAACAAAAACACATGATATTAATATTGATAAGAGATAATATTTTGTATTGGTATACAATAATATATGAAGTTTTTTTAACCCATTAGAAAAGACGCAATGGGTGATAGTTTTAAAAATGTTATTAACATCTTAAAAGAATTGCAAGCGAAATTTCAAGTGAACTTCCCTGCAAAATAGGCAATGACCAATTCACTCCAACAACCCTAGAAACATATTGAAAGATATTGTCGTTTTTCTAGGTTTAAAATTATTCAATTCTAATAATTTCTAAATGTTTCCTGCAGTAGAAATGCGCGAGTCACTTTTGTAGAGAAACCACAATGGGAATCAATCAGTTTTCGAATTATAAACATGGATATCTAATTCATAGCTGATCAGACAAAGATTTAAGGGTTGTAAAGCGGGCTTAGCCAACTCTACATAAGGGTCACTTGAAATTAAGCTTACAGTCCCTTTAATATATTCTTTTGTGTGCTGTGTTTATTTATCAATACAGGGATCCCCTAAACTATTACTATTAAAAGTTGTGAAATGTCCCTGACACTGTGTTCATAATTTCAAACAAAATATTAGAAGCTCGATATTACGAAGTTTTATCGTTAAAATATATGAATTAATTATTTTGAAAAAATATTTAGAAAAAAATCAACGGAACTACTGACTCTAACGGGGTAGGAGAGGAAGAGGAAAAGAAGAAGAAACATCGTAAGAAGTCTAAACATCATGATAAATTCGTAAGTTAAAATTAAACATATATGCATGTATATTTATATCTATTTATATCTGTATACAGCTAAGCCTTGAATCAATCTTGAACTAAATACAGTGTTCTGGGGAAATACCCAACCCATGACTTCTCAGCTCTCATCCCTCTTCCTTCATCCCCCCCCCCCCCATTTACATACCTACTCCCCCACTTTCTTCTTCAGATTTCCCCCTGAAGAATACTGGGGGAGCGTAATTGACATTTAACAGGAACTAAGCGAAGGAAAAGGAAAGAAAGATTGGTGAAAAATGTATTAAAGTTCATTTCGTTTTTGTTTTACAATTTACACGATATCTAATACCTATACCTTCTAGAAACTTTTTATAATAAAATATATATTCATATTTAAAGTCCTATTATAATATCCTATGATAATCAAAACCAAAAAATACAGGCATGTTATGATGGTGCAATGTTATTCCGGTAATACAGAAGAACTTGATTTTATTAAGATAGTCGAGAAAGTTAAGAATTCTTGAGAATGATGAATTTTAAGAAAATACAGAAGAGAATTTAGAGAAAAGAATTGAAATGAAAGAAGAGAATTAAGAAAAGAGGAGAGTATAAATAAGAAGAGAATTGAAATAGAAAGGAGAATTTGAAGAAGATGGTGAATCAAGAGAAGAGGAGAATTAAGAAAAGGAGGGGAATTTATAAAAAGAGGAGAATCAAGAGAAAGATGAGAAATAAGAAAAAGAGGAGAATTAAGAAAAGAGAGAATTAATAAAAAGAGGGGAATGAAGATATGAATGAGAATTCGAAGAAGATGGCGAATCAAGAGAAAGTGGAGAGTTAGGGGAAATAGGAGAATTGAGAAAACGAGAAGAAATAAGAAGAAAATTAAAAAGAAGAAGAGAATTAAAAACAAGATGTGAGTCAAGGGAAAGAAAAAGATGAGAATCAAGGGAAACAGAAGAATTGAACAAAAGAGGAGAATCACGAAGAAGAGGAGAATTAAGAAGACAGAGGAGAGTTAAGAAGGAGAGGAGAATTAAGAAAAAGAGGAGAATAAAGAGATGATGGTGAATTAAAAGAATAAGAAAAATTTGAAGAAAAAGAAAATGCTGAAAGAGAACTGGGAGAAAATGAAGAATTGAAGACGGAAAAATAAGATGTAAAGAGATTGAAAGTTGTTAAAGGTTTGAGCCCACCAACTTTATTATTATACTTGCCAATGTTGTGGACCCCCCCCCCAAAAAAAAAAAAAAATCCTTTAGATATCTGAAATTCCAGCTTTGCACACTGCATTTATTGAACGTGACTCCCACCCCCCACCCACACACACACAACGATACAAGGATATTGTTGGCAAAGGTTGTTTGAAATTGTGTAAACAATTTTCTCTCTAATTCATACAACACCTCTCCCTCCTTTAGATTGGGTCACTTCCCTTACTAGAGTGTATAACATACAGGCGGACCCATAAAACTGTGAAAAAGGGAGACGACATTTAAGAAAACTTATGTGTATTTATTGTTTTATAAAGAAAATAGTTTCATCAGTAGCTCTAAACCTGCAACTTATTAGTTGAAATGGGTCACGGTGGACTAGGGTCAATTTGAATTCAACCCGGACTGATCCCTTCTAACATCCTTATTCCTTAGTGATCCGCAGCAAATACCGGCCCGACCCTATCCAATGCCAGCTCGGTTTCAACTTTGTTGGCGCGGCCAGACTTTTCACAGTACCCGGCCTATCATAAGCCTATTTGACCTGTACACTCATCATTTGCTGTGTTGCCAAGTTCGTTTCAACTCGTTACTGAAGTCTAAAAGACCACAGTTTTCTATAGGCCCACTTTACCAATAACCTAAGGTCTACTATTAGAATGTATCTACATGAGCATATTGATAAACAAACGGAAAAAAATCACGAAATATCTTTTAGATTATTATTTTTCAAATTATAATGGGAACCAAGCCGTAAAAACGATATTTGGTCTCACAAAAGTAGCAAGCAGAAATAAATAAGAATTCTAAAATTGTAATTTGAATCCAAACATGTCATTATCTATTCAAAGCGTGATGGATTTATCTAAAAAGTGGCAGTTGTCCGTTAAACACGTGATGGATTTATCTAAAAAATGGTAGTTGTCCGTTAAACACGTGATGGATTTATCTAAAAAATGGTAGTTGTCCGTTAAACATGTGATGGATTTATCTAAAAAATGGTAGTTGTCCGTTAAGCACGTGCTGAATGTCTATCCAAACAATGCATGGAATATCAATTCAAAATATATTATATGTCAATCCATAACGTGTTAAATATGTATATTAAAATATACAGAATGTCGTTACCATTACAAAACGTGCTGGATGCATCACCCATGAATTTACTGGATTTCTTTCCAAAACGTGCTGGATGTCCATTCCACATGCATACAAACGTGCTAAATGTTCTGTATCATACATTGGAATATTAATACAATTAATACAACAATACATTGAATAAACAAACCTTTATTCATAAAAGCTGTTTTTTTTTACAGATTCTTTGTTTTTCTTTAACTTTGTTTACTTTCAGGAGAAGTTTCGCAAACTTGAGGAGAAAGGATCAAAGGAAATTCATTCTATAAATATGTACCGTTGACTTATTCAACTTCATTTTATCTTTCAACATTAAAAATGTAATACGGCGCCATTAATAAAGGAATCTAGTCTTCGTCACAAACTCTGCCTTTCTAATCCTATCTTTGCAACCCAATTCCAAAGACACAACATATTTCAAACTTTTAATTATATGCGATAAAATAATACAAGTTTGAAATATCTAAGGGTTACACCGTTTGGTTGCAAAGTTATGGGGATTAGAAAATCTGAGTTTGTTGCAATTCCTCAATTTATAACAATTTCTAAATTCTGAACCAATATTTATTCATAACCACAGNCCAAACAAAGCACAACGACTTCGATTATGTTTCCAAACATTTTTCTCAGGAATAAGTTTTTAAGGATTTTCGTCCAGTAGTTAAAAGTATAGAGTTTGAACGAAAAAAAAATTTTATTTGGAATTTTTCTGGAATATTCCGAAGATTTATGTATAAACAGATACAAACTTGATAATATTTATCAAATATTTTTTATTAGACCACTACCTAGTTAGTTTCCTATATAATTCTTTTACTCTCTATTTTTACTTGAAAACGCTTCTCTTTTAAACTGAAATATTCGGAGAATGAGAATTGTAAACAGGGAGAAGAATTCCGTTCTAAGAAGATCCATGTACGGAGCAAAGATCCCAGCAAGATTGCAAGACAGTTTGAGAATGGATCAAAGGAGAAAGAAAAAGGTCCTAGGAAGGTAAAAAGAACATTTTCTGTAAAGGTCGAATCCCCCCCCCCCTTCTTCCCCCCTCTTCTTCACCCTTTTTCCATAAATTTTCATTTTATGTATACTTCAGTACATAATTTGGCATCTAGTCATCCTTTTGAACACACCATCAAATCTTTCTTTTTGTCCATAATTTTCATACAATGTATCCCTTTGTTCATAATTTTCATCCAATGTCCTTATGTCTATAATTTTTATCCACTTTATCCTTTGGACAATTCTTTTATTTTAATTCATTCTTTTTTCCAAAATTCTCCATTATTTCACCCAAACTCTACATCATTTCATCCAATTTCTTTTTTATTTCATCCAATCTCTCCATTATTTCATCCAATCTTTTCCTTTTTCATCAAATCTCTCCATTATTTCACCCAATCTCTCCTTTATTTCATCCAATCTCTCCATTATTTCATCCAATCTCTCCATTATTTCATCCAATCTCTCCATTATTTCATCCAATTTCTCCATTATTTCATACAATCTCTTCATTATTTCATTCTATGCTATCCTATCAATTATAGCTATTCTTTTTTCGTCCAATTATTCCTTCCAACTTAATCTAAATTATCCATTTATGTATTCGATCCTTTCTCAATCCTATTGTTTTATTTGAATTCAACGAAAAATTAAAAAAAAATATAAACTTAAATTTTTGTACATTTTAACTTTTAATTGAATTACCAAAGGAAGAGTTTTTGACACAAACTCTAAAATTATTATCTCTTTATCTGTGTGACCCGATGTCGTAGATCTTCGATATTTCAAATTATCAATTCTGGTAGACCAAATAGCCTGAGTTTGAAATATCAAAGGTTTACATCATTAGGTTTCAAAAAAAGAAATTGAGTCTTTGCCACAAAGTTTGAAATATCAAAGGTTTACATAATTTGGTTTCAAAAAAAGAAATTGAGTCTTTGCCACAAAGTTTGAAATATCAAAGGTTTACATAATTTGGTTGTAGATATAGAGGTATTAGAAAATTGGGATTTGTTGCAAAGACTCAATTCCTTTGGATTAGTAAATTTTAGTTCGTTGCAAAAACACAGTTTCTTTGCCTGTAAAATTGTAAAATCACGAAAAGAAAAAATGTTTAGGGAAAACTTAAAATCCTAAAACAAACCATATCAGACATATTTAATAAATATAATAAAAAAATGGTATATTTCTCTGTAGAATCGTTTTCATTATTTAGCATTTTTCCTTTTTTTCAGAGTTATATATCAGGAAGAGAGGCCCCTAAACCCAAACCTGTGGAGATTATTAAACTCTGCAAGGTAAGACATTAGAGTAAATAGACATAGAGTCTTCAACCCCCCCCCCTCCCAACACACCACCCTTTCCCCCCATTTCCTGCCTGGAACCCCTTCACTTCTAAGGGTGCAGTTTAATTAATAATCCCCCGTTGAGGTCACTGAGTTAGAAAGCTGAGAGAAAACAGGATTCTACGGACTTTCTTTTACAAACTACTTAAATAATCTTGATGCAATTGCAGTCTAGTGTGAGAAATGTTATTAAAATCTACACCTACCTGAGCCCACTTGTACTCGAATACACATAAAATCTTTATCTATTTACTCTAATGGTAAGAGACCGAATATATAAATTTTTCTTTTTTATCAATTGTAATTTTAATCAAATAGTTATCTAAAATTATTTTTTAAAGCGATAAGACTTGTAAATTAATGTTTATAGAAATGTGATTATGTTAAAAAATGATAAAAAATAATGTACTTAATTCAAACTAGGATTTCATAACAAAAATTAAACTATACATTTTTTAAAGCCAAAAATAGGGGTAATTAATTTTTCAAGTAATTATGAATTGAGTTTTAGCCACAAATTCAAATTTTCTAATTCCTATATCTTTGCAACCCGATGGTGTAAACCTTTGATGTTTCAAACTACGATTATTTGGTCAAACAGAGTTCATAGTTTGAAATATCTAAGATCTACATCGGGTCGCAAAGATATAGGGGTTAGAAAGTCAGACTTTGTGGCAAAAACTCAATTCCTTTGATACTAAAGTTCAGGAATGATATGGCCGGAATTTAAATTTAAAAAAAAATTAAGTATGTTAACATTTTAAAATTATTTACTATTTGCAGATCTGTGGCAAGGAACCCTATCTTGTGGAGAGAATAGTTGCAGAGAAATCATGGTGGCATAAAAACTGTTTTAGGTGAGCTAAACTTTAGATTAAAGTTTAGGTTAAAGTTTAGATTAAAGTTTAGATTAAAGTTTAGGCTAAAGTTTAGATTAAAGTTTAGGCTAAAGTTTAGATTAAAGTTTAGGTTAAAGTTTAGGTTAAAGTTTAGGCTAAACTTTAGATTAAAGTTTCAGTTAAAGTTTAGGTTAAAGTTTAGGTTAAATTTTAGGTTAAAGTTTAAGTTAAAGTTTAGGCTAAAGTTTAGATTACAGTTTATGTTAAAGTTTAAGTTAAAGTTTAGGTTAAAATTTAGGTTACAGTTTAGGTTAAAGTTTAGGCTAAAGTTTAGGTTAAAGTTTAGGTTAAAGTTTAGGTTAAAATTTAGGTTAAAGTTTAGGTTAAAGTTTAGGTTAAAGTTTCGTTAAAGTTTAGGTTAAAGTTTATGTTAAAGTTTAGATTAAAGTTTAGGGTAAAGTTTAGGTTAAAGTTTCGTTAAAGTTTAGGTTAAAGTTTATGTTAAAGTTCAGGTTAAAGTTTGGGTTGAAGTTTAGGTTAAAGCAGGGTACTGATGCAAGGAAAGTTATTTCAGAGGTGTACGCATCATTTGTACTGCAGTGTACTGTCTCTGGGCGGTAATGTAAACACAATACGGATGTCACAGCCTGACATGGGATCCACATAAAAAGCAATGAACTATTCTGGTCATAGGAAACTATTATGTGAATTATCAAAATTTTCAAAATTCACTGCTTTTATTCTACACGGATACTAAACGAACACTGATGCATCTATTCTTGTTTACAAATTCCGCCCAGAGAGAACTGGTTTCAATATGTACGCAGAGTATACGAAAGTGCAATTAACTTACCTTGCATTATAACCTTAGAGAAAGGGTATAAGTGTAATAAGTTTACCAGAATAAAGGAACTGTAGATGTATTTTCCATTTTTATAAAGTGGCAGGTCCGTATCAAAACAGTACCCTATTCAAGTAATAATGAGGAAGATATATTCATTTTCTAACTTAAAAGTGTTAAGGTTTCACCATTTTTCTCATTGTCTGAGCAGCAGAAATCCGCATTTTACCTTCAACACGTTTTAAAATAATGAATTTTTATCTAAAATAAGGATTTCTCGTTTATCCTAAATCAGACAAAGGTTTATATGGTACCATTGTGCATCGTCCATATCATGCTCTGTAAATAATCTGGCATGCGTATTTTTGCGTAAAATCAAAGAAAGAGGAGCTGCGAGGTGACAAAGTTGAACCAGTCATTTCGCATCAATTTTTTCTGTAATTATAATCAAAAATAAAAAAATTTCAGTGTTCAATTTTTCACAATTTTCTTCATTGTCTCGGAATCACTAATCACTTTTAAAGAGAAATCACAATTGAAAATAGTCCATAGTAAAAATTTCTAGAAAATGTAAAGTAAGGTAAGTAAAAAAATGGTCTATTTATGAATTATAACAAAAACATACAAAATTAAGTGTTTCAGGAGAAAATATGTTAAAACCCTCTAAAAGTAGAGGTTTATAGAACTTCTCTTTTAAAATGAATTAGTCCGAGATCGATATAGAATGTTTTTAACAAAATCTTAAAGGGAGTGACTGACTAGACCAAAAACTCGTTCTGGATAATTCTGATATGATATCTTGCTCTCGATTCGATTTTTAGAAAAATAGATTAAAAGGAATATTTTCAAAATTTTTGATCTTGATAAAAAAACGCGTATATTTTCGCAGCTTTGTACATGTAAATAAGAATTAACGACTTTGCGACTTTATAGTGTCGTTACCCCTTGGTAAATAGCTTACTTCTACTTTTTTGCTGCCCCGAACACAAAATATTTGAGATACAACTTACTTTAGTTTAAAAAGAGTAATTGGAAAAATCCTGATCGATTATTGTAATATAAAAATGCCCTTTTAGCTACATCTGTGAAAAACGCAAAGGAAATTTTGGCTCAAACTTTAAATTATTCTGGCCTTAGTAACGTCTTTGAGCGGTAACACATGTGTTATGCTTAAAAATGTTGGTCAAATTTAGTATTCCGAAATAAGTAAACAATTCCTTTAAGAAGAATATTAGAATTTATATGATATATTGACATTTTCCATGGTCTTCTAGACTTGTTTCGATCTATTTTATATCTTGGTCACCTTGCTATTTTTTCTAAATATCTTGATTCTTCTAAATCTTCTAAATCTGATGGTTCGCCTAAAGTTCTCCTAGTTTTCCAAGTTCTCCTAGTTCACCCAGTTCTCCTAGTTCACCCAGTTCTCCTAGTTTACCAAGTTATCCTTAATCTCCTAGCTCTCTTAAGTCTCCTAGTTCTCTTAAGTCTCCTAGTTCTCTTAAGTCTTCTGTTTCTATATCTCCTACAAAACTCGCTTAAATATCCTAAATTTCCTAAATCTCCTATTGTTCCCCTAAATCTCCTATTTTTCCTAAATTTCCTAAATCTCCTAAACCTCCTGGTTCGTCTATATAAATATGTATTAAATGTATTACTATTTATTGCATAATCTGAATATCACAGTTGGGAGAAATTGAAAAAGAATTTCCATTTTCGATAAAGCTATATCAACAGCAAGCCTTTTAATACAAAAATGCATGAAAAAAATATGCAGAAAAACATCCCCGATGCACTTCAATATACCCAAAAGTAACAAGGTCGTGCAAATTTATGCCAAAAAATTACTCAAAGTCCTATGACCTGGACCACAAACTATGATTTTCTAAATCCTTTTATTTCAACCTTTAATAATTCTAACTATTAATTCTGTTAGATTAAATAGTTCTATGTTTGAAATATTAAAAGCTTTACAGTAAAAAGGAGTTAAATTTTAACAAACGCAAAACTTGACTTAATATTGAAATCTACTTTAGTTTGATATATTTAGGTGTACGGACTGTAAGAAAACCTTGAATCTTGACACATATTCTTCTCATCAAGGTAATTTTCTTTTCCTATTTTCATCGTCACTACGGTTTGGTTCAAAGATAAGAGAGTACAGAGAATATGCCATATTTTCCACAGCATGTTCCATTGTGTATACATGGTGTTCACGACAAATAAACAGACTTCTGTATTCAGGGATATTTAAGGATTTTTTGGATACGACATACAAAACCTTCAAAAATAGACTAAATTCATAAATTTTATATTTTATGTGGAAAGTTATATATTTCTTTAAAAACTGTAAAACTTAACCCGTTTGATGGCAGTTCAAAATCTTTCGTAGAAATGTACCATGTTGTGCCGGGACAACGTAGGCCTGTTTAGCCTCTCCAGATAGAGCTTACGAGCAGCCTGTGTATATCTAGTCTATGGTTTGGCCCAAAGATTGTCCTAGGGAAAATTTTTTTGGTCTTTGGTCTTTTGGCTATTGTCTATGTTCTATGGTCTATGGTCTATGGTTTATGATCTATGGTCTATGGTCTATGGTCTATGGCCTATGGTCTATAGTCTATGGTCTATGATCTATGGTCTATGGTCTATGGTCTATGGTCTATAGTCTATGGTATATGATCTATGTTCTATGGTCTATGGTCTATGGTCTATGGTCTATGGTTTATGATCTATGATCTATGGTCTGTGGTCTATAGTCTATGTTAAATGGTCTATGTTCTATGGTCTATGGTCTATAGTCTATGGTCTATGGATTATTGTCTACGGTCTATGGTCTATGGTCTAGGGTCTATGGTCTATGGTCTATGGCCTATGGTCTATGGCCTATGGTCTATGGTCTATGGTCTGTGGTCTATGGTCTATGGTCTATGGTCTATGGTCTATGGTCTATGGTCTATGGTCTATGGTTTATGGTCTATGATCGATGTTCTATAGTATATGGTCTATGGTCTATGATCTATGGTCTATGATCTATGGTCTATGGTCTATGGTCTATGATCTATGGTCTATGGTCTATGGTCTATGGTCTATGGTCTATGGTCTATGGTCTATGGTCTATGGTCTATGGTCTATGGTCTATTGTCTATGGTCTATTGTTTATGGTCTATAGTCTATGGTCTGTAGTCTATGGTCTATAGTCTATGGTCTATAGTCTATGGTCTATAGTCATAGAGAATAGAATATATAGAGAGGAATTTACTAGAAAAAAGTGTAAAACGGCCATTTTTTTGTACTGTTTCCATACTACAGGTGTACTTCACATATTTATGCTATAGAACCTTTTGGGCCCTGGAATATCATTTATAGAAAATCTAAAATTAATATTAAAAGAAAACCAAATTTAAAAATAGGCTGGTTTTATAATGGACCATGTGATCATTTCACATAGACTCTATGCCTTTCACTCTACAAACGATGATTTTCCGTTATAACTATAAATCAAATGATGTTTTTTATTCACCTAATTCATTATAAAGTTTATTTAACAGATTTAAAAAATTTGAAATGGAAATGGATAGTCTAAGGAACATACTGTATTATTGTACTCTACTGAATATAATTTGTGAACATTTACATGATTTGTACAGTTTGAACTCCCTTTCAGGCTGAAAGGGACTGAAAAAATTCATACCGAGAGATTCTCTAAATTCCCCTCTCATATACATTCTATTTTCGTTATCTATAGTCTATTGTCTATGGTCTATGGTCTAAGGTCTATGGTCTATGGCGTATTGTCTATGGTATATGGTCTTTGGTCTATGGTGTATTGTCTATGGTCTATAATTCAGAAACATTGTTCATGGTCAATGGTCTACAACAGGATTTGTGTATACATAAATCTAAATATGTATATTCTACACAAAAAGGCAGAAAATCTAGTCTTGTCCTAAAATACAGATTTCCATAATATTTTGAATTTCTTCTATTATCAAATTTTCTAACCTCAAAGAGGATAGTGGGACAGAGAATATTAATTATAACAATTCAATATAACTTTATCGAGGACTAGATATCCAGATGCCTGGGTATATTTCGAACACAGACAATGGTCCAATCCAAGAGACAAGAGACGCAAGAGACGTAATAAAGGGTGTAACTAATTCCGGACATTTTGCGCAAAAGTTGTTCCGAGTAAAAATTGCACGAAATTTAGAATAATTGCTCATTGATAAGCAAAAGCTATTGCGCGCAAATTCTGAAAAAAAAATCTTTGTTTTTTTGCATTTTTCGATATTTCAGTATTTCGAGAAACAATTCTATGAAATTAATGAAAGAAATTTTTTCTATATCAGCATTTTCAGAAATTTACAAAAAAAATAAGATTATAATTACCTTTTCACATTTAAGGGGTGATTGTTGTGTTTTCTACAAACCACCGAAAAAAAATCTCTAAAAAAGTTTTTGAAAACGAAGTCCTAAAATTTAGCACCCAAAAATCCTGTGGAAAATAATCTTGTAAATGAAACTATTTAATTTTGAGACTTTTTTCTTCGAATTCAGGAAAAAACGTTTTTGAAATCTTTATTTTCATTTTTTCTCGGGACTTAAGAAAAATTAGGACTTTTCATTCCCAGTTTTTATTTCCCGTTTTATTTCAAGAAATTTTTTTCCGGTAACTTTCTAACATAGATTTGTATATCTAGGAGTAATCTACTGTAAACCCCACCACAGGGAGTTGTTTCAACCTAAACCGGTTCTCATGGATCTAACGGAGGAAATAATGAAGAAAAATCTAGACTTTTCTATGGAGGATCCGATAGGTATTATATATTATTTATTCATTCAGAATTTTTGCATGGATGACAATGTCTTGAAAGATTAAAAAAAAATTCTAAGAAACTGAATACACGCCACAAACTCATCTTTTAAAGCCCTATATTTTTGGTGCACTTGGAAAATCTTTGATATTTGAAACCTTGACTATTTAATCCGGAAAATATTTTGCCAAAGTTTTAAATATCATTGGTCTCCGACATCAAGTGTCAAAGATAAGGATTTGTAAATTACAGTTTGCGGCGAGTATTCAGTTTCTTTTCTGAAGGAAAAAATCATCTGTCACCATTTTACCTTTTTCACGTCATTTCCTCTTTCTTTAATCTCTTGTGGGGAGCACCCCACCTCCCCCATATCTCCACTGGGACCGCTTTGTGCATTGGCAGGTCTTGCAGACTCAATTTCCTCTTATTTTAAGTTTGACATATATTTTTATACGTGACAGTTTTATGAAACATATTCATTCATCTCTGAAAAGGATTTGGTTTTATAAATATTTTTCTTTTATTATAATTTGAACAAGATTTGTAAATAGATTTGTAAGCGAAGGAATCTTTTGCACCTTTTTTACTGTTTCCTAATAATCCCTTTAAAGCGTACTAACGCATTTCACCGTCCAGAAAATACGCAATAAATATGAAAATAAAGGAATTCTTTTGCCCTGCACATGGCCATCTTCAAGCACACTGGAAGCATGCTAACCCCCAAAGAATGAGACTTCAGAGACGACTTACGGAATTTATTAAGTTATCTTAGCTGAGCTGAAAACTTTAAAATCATATATCCTTAATCCCGATTACTTAATCTGAGTATCCAATGGACACACTTTTGATTTTCTTCTTAAACCGTTCTTTCTTGGATATAGTAGAGAATAATTAAAAACCGGTTTTTCTAAATTTGAAAGTCCCTCCCTATTCTGTATATAATCTTAAATGGCGCGCAAAATTTCAAATTTAGCAGCTTCATATACCGACTCTGATTGGTTGAATTTTATACACTTTTCAGGGATACAAGTACAAGATTAGATTAGTCTCGATATTATGAAAAAGCGAGGTTCAAGCATTAATCTCGATATCCGCCATTCTAAAGTTTTCAGCTCTGGGAAACGGGAGGGACTCTCAAATTTTGAATAAAACCGGTTTTTGATTTATCTGTATTTTATCCAAAAAAGAGTGTATTAAGCAAGAAATAAAAAGTGTCCACATTAGATATTCGGATTAAGCAGTCGGGATTAAAGGTATCCCATTCTAAAGGTGCTAGATCTAATACAAAAGTAATAATCTCTGTTTTGGTGTATTGTTTCCGTGTATTTCCGATCATAACTTATCAAAGGGAGTGACCGGCAATGTATGTTAAACTGAGAATGTAGTACTGTGGAGAAATTTTTTAGGATTCATTTAAGACAAATAAAACGTTTTTTAATTAACGTATAGTTACTGAGTTTGAGCGCAAAGTCGACGTTCAAAATCATCCATTTGGGTGGTTAAGTGTTGAGAATTGTTTTTTTAGATTTTTAAATAACGACGGCAAAAATGTAACAAAAATTCTAAACCAATTAGTTTTTAGGAACAGTTTGAGAAAATGAAATTGACTCTTATTTCCAAATGTTTGTTGGGCCCAACCTACACATTTTGTTTTTGTTTTGTGTTCCCTTAGTTATATTACTCTAGAGACCTTTAGTTTACCCTCTAAATAAACAATATATATAGTGGAGAAACTATATATTTCATATCTTTACTCATAGATATATTATATATTCTATCCTTTAGTTTACCCTGTATAGAAACTATATATTTCATTATCTTGATTAACATATTAATATATCTTATATTTTTTATCTTTTTTATTTATATTTTTATTTTATAATGTACATACTCTATCAATCCATCTATGTTTTGAGAAAGAATTTTTTTTGAAAGTTGAATTATGTAGAATTAGTGTATCGTCTTACATTTTTCCTTCCCTTTACCTTGTAACATTTTTCCTTCACTTTACATTGTAAGATTTTTCTTTTACTTTACCTTGTAACATTTTTCCTTCACTTTACCTTGTAACATTTTTCCTTCACTTTACATTGTAACCTTTTTCTTTTACTTTACCTTGTAACGATTTTTCTTTTACTTTACCTTGTAACATTTTTCCTTCACTTTACCTTGTAACATTTTTCCTTCACTTTACATTGTAACCTTTTTCTTTTACTTTACCTTGTAACGTTTTCCTTTTCTTTACCTTGTTACATTTTTTTTATATTGTAACATTTTTCCGTCACTTTACCTTGTTACATTTTTCTTTATTTTACATTGTAACATTTTCCCTTCACTTTACCTTGTAACATTTTTCCTTCACTTTACATTGAACATTTTTCCTTCACTTTACATTGTAACATTTTTCCTTTACTTTACCTTGCAACATTTTTCTTTATTTTACATTATAACATTTTCCCTTCACTTTACCTTGTAACATTTTCCCTTCACTTTACCTTGTAACATTTTTCCTTCAATTTACCTTGTAACATTTTTCCTTTTCTTTACCTTGTTACATTTTTCCTTTTCTTTACCTCGTTACATTTTTTTTTTTTTTTGTAACATTTTTCCTTCACTTTACCTTGTAACATTTTTCCTTCACTTTACCTTGTAACATTTTTCTTAATTTTACATTGTAACATTTTTCCTTCACTTTACATTGAACATTTTGCCTTCACTTTACATTGTAACATTTTTCCTTTACTTTACCTTGCAACATTTTTCTTTATTTTACATTGTAACATTTTCCCTTCACTTTACCTTGTAACATTTTCCCTTCACTTTACCTTGTAACATTTTTCCTTCAATTTACCTTGTAACATTTTTCCTTCACTTTACCTTGTAACATTTTTCCTTCACTTTACATTGAACATTTTTCCTTTACTTTACCTTGTAACAGTTTTCCTTCACTTTACATTGTAACATTTTCCCTTCACTTTACCTTGTAACATTTTTCCTTCACTTTACCTTGTAACAGTTTTCCTTCTTTTTAACTTTACTTATTTCTCGCCTAAAACTCAAATTTTCTTATCTTTTTAACCTGAAACCAGATTTACTTCAAAGTGACAAATAGTTGTACGACGTAGGCGCAGTTAACCCACTTATCTTTCAAGTTAAAGAGAAGGGGTTTAACCTGATCTCAACATTCATTAAAAAAAAATTAAGTTTTAGCCACAAAATAAAATTTTTTAATCCCTATATCTTTGCAACTTGACGTTGTAAACCTTTGATATTCCAAGCTTAGAATATTTGATTTAACATAATTCATAGCTTGAATATCAAAGGTCTACGATTTCGGGTTGCAAAAATAAAGAGATTATAGAAATGTTAGACTTCGTTAAAGTTTTTATATGGCGGCAATTTTTTTTTAAATACTCTCCGTTAATTATATTGTTTTTTTTTATAGAACGCCATCGGAACCAGGAAAGGAAGATGGAGACGATAGTTCGAGAGAACAAACCGGTTTCACTTGAAGGAGTTGTTAAATCAAGGGTTGATGACAGCAAGTGGGAAGGCTTAGATAAACTTGATGTTGGATCAAAGTTTCTTATGTTTGAGAAAGGGATGAGTGAGGAGAGAGAACATAAAGTTGCATCTGACAGGTTAGTTTTTCCTCCGGGTTCAGAAATATTAGATTTATGCTCCGGGTTCAGATATATTAAAGTTATGCCCCGGGTTCAGATTTATTAAAGTTATGCTCCGGGTTCAGATATATTAGAGTTATTTAATCAATTGGCCTTTCACTCTTTATGCCGTTTACATTACATATGAGGGTAACCTATAGTGAAAAAGTTCTTTAAATAAAAATACACGGGAAATATTGTCGACCTACCATTTTGAAACTTAATTTTCAAAGACTTTTATTCTGGTTCCAGTATAATTTCATACAAAAACGTCCTGTAATACAGTATAAAAAGGTGAAAATGGATGATAAACCATGTAAAAAACGTCCAATAAACAGTATATAAAAACTATGTGTTTGCAGTGGTTAATAATTTTTAGGTAGAAAAATGAAATACTAGACTTTTAGCTCTTCCCGACCCCTTTCCTGTAAATAGTTTTAGCTTTTAACTGTTGCTCTGAAAGTCGGTCATTTAAAATCATTTTCAAATTTTGGCGGTTTTTTCTTTTCGAGTTGGCGCATTAATTCTTCCATTTTTAATGTTCCATAAACCTTCCCTTGGCCAGTTATGTAAGGTCCCACACAAAATGTGGGCCTGATCAGTTTTGACGTTTATCGGTTACAAACAAACAAACAGACAGACAAGCAAATATATATACAGATATCACAAATATTTAAACAAAGTGTAGGTATAAGTATCATTTCCTTTTCATGGTTTATAGAAGAATAAAAAACTTTTAAAAAGATGTGCATTGTAAACTTGTACAGGAGATTATATACAACCTTTCTTAGGACTTTTTTCCTGCAGACTTAAGTTACTGAGTTCAAATTTCCCGAGACTTAGAACTTTTTTTCTAGGTTTTTCTTTCCCTTTTTTCAGATCCCTTTCCCCCGTGAATTTCTTACAGACATTTACACATATATAAATATTTATATCACTATATATATCAGAAATCGGGGGTCCGTCCTAGTACACGATTTTTGGACCCCTCTCCCTTAAAATATGTCTACAACAAGACTGTTTGCAGAATATCAATTCCTTCATATCATCACGAAAATATGAAACTTTTTCAATTTTAACTCTGAAAAGAGACGGAGAGAGTTATAAGATTGAGGAAAATATTATTGTATAAACTTCTAGATTTTCTTAAATGTAGGAGATATTCGTAAATTATATCTTTTCTAGTTCCTTTTTTTCATCGGTTGTGCTGAGATGAGAAAACATGAAACTTTAACTAAATCCTGAAAAGCTTTAAATCTAATCTCCTGAAGGTTAAAAAAGGCAACCTCCCGTGACTATCTATCTGTCCTAACTTGGAATAGTATCATCANGGAACAGAAGAACTACAAGTTAAGTTTTCGGTCTTCTGTCTTTTAAAAAATCTGTCAGAACGTCCCTGAATTCTCATTCTTTGTTGTTAGTCCTGTATACTAATAGATAAATTCTTTGAACCTTTAATATTTTAATATCTTTTTTTTATAAAATGAATAATTGATCGCATTATAACCTATTTAACCTCATCAGAGTTATGAATGAAAGTACGATTTTTACAAAAATGTCAAATACTTGAAATATTTTAATCCTCTTTAAAAATGTGTATTTTGTGAAGATATGGAATCATGGAGAAGTTGAAGAGGCTGGAGGCTGGTGAGGCTGTAGAGGATCTGCTGGCGGAGATTGACGAGGAGATGCCGAGTATGTCGGAGGACGAGGAGGACGACGACGAGGATACAGGACTAACTCAGGTTCAGAAGAAGGTATGGATTCACTTTAGCAATGATCGTGTAATAATAAGGAGAGTGGGGCCTGGATACTCTTGATTCAATGAGTTTAAGAATAAGGAGCGAGAAGTCTGGATTCGATTGATCAATGAATGTAAAAAAGGAGAGAGAGGTTTGGATTCAATAGACCAATTAATGTTAAAATAAATAAAAAACTATGAATTCTCTTAAAATCAATGAGAGTAAAAATAAGGAAAGAGAGGTCTGGGTTCGATCGATCAATAAGTTTAAGATTCAGGAGAGAGATTTTGATTCAATAGATCAAGCAAAGTAGAAATAAAGAAAACTATGAATTCTTTTGATCAATGAGAGTGAAAATAAGGAAATGAGAGATGGTTTATATGGATCAATGAGAGTAAAAATAAAGAAAAGGTGATCCGGGGTCGGTCATGTACTTCAACTGAACCAGAGAGACCAATTAAACATAATTTTTTTGTTTTTCCTCCTTTTTATACTTTTTAGTCGACAGGTGTGCTTGATAACGTATTCTGTTTTGAATGATAATAATACAAAATTGTGTTTTTGAACAGTACAGAATTGTAATTTTCTTGGAGATCGGTTTCTATTAGATTCAACAAATGTTTTTCCTTCACAATACATTTATCTTTTATTATTAGTTTATTCTTCATTCCAATATTGTATACTTTTACAATTTATCTTATTTTCATCTTATTTTCATCTTATTTTCATCTTATTTTCATCTTATTTTCATCTTATTTTCATCTTATTTTCATCTTATTTTTATCTAATTTTCATCTTATTTTCATCTTATTATCATCTTATTATCATCTTATTTTCATCTTATTTTCATCTTATTTTTATCTAATTTTCATCTTATTTTCATCTTATTATCATCTTATTATCATCTTATTTTCATATTATTTTCTTCTTATTTTCATCTTATTTTCATCTTATTTTTTATTTTCATCTTATTTTCATCTTAATTTTATCTTATTTTCATCTTATTTTCATCTTATTTTCATCTTATTTTCATCTTATTTTCATCTTATTTTTATCTTATTTTTATCTTAGTTTCCCCTTTCACAAAAATATTTATTAGGCTCAGAATGCAGAGAAGATGTTTGTTGAAGATTCACGGAAGGAGAAGCTTCAGCAGCAGAGGAAGAAAGAACTCAAGGTACAAGGATGTAATGCAAGGAAAGTTATTTCAGAAGTGTACACATCTTTTGTACTGCAGTGTACTGTCTCTGGGAGGTAATGTAAACACAAGACGGATGTTACAGCCTGACATGGGATCCATCTTTCACATAAAAAATCAATGAAATATTCTGGACATAGGAAACTACTATGTGAATTGTCAAAATTATCAAATTTGATGCTTTTAACCTCCTCGGATACTAAACGAACACTAATGCATCTATTCTTGTATACACGACCGCAATTAACTTTCCCTGCATTACACCCTTGTCAAGGTAGAAATTTTTTTCTTCTCCAGGTTTTGAAAGTTTATTTCCGTTGTATACACTGTACAGTAAACATGGTTTATCATTACACTTACACAAGATAAAGAAGAAAAAGATATACAACCCGGACTCGATATGTTCTTAGCAACATTTCATAATAAAAAGAAAGAAAATTTTGACTGTTTTCTGGTTCTCACTGTATTCAAATAAAATAATCATTCAAGTAAGAACTAAGAATATACCGGAACTTTCTTATACATGAAACTTGCATGAAACAGAAAAATACTTATAAAGCCCGAAATTTAAAAATGATGAAACTCGATTATGGTTTCGACTTCTTTTAATATAACGTGACGTTCTGGAGTTTCATAAAACTCAAGAAAACTAGGTTACAAAAACCACTCATTCCAATTCCAACTCAAGACGGTTTCCCCGGATTTGTTCCAAGTTTGGTTTGGGGCACTCGGATAATTTCAGCTTGATAGAAAAATTGAATACACTCATACACTGTACAGTGAACAGTGCACAAGGAAAATGGAAACTTTGATTTATAATTTTCCTTTATTTCTCGGGAATTAATATTTTAGGATAAAACATGCATGCGACAATTTGATCAAATATCTCTCTTGCAGCCAAGAGCCATTTTCCACCTAATTGCTTTATATTTATACTGTTAATATAATCATCAATTTGTAATTGTAAAATAGTTCTGTACACAGATACCTGTATTTTAGCAATAAACTTTATCTTATCTTATCTTATCTTATGCTACATGCAGTCGGATATCAAGCTTTATTCGGGGTTAGCGGGTCAAACCCCTTAATTTTTGGAGTTTAACAATGTTACCGTTTAAACCAAAGACTAGATATACATAGACTACTCATAAGCGATCACTGGCTAGGCTAAACAGGCCAATAGTTGTACCGGCACGACATGCTACATTTCCACGAAATGTTTTTGACTGCCATCTAACGGCCACTTGTTGCATATAATACCCATTCAGGGGTTAAGTTTTTACAATTTTTAAAGAATACTCAAACTTTTAACTTAACATTTACGAAGTTATTCTTACAGACTTTCTAATCCCTATATCTTTGCAACCTAAGATTCTGTCCGATCAACTAATAAAAGTTTGAAATATCTAAGGTTTACACCATCAGATTAAAACAAAGACAAAGAAATTAGAAAATTCAAAATTGTGGCAAAACCTCAATTCCTTTGATTTGTGAAATATTTTTTTGTTTTAGAATTTACGAGATCGATTAATGGCAGGAACCAGAGACTCTATCCTGGATTCATTCGATGAAATCAGTCATAAGAAAATCAAGAAAACCCAGGTAATAATATTTCAGAATAAATGTTAATTTACCTTCTCTTGTTTAATGAACATATTGAAATTCGACTAATATGCTTACAAAAATTTGACAATATTTGATGTTTTGATAATAATAATAACAAAAAAATGTAATCGCTTTTGTTTGTCAAAACTAGTGTTTTCTCATATTTTAGAAAATAATGGAAAATCGGGCATATTAAAGGTTGTGTACTTCTGAGAACTGGTATATTTTATTTCAAATTTTCATATATCATCAACTCTAAAGTTTGTAGAAAATTTTTGAAGATTCTTATTTTATTTTATACTAGCTGAAGGTCCCGGCGTTGCCCGTGGAATCAAAATAAATTGAAAAATTGTTTTAAAAAAATCGAAATAAAATATACGCAACATATATACGAATGTCTTGTTTTATTATTTAGACTTCCTAAAGGGTACGGCGTTGAAATGTTGAAAAAAAAATAATTTTGTTTGCCTATTAAACCCTCCGGCCACCCATGAGTGTCCACAAATTTTTTTGGCCCAATCGGTTCAGCCGTTTGGCCGGCTATACGCAACATATATACGAATGTCTTGTTTTATTATATTTATTACTTAGTCCTATTTATATATCAAAACTAGAATTAATCAAGCTAAAATGAAATGTGGTTTTTAAATCTTCTAATTAGATTATTAGAAATAAAGAGTAAAAAGCTTAAAAATAAACCACTCTAAAGATTCAGTCTCCAAGGAGACCCTGTTTTTTACATTTGTATATTCATACAGAGCTGGGAACTTTTGAATGGTTGATATCGGGATTAATGCTAATTAATTGTTAATTAATTATTAATTTATTAATCCACTCTTTTTCTTAATCTCCAGATCAAATAATGCTTGTTCTCCTCTTGCTATTAATCTTCAGATCAATTAACCGATCGGGATTAAGGATATCCCATTCTGAAGTTTTCAGCTCAGGGTTTTTCTTAAAAAAGAAATTGTTGGAAAAGCCTAAATTTTAAACCGATCTTTTTGTATATTAAAAATATTTATTAAAAGTGTCCGATCTAGTTAACCATAAACCTTATATCCTGATCAGGTCTCATTCGTACACGCTCTAATTTTGGGTAATTCTCTTATACAGTAATTGATTTTTGTTTTTTGGACATTACAACTACTATCTTGTAAGATGTGGTGAAAATTGGTTGTTCCATGTTAACATCAAAGTATTTATAAAACTTAAACCGAAAATATTTTTTACTACAAATGCGATTAAAGTTTTTCGTTTGCACCTTTAGAAATGTTAAGTTGTTATTCTTATGGTAAAAAAATAGGTTTAAAGCTAAGGCTTAAAAAGTGAACAGAATTTGCTATGAACATAATTCATGGGTTTTTTTCATCAGATAGGACATTTTAATGTCAATGTGTGAGCCGAACAAAAGGAATAATACTCGAAAGAGGGAAATAAGGCGAATTGGCAAGGAAAACACTCTTTTCTACCAGACACACATAGATGAGAACAACTTCTTGAAAATGTATATTTCAGTAACGAGGTTTCCTACAAAATACAAATTGTTATTGGCGTACATGCATATAAATAATAATTGTTAATAAAGATTAAACAGTTAAAGGAATTATCAATAAATGAGTATTGTTGTGAATTGAACAATTGGTTTAGAAACATGTACCATTGAGAATTGAACAAAGGCTGAAAGGTATTGGAATTCTAGGTTTTGTAGGTTTAGCAGGATTTGGAGACTCTAGGTTTAGTAGGTTTAGCAGGATTTGGAAACTCTAGGTTTAGCAGGTTTAGCAGGATTTGGGGATCATATTTTATTGCTGTTGTGAATCGATAAATAAAGGGTTTAAAAGGCACTGTTGTGAACTGATAAATAAAAGGTTTAAAAGGTACTGTTGTGAATTAGGTATATGGAACTTACAATCTAGAAAACTGTGGTAGGCCGAAAAGTTGTTTGAACTGAAGTCTAAAGCAATTTAATTCTTCTGAAATGAATATTTATCTGGTTAAAGTAATTTCACTGTTTACTTGTAAATGATTCACTGAAAATTAGGTTTAAATTGGTTCTTTTAATGCACGTTAAGTTCCATGAGGTTTTTGTTTATATCTACGCGAAAGCCTTGGAAATGTTTGGTTTGGTAAGTGGACGGAGGGTTTAACAGAGATACAGTTTTCAGAGACGACCTTACAATAGGGGAATTTTAGGGGTATGGTTCACACAATGTTAATAAAAACGAAAATCAGTTTAGAATTGAGGATCTCGCTGGTCTCAACTACTATTTATATACAGGTTGACCCCAAAAATAACATCCTTCCATTTGGTGTAAAACTATGTCAAATATTTGAAAATCTCTCCGTTAACTTCAATATTGTTTCAGGAACATCAAAAAACATTTACATATATCTGAAATCCAAAATGTAAACATAGTTCTAAACCCAGATCTCTATGGAGAGAAACCTAAACAGAAAGGTTGCAGCAATCCCGGCCTTATGATTGCGAACAGCGCAGAAATAGGCCTCTTCAAGAAACTAATTTGAATTTTAAACATTCAGTAATCCTATTACGGTATTCATTATTATGATACAGGGTGTCCCAAAAAACATGGGAATTCAGTGACGAATTCGAAATCGTCTTTGTATTGAATTAGTATTGTAATACCTAATTTCAAAAGCTATAATATTATTATGTCTGCTAGAGTTTATTTTATGAAAAGGGTATAAGACTGTAAAGATGTCTCTATATTGTCTCCGCACAGTGAAGGCGGACAGGTTAACTCTGTTTGTATATACTGCAATTTTCTTGTTTTACTAAGTACAACCGTATGCAGTCAAAACATAAACAAAAAAATTGTGAACATAGCAGACTGAACTCTTATAGATTACAGCTTTCTCAGTAGGTACCACTAAACTAAATCGAAGAATTATTTATAAAGACGATATCGAATTCGTCACTGAATTCCCATGTTTATTGGGACACCCTGTATCTTAACACAATTTTTCTTTCTGTAGTATAGATTTGAATAGAATAATAAAAACGATTATATGTTGACAGTAAACAGAGAGGTTTTTGAATTTTTGAGTTTTACCCCAAACGATAGCATCAAACGATAGCATCAAACGATAGCATCAAACGATAGCATCAAACGAAAGCATCAAACGACCACATCTTTCTCTCACGACCCCTTCTTAAATCAAAAACTACATGCGAGTCATTTAAAAAGATTATTGGGACTTAAAAATGCTAATCCTTTTTTTGGGGTCACACTGTGTGTATTGAAATTGAAAACCAGCATTTATTGAATATTTAAACAAACAATAATAAACAATTCAGGTTACAACTGTTTGTTTTGAATATGTATTTTCAAATCTTGATCTCACTCAAATATATTGACTAGAAAATATATTTAGGTTGATTTGAAAAATATTGTAATTGTTCAGATTGATGTGAGAAATAATGAAATATGTTCAGATTTATGTGAGAAATAATGAAATATGTTCAGATTGATGTGAGAAATAATGACATATGTTCAGATTGATGTGAGAAATAATGAAATATGTTCAGATTGATGTGAGAAATAATGAAATATGTTCAGATTGATGTGAGAAATAATGAAATATGTTCAGATTGATGTGAGAAATAATGACATATGTTAAGATTGATGTGAGAAATAATGACATATGTTCAGATTGATGTGAGAAATAATGAAATATATGTTCAGATTGATGTGAAAAATAATGACATATGTTCAGATTGATGTGAGAAATATTGAAATATGTTCAGATTGATGTGAAAAATATTGAAATATATGTTCAGATTGATGTGAGAAATAATGAAATATGTTAAGATTTATGTGAAAAAATAATGATTTATGTTCAGATTGATATGAGAAATAATGACATATGTTCAGATTGATGTGAGAAATATTGAAATATGTTCAGATTGATGTATGTTCAGATTGATGTGAGAAATAATGAAATATGTTCAGATTGATGTGAGAAATATTGAAATATGTTCAGATTGATGTGAGAAATAATGAAATGTGTTCAGATTGATGTGAGAAATAATGAAATGTGTTCAGATTGATGTGAGAAATAATGAAATATGTTCAGATTGATGTGAGAAATATTAAAATATGTTCAGATTGATGTGAGAAATAATGAAATATGTTCAGATTGATGTGAGAAATAATGAAATGTGTTCAGATTGATGTTTTAAGTATTAAAATATGTTCAGATTGATGTGAGGAGTGAAAATGCTAAGAAGTTCATGTCAATGTTCAACAAGGGGGAGATACCCGAGGGTATAAGTGCTACAGACAGGTATCAAGTGTCGAATATGGTTGGACGGCTGGACTACGTTCTATTAACAAACGAAAGTTATTTAAAATAAACGGAAAATTCCGGGAAAACGCCGATGAAAAAAAAGAACGGAAACTTTTTAACCCAAAAATAAACTTTATTTTAAGGAATGTCTTCCGTAACTTTTTTTGAGTAGCCTAAAAAAATAAAGCCATGCAGAATAACTTAAATATTTAAATACGAAAGAATACCATGCCTTCAACTACAAATATCATTGATATAAGACGAGTTTAAAACCATTGTTTAGAATACAACTTTTAAACTGTTAGATAATCCTTTCAGAGCCGGAAATTAAAAAGAGTATCATTGAATTAAACTCCTGAGTTTCCTTTATGGGATAGATTTGCGTAGGTTTTACTTTTAGAAATTAGAAAACAAAAAAAGAATTTAATGAAAACACATCAAATAATATTTCTTCACAACTGCCTGACCCCATTCGTGAAACCCAGTTTCCGATACTGGGTTTCATGATGATACTCTGTCTTTAGTTTTGAGCTCTGGAAGTACTAATCCGTATATTTTGTACTTCGGCTGATTCAGTTTAAATTAAGGAATTTAAGAATGACAAATCTGAATATAATGCAATTATGCAAATGCAGCTTATGGGACGTCCTCCTCCCTGGACAACTGGGGGAACGTCCCCTGGAAAACTGGGGGGATGTCCCCTGGAAAACTGGGGGGATGTCCCCTGGAAAACTGGGGGGATGTCACCTGGAAAACTGGGGGATGTCCCCTGAAAANTTATCATTATTATTATTATTATTATTATTATTTTAAAGATAAAGGATGGTGATATGGATGGTGAGATCGGTGAGTGTGCTACTCTATCAAAAAAGTTTTCCTTTTTTGAAAACTACGATGAAACGCAAACAAAAACAGAACACAAGGTAAATACTTTTTAAACATAATATTTAGATAGAATATTAATAAATAAAATAAAATATAAATACATTCACCGAAGCTTTAGGAATGTATTGAAAGATTTAAAGTTAAAAATATTTTTTTATAAAAGTACATAAAATTATAAAATGATAAAATGATAAATTGTGTTTAAGATATCAAAGGTATTGGGATGAAAAATGTAAAGTTCGTGACAAAGACTCAGTTCTTTGGTTCTATCATATTTAAAGTGACAGACCAGCTATGTAAGGTAGTTTAACTGAGTATGCAGTGCAAAGGACAATTTTTTTTAGGATTCATTTGAGATATATAAAACTTTTTATAGATCTGTAAATCCTAAGTTTGAACGCTAATTCGACGTTCAAAACTCCTACTTTGTGGGTGGATACGTTTTCAGAATCGATCTTTTTAGATTATTAAATAACGACGACAAAAAATGTAAACAAAGCTCAACAGTAAACTGATTAATTGTTTAGGAACCGGTGAGAAAATGAAAATTAATCTTATCATCAAAAATATGTAATCTTGTTCAATTATTAGTTTCTATTTTCTCATTATTCACAAAGATTTTCTGCAGATTTTCTGGAATTATTATTGAAAAGACAACATTTGAAGAATTTGTTGAAATCTACGAATAAATTCAAAGAAAATAAGAAATTCAATCTAATTATGAAAACGAAATAATTGATTCTAACAATGATTTATTGACAAATTTCTTTTGAGAAATATGTTCCCAACCATCTAATTAGATTACTGTATGATTTTTTATGATATTTCGTCGTCGTTATTTAGTAATTTTAAAAAACCCGATTCTGAAAACGTATCCACCCCCAAAGTAGGAGTTTTGAACGTCGAATTTGCGCTCAAAATCAGGATTTACAGAGCTTTAAACAGTTTTATATGTCTCAAATGAATTCCAAAGAACCTTTCCACAACATTTAAGAGTAATATTGAAAATAAAGGGTCTTCGAGGTCACAAAGTTGTAGCAATAATTTTGCATTAATATAACCTTTTTTTGGAGTAATTTATCTTTTGTAACAATGAAGGTTTGCGTTTAGCAATAGCTTTTTTAATCAAAATTAGAAAATCGTTTTTTTTGTAGTAAAAACCCGAAATTTCTGCCTTTAGGGATAGGATTGATTCCTTTAGTTCAAAAAGAAAAGTAATATATTTATTTTTAAACATGTCCATTGAAAACGTTGAGCTTGTTGTTTGAGAAAAATTAAAGGATAATTGGATTTATATCAATTAATCTTATAAAGTCAAAAGAGGATTAATTATACAGTTAATTAAAATTTATTTTCTTCATATTTCTTCCTTGCCAATAAACTTAGAAACTCATTTTTATATAGATAATTAATGTCGTTGATGTTGCTGTTATCTTGAGCCAATGATGTTGCTGTTGTTGAGATTTCATTGATATTTTTAGCACTGTCTTTGATGTCATTTATATTTTTAGCCCTGTCGTTGATGTCATTGATATTTTTAGCCCTGTCGTTGATGTCATTGATATCTTAAAGGGATTGACCGGCTATGTAAGGTAGTTGAACTGAGTATGCAGTGTTGTGGAAAACTTCTTTCGGATTCATTTGAGACATATTAAACTTTTTTAAAGATCTGTAAATCCCGAGTTTGAGCGCAATTTCGACGTTCAAAACTTCAACTTTGGGGGTGGATACGTTTTCAGAATTAGTTTTTTTAATCATTAAATATCGACGACATAAAATGTAAAACAAGTTCTACAATAAACTACAGACGTCATGTAGAGGAACATTTTGAGAAAATAAAAATTAATCTTATCATCAGAAATAAGTAATCTTGTTCAATTATTAGACGACATTTGAAGGATTTGAAGAAATCTGCGAATAAATTCAAAGAAAATAAGAAATTCAATATAATAATGAAAACGAAATAATCGATTTTAGCATTGATTTATTGACAAATTTATTTTGAGAAATATGTTCCTAGCCATCTAATTAGATTACTGTATAATTTTTACTTTATTTTTTTAGGTCCTTATTTATTAATTCAAAAAAAAAACTAATTCTGGAAACGTATCCACCCACCAAGTAGGAGTTTTGAACGTCGAATTTGCGCTCAAACTCAGGATTTACAGATCTTTAAAAAGTTTAATATGTCTCTAATGAATCCGAAATAAGTTTTTCACAATACTGCATACTCAATTCAACCACCTTACATAGCTGGTCACTCCCTTTAAGCACTGTCGTTGATGTCATTGATATCTTTAGCCCTGTCGTTGATGTCATTTATATTTTTAGCACTGTTGTTGGGTTTGCTGATAATTTAGACCAATGTAGATGTTATTGATAGCTTAAAGCAATGTCGTGGATCTTATGGATAAGTTTACCTTAATCGTTGATATTATAGATTACTTTAACCAAAGTTATTAAATTGTAAGAACTTTAACCAATGATAACCTTAAGCCCTGTCGTTGATGTCGATGATGAGTTAATCTACTGTCGTTGATTAGGATGCTGACTTCAGCAATGAGAGATTACACGCGGCGAAGGAGTGCAAGGCGCGAAGCGTGCTGAATAAGTTCAAGGATATGGAGCAGAAGGTGGCCAACGGGGAGGAGATAGACGATCCATTGTGTAAGTTTTATCTAAAAAGAGTATATACTATATATACACTACAGGGGGAATATGGAAACTACTCTTAGGCTCAAGTTATGATTTTAAATAGTCCAGTGGGCAATGGCAGGGAACAAATACAGACGAGTTGAGTTTTTAATCTTTACTGGTAAAACTATTTTTTAATAATAATCGAATACACAATATTAATGTCGTCTCAAAATTCCACAGTTAAACTCATGATTTGTTAAAAGAATTAAAATTTTTAAAGGATTAACTTAGCCTCAAACTTAGCAAGGTTCAAACAATATTTGAACCCAATTTGGTCATGTGTTGATAATTTAAAGAAATAAACAAACATGACAAATGTGTCTTTATATTGTACATTTAGAGCTAGATAAAGTACAAAATGACAATAAACTGAATATAATAAAATAATAATAATCTTCTTTTCTGTGCACTCATGTATTTATTATATATTATATTTATTAAGAATTGCTAAAATTAGCGGTAATTAGACTTTTCAGAGCAGGTTTTTGCATTTTTGAGAAATCTAAGATTAGTCTTTTCTATATAATATTAATAAAATTGTTTAACCTTTTTTGAACAGGTAGGTCATTAAATTTATTAAAATAAAAAAATGTATATTTCAGTGATGCATAAGAGGCCCCTGAAGAGGTTTACCCCTCCCCGTAAACTAGGAGAGGAGTCAGGGAGTGAATACTCAGATAGTGAATACTCTGATAGTGAATACTCAGATTCATATTCATCGTGAGTATTTTTGACTTCTTCCCTGCCCAGAACCCTGAGGCCGCGATTTAAATGTTTAGTCTCGACTATAAGTCACGGTCTTATCTTAATTTCAAATGTTCAAATGTTAGAACCGACTTGGGGAGTTCAGTGGTTTGGTGTTTTCAAACAAGAAATAAGACTTTTTTACATTTAGTTTTGAATTTTGATTTTATCAATATTTTTTTTTAATTAAAATTAAAATAAGACTTTTTTATAAGAAAAAAAGTAACCAACACATCTCTAGACTTGAGCCTTATTCTTCAGTAATAACAGCTTATTCTTCAATAATGACAGCTTATTCTTCAATAATGACAGCTTATTCTTCAGTAATGACAGTTTATTTTTTCAGACTAAAGAATTGAGTCTTTACCACAAACTCAAATTTGCAAATTCCTATATTTTTGAGACCTGATATCTTTGAAATATCAAAGATTCAAATCATCAGGGTGCAAAGATAAAGGGATTAGAAAATTTGGATTTGTCGCAAATTGGCTAAATTCCTGTCTCCCTAATTATTAAAAACCCGTCCTCGGATTGTCAGTAATCACGTATTTTATTATTCCAGCAACATTGCACAGAATTTTACTTGATCAAATTTTACAAGAGAGGAAATTTTTTTTTTAATCCGGTGTCTTGTGGTGTCGTGGTCGTGAGAGCTAGGGTACCCTTTTCATCGCGTTTTTAATAATTTTGACCGTTTCGCCGACATTCAAGGTTATAATGAATAGTTGTAACATAATAAAAAACTGTGAGGCGTAGTTGTGTTCATAATCTTTAAAATGGTAGGATTATGAGTATTTTTTAAACAGTGGCGTTAAGGGTTAAAAGGAGTTGAGTCTTTGACACAAACTCTGATTTTCTAATTCCTGCATCTCTGCAACCCAATGTCGTAGACCTTAGATATTTCAAACTATGAATTGCGTTGCATCAAATTATCTTAGTTTGAAATATCAAAAGTCTACAACTTAACATCAGGTTCCTTAGATATAGGGAAAAGAAAATTTGATTTGTGGCAAAGACTCAATTCCTTTATGAACTGCATGCAGTTGCTGATCTCAAGATTTTATATAGTATCATTGAACTAAACTCCAGAGTTTCCTCATTAGGGTCTTCACATTTGTGCAGATGTATGTACATCAAGAAAAAGAACACAATAATTAAACTAACTATAAACATAATGTTTTTGGACAAAGATATGGAGATATCTAGAAAATTGCCTCACCCATTCGTGAAATCCGGTTTCCGATACTGCAGAGCCCGAAATTTAAAAGAGTATCGTTGAATGAAACTCCCGAGTTTCCATTTCGGGGTCTTAACATTTAAGTAAATTTTAAGTTAAGAGATTCGAAAAAAGGAGAATATGAAGAAACTAAATAACAAAATATTTCATAACAAAAATATCTACAAAACACATAACCCCGTTCGTGAAACCCCGGTTTCAAAACGGGTTTATAACGATACCCTGACTTAAGTTTTGGGCTCAGGTTTCATAACATAACAAGGTTTCATAACAGGTTTCATAACATTTCAGGCTCTGGCAACATAAGTAAAAAGTACACTTTAGTTATCTGTGTGGAAGAATTATGATGAACTAACATGAAAAATCTGTTAAGTTTGATATATTTGCTTAAACTTTCAGTTTGAATAGTAAATTAATTTCTATTTATTTATGAGTAAACCTGAATTCAAACAAACTAATTTAATCTATATAGTTTACAATGCATTACAGCCTGCAACCTTAAAAGAATGAAGATTCTCAAACAAACAAACAAGCAAAGAAACAACACAAACAAACAAACCAAAATAAAACAGACAGTACAACAAATCTTCAATTTCTATACCGCCTTAATGACAAGAAGAAACTGTAGAAACCAGGATCTCGATCTTCTTATAATGACACAGATTGATAAATATAGTGGCCAAACCAGATATACTATAGATACACTTCCAAATACTTTTCCGTGGGGGGGGGGGGTCGGTCGATTTTTCAAAATCTAAGTTGTTAAAAACGACAGGATAATGGCATACGAAAGAAAATGGATAGAAAAAGTGAGAAAGAAATACAACCAAAGTATGTCCAAATTGATGTCTAAAGATGCATCCAAAGCTATAGAAAATGTCACCCAAAGTTCTATTTTCCTCCTCAAGGGACTAAAGGCAATTTCCAAGTGACCCTCCATTTGTTGAGTAGCGAGTCCGATTCACAACGATTTAATAAAATTGCCACTCTTGCGAGGTATTTTCCCAAATTCCGAATTTCCCAAAGGTTATGTTAGGCTTTCTGAATCGTCTAAAATAGGCTAGAGGGCCGAGCGCTGCAGCCGCAGTTAGGACAGATTTGAGAAATTTAACATTTGGGAAGTTGCCATTTGGGAAAATGCCTTTGGGAAAGTACCTTACGTCATTAGTACGAAGGTTAAATTTTCATTTTTTAGACACAGTTCCGAGGATGACGAAGAGGATGAGTATCTCAGGAATATCCGGGTAAAAGAAAACTTTAAAAATATAACTTTGTAAAATAAAGAAAATATATGAATCAATTCACATTTCAATAAAAAGATTAATAATGTAAATGCATAAATATTCAAAGAAAAAAACATTAAATATCTTTTTCCATAAAAAATGCAAACTTCTGGATGTAGCTCTTTTCCAGCAGTAATATTGTTTAGGAAGCTGCTAGAGCTAAACAACTCAGAGCTAAGTTTGAAGAATGGGAAGCTCAGGTAATAACAAAACATTGCATACCTGTTTATCTTCTAGTTTTGAGAAGATGTATATTAACCCTCCCTGTATATCCTCTAGGTTGGAAAAGATGTATATTAACCCTCCCTGTTTATCCTCTAGGTTTGAGAAGATGTATATTAAACCTTCCCTGTATATCCTCTAGGTTGGAGGGGATGAATATTAACCTTACCTGTATATCCTCTAGGTTGGAGAAAATATATATTAACCCTCCCTGTATATCCTCTAGGTTGGAGAAGATGAATATTAACCCTCCCTGTATATCCTCTAGGTTGGAGAAGATGTATATTAACCCTCCTTGTATATCCTCTAGGTTAGAGAAGATGAATATTAACCATCCTGTATATCCTCTAGGTTGGAGAAGATGTATATTAACCCTCCCTGTATATCCTCTAGGTTGGAGAAGATGTGTATTAACCCTCCCTATATATCCTCTAGGTTGGAGAAGATGAATATTAACCCTCCTGTATATCCTCCAGGTTGGAGAAGATGTATATAACCCTCCTGTATATCCTCCAGGTTGGAGAAGATGTATATTAACCCTCCTGTATGTCCTCTAGGTTGGAGAAGATGTATATTAGCCCTCCTGTATATCTGCTAGGTTGGAGAAGATGAATATTAACCCTCCTGTATATCCTCTAGGTTGGAGAATATGTATATTAACCCTCCTGTATATCTGCTAGGTTGGAGAAGATGAATATTAACCCTCCTGTATATCCTCTAGGTTGGAGAAGATGGTGGATACACGAACCTGGTTGATGAGAACGGTAAACCGTTAGAAACTGCCAATACACTGAAGAACAGGTTATTGGATTTTTTCTTTCGACACATCAATTCTACACCTTGTAATTCTTCAATAAAGAGTTTATATTGAAATTTGGTGCACCAACTTCTTTCCACTTGTAGAAAAAAAACTCTATCTTATTCGCTTTTCCCTTCATATTATCAACCTGATGTTGTAGACCTATGACATTTCATAATATTAATTTTTGTAGATTTAATAAATTTGAAAAATCAAAAGTTTACGCAATCTTAATATACAGGGATTAGAAAATAATAAATTTAGGAAAGTTTTCAGTTTATTTGATTTCAGCACATTTTAAAACTAAAATTCTTCATTTTAATTCAAATTCCTCAAAACTAGTTTTTTTTCTATTTTTTTGAAGAGTTTGATTCCCTCAGCTTCTGTTGGTTTCACAACTTAAGTTGCTTTTCTGAAGTTAGGTATTTTTAAATTCGGTGTGAGGTTTCAACATTCATCAATTAACCAGGGATATTTCATGACTATCTTAAACTGTTTAATGGGATTGTAGACGAGGATGTCCGATTCACAATTGTACTCTTAAATCCTAGTTTTTCGTTTTGAGAATTGATTATTTTTATTGTTGTTTCTCATAAAAGTCACTCGCGGATTTGTGCATGGAAGAGATAACATAATCAGTACTTTTAGGACAACCTGTACCCTGTACTCTGTACCCTGTACCCTGTACCCTGTACCCTGTACCCTGTACCCTGTACTCTGTACCCTGTACCCTGTACCCTGTACCCTGTACCCTGTACCCTGTACCCTGTACCCTGTACCCTGTACCCTGTACCCTGTACTCTGTACCCTGTACTCTGTACCCTGTACCCTGTACTCTGTACTCTGTACCCTGTACCCTGTGCCCTATTTTATTATTTATTTGTCTTCACCATGTTCTTAAGTTACAGGAAAAAAATAATGATCAGATAAGAGTCAGATTGTGTTTTTGTATTTAGCTAAAGTGACTGATTATTTCTAAAAGTGGTTTCGCATTTCTACCGAAGGAAAACAGTGTAAAAATTCTTAGAATTAAAAACTTTGCAAGCAAGAAAAACGACTGTGTCGTATACATGACTGCACCCTGAACTAACGAGAGAGAGAAGAATTCGGTTTCTTTAATTTGAAATCAAACGTACTTTCGTCTATAACTCAACAGTCTTTAGACTAACAGATTTGTTTATTTTATACTTTTTCGTTTAAAATGTATACGCCAACAAAAAAGTATTTTAAATAAAAGGCTATTTAAAATTATGTAAAAGGGGTCAAATTGTGATCGAAAGTCACAGTTTTCTGAAATATTGACAGAACCGTTAAATCCACGTGACTGATCAGGCCAAGGGTTCAAGGTTTCCATTGTGAATCGGGCATGTCTCTCTTTAAATGGAGAGTCACTTGAAATTATACAACAGTCCCTTCATAAATAAATAAATCAACTAAAACTGTTCAAGATAAAAAAAGATAAAAATAAAAAATTTTCTTTTATTAAAAAATCGGACAGTAAGGGTAAGAGAAAAGATCTAACAGTTATTTATCCCTTTAAAATTCAGCAGACCAAATTTAACCTTCAAATTAACAGATTTGAATGTTGTAGGTCGTCATTAAATTAACAGATTTGAATGTTGAAGGTCGTCATTAAATTAACAGATTTGAATGTTGAAGGTCGTCATTAAAGTCTAATCTTTTGTGTGTAACCCTGTAGCTTACTCGCACTATTTGATATAAACCATTTCTATTTAAAGAATTAGTTTCGCTGAACAGCCTACACAATTAGTTATGCTGAACAGCCTACATAACAAGTTATGCTGAACAGCCTACACAATCAGTTATGCTGAACAGCCTACATAACAAGTTATGCTGAACAGCCTACATAATTAGTTATGCTGAACAGCCTACATAACAAGTTATGCTGAACAGCCTACATAATTAGCTATGCTGAACAGCCTACATAATTAGTTATGCTGAACAGCCTACATAATCAGTTTTGAGAAAAAAAATTTTCTTTATATTTCACATCTTGGAATCGAAGTCTCAATTATATTCAATTTGAGGAGAAAATAATTCTAAAAAGTTTTTTTTTAGATTTGAAAGGATGGCAATAGAAGATGCTGAAACCCAGTCCAGTAAACCTAAATTTCAAGTGAAACGTTTCAAGGTAATTTGTATGAATATTCTTAATTGCTTTATTTGATTAATTTTCTGCATTATAGTTTGATAGAGGGATAGGAATTACAGAGCTGATTAATTATAGCATATATCCACAGAAAATATAGAAATAAATGGAATGCAGTATAGTTACATAAACCGTATGAAAATAGTGTATGAAAATTTCAGCCACAGAGAGAAACAGTTATTTTCTTTTCTTCATAACCCATAGTGTGAAAAGTTTTCCATGTTTCTGAGAGGCCAAAAAAAATATACATAGCTTGCACACTTTGCTCACTGAACTAGGGAAAATAATGTTTTGAATGAAAATATAAATGATATTTGGGATGAAAAATGAGAGAAAGCTTGGCACTAATTGTCAACAATTTGTATTGTGTTCTATCCCCCCCCCCTCGGGACATTTTTCAACAACCATACCCTTATGGATAGATATATATATTCTTTGATAAATAAAGATAGTTAGATTGATCACGGGCAGCCGTAGTACATTTGAATTTCCGAGCCGGGTCAACCTTTCCGGTGCCAGTTTGTACCGCACAGACATTTGGTTAATAAAGCAGACAATCAACAGGACAAGCCGGTACAACATGGTTCACGCGGTCAGACTTTATGCTTCATTTATGTTGAATTTACTAAAGGAGCAGAGGAGCGTGTTATGATATTAGATTATAGCGATTTGATTGCGTTCAAATGAACAAAATACAATCATGCATAGCAAGAAAATGTTTATTGCCAACTCTGTAATTCTTAATCCTCTCTGTTTAGTTTAATCCTCAGGTAAATTAATATTTAATAATCATGTTATTAATTTGCACGGCTTTAACCGCCTCTTAACTGAAAGTATAAGAAACTAACAAATTTGTTATTATTTTCATTAGATCAGTTCACCTTAACTGATTAATAAATGCAACCAAACCATATATTAACATTATAAAGCTTATAACCACTCTGCATCCTCTCTAACATATAAATAATATAAAGGATGTTTTTAAAGAAAATAGTCGTCTTGGCCATTTATAACAAAAAGAACACAATAGCTGATAAAACTCCCCAATTAAAAGTGTTAATGGTCCTGAGATGGGAATTTTCGTCTTGGATACTCATAATACAAATCACTTGATCTCGATATCCACTATGGGAACTTTCAATTTGAAAAATTAATTCTTAATTTCTTCATTTCAATTTTTTTCTTCTCAGGGGTACGTTTACCATGCGGAATATTGAACAAAGATTAAATTTATTGTATTGATCTCGATATCCACAATACAAGAGTTTATTGTATTGATCTCGATATCCACAATACAAGAGTTTATTGTATTGATCTCGATATCCACAATACAAGAGTTTATTGTATTGATCTCGATATCCATAATACAAGAGTTTATTGTATTGATCTCGATATCCACAATACAAGAGTTTATTGTATTGATCTCGATATCCACAATACAAGAGTTTATTGTATTGATCTCGATATCCACAATACAAGAGTTTCCATCTCTGAAAGAAGAAAAATTTTCTTCTTGCAATTTAGTTTCAATTTTTTACCAATATTGGAATAATATCTTCTGATAAGATTAGGTGCAAAATTTCTCACAAAAAGAATTGAACCTTGCCACAAACTCAAATATTCTATAAATCCATATACCCTGATGTTGTAAACCTTTGATATTTTAACTTAGTTTATTTGATCCAATATAATTTATAGTTTAAAATGTCTAAGGTCTACGCCGCGCCGTTGGATTGCAAAGATTTAAGATTTAGAAAGTCAGAGTTTGTGGCAAAGACTAAATTCCTTTGACTGTAAAATATCATTGTGGGTGGAATATGTTTAAAGTTAAGAAATTTATTTGAAAGTAAAAGAAGCTGGACTAATGATACAATAAGATTTTCATGAAATGTATCTAAGTAAAGGAAAAAAAATCAGCCAAAGAAATCATTAGATTTCCGAGAAATCCTCTGATCAAACCCCTGAAAACCCACCAAAATGCTTCACTCTGATGCAAAGTTATTACAATAGATTAGAAAAAAGGAGGGCTGAAAATGTGGAGAAAGTATGAAAAAGGTTCAGAAAGAAATTTTATCCAAAATCAAATTTTTTTGTATTTTTTAAAAGTGGCTTTGTTCATCGAATGTAGAACAGATTTATGTTTTAGACTGACCATGAAGGGTAAGATGAGCACATAAAATTCTGAAATCTGAATTGGTTAGGGTTAATATATAAATGTCAGGGTATCATCTATATCGTTAAACAATTTTAGATTTTGCTTTTACTTAATATTTACTAAAATCATACTGTATCAAAATTCATGCTATTCTTTGAAATTATGATTTCATTTCCAACATATAGAATATTATTAAATCTTCTTTGAAATTTTTACGACTTCAATATTTTCGGGATAATCGCTCAAAGGAAGTCAATATTTTTTTTTAAAATTACAATTTCAATTCTAAACCAAAATGCATTAAAGATTTTTTAAAATAAATAGATAGTAAACATTAACTGAAATTTGAGAAGCTTTGGTATTAATTCCGAACGAAGAAACTTTTTTCATTCATTAGTTATTTGAACTTTTCATTTTACCTTTTTATTCGAACACAAGATCGAAAAAAAGACGTTATTTTCCAATACTACATATTTTATTTACAAGTTATTTAAATGTCTTTATTTTAATGATTGTTTATTCGTTACAGCGAATATGGAGACTGGAGCACCAATTACTGATTAAATAAATCTAATTGTGTCTACTGAAAACCGAAAAAAAATGCCAGACTTTGTATAATCTACGGTTTCCAAACTAAAAAAATCTTTCTCTCGGGATAAATTTGTTCCCTGAAATTGATTGGATAGTTGTTTTGTTGAGTTTCTAAAAAATTTATGAAATTAGTATTTAGTATGTTTTACTAAAACTGAAAGAAATCTTAGTTATCTCTTACTCCTTCAAAACGGAGGATACTGACATTTTTTAACAATAAAGGAGGGATTGTGAAAAAAGATAAGGTTAGGATATAGGATGAATTATTATTACTTGAATCGATGACACTTATTTCACATTTCTATTCAACGTTTTTGCAGCTATGAAATAAAAATGTCCTAAAACCAGGAAAAAATATACCCCCAAACCTTGTTCTTATATCTGAACAATCCCTTAAAGCACTCATCGCCAATTGTTTGTACAGTGCACTATTTCAGCCGAAAGAAGCTTACGAGCACCAACTACCATAGCTGGCACATGTGATCTATTAACCCTATGGCTATGTAAGTGTCAACTATGAAACTAATAAATTTCTATAATCTGAGAAAAATATTGATTAATCCAGATTATAGAAATTAATTAGAATCAGTTTAACTGAACCTAAAAGAACTCCCGACATACTTCAAGTGAACCTTGCTTTATAAAGAAATTCTCAAACCTTTTAACCTTTGTCTGAGTATCAAGGAGGAAGATATCAGTTAAATATCTGCTGCAAAATTTGCTAGTAACTTATACTAAAGACTGCAGTTAAAAATTATCGATCTTCAGAAAAAAAATCAAGAATATATTTGCTCAGACGAATGTTTAAATAAAGGGTTCTGTTGTGAGTTGAACATGTAGTGGTCACTTGAAACTATCTCGGCGCTTCTTTAATAGTAAAAGTATGCAGGATCCTTTTTTTAATTTTTAGAACTTTTTTCATCAGAGCTGAGAAGTTTTGATTGGATGGATCAAATTGTTTCTTCTAATGAGCCGAACAAATTTTCTTCTCATTTTGATTAAAAGTTGACTATCATTGGTCAAATCTCCGAAGTTTTGACCAATGAGAGATCGATCCGCCGAAACAGCAATTTTAATAAAGGTGAATTTATATTCAAAAGTTTCAAGCTCAGAATATACCAATAAACTTAGCTGAAATACAAAGTTTCCTGCATGTTGTGTGTTAAAACTTCATTAGTAATTATCCTCATAAAAAGGTTGGATTTTTTTTTTCATCCTTTTTAATTAGATCCATAAATACAACTGGAGACTGTAATTATTAATTAAAATTAATTGCTCTAAATGTTCGCACTTTTTTTACACTCTTAATATTTTTCCCACTAACATGTAAAATGTAAAGAAAGTAAACCAAGAAGAACTAAAACTTATAATTTAGTATTTTATGATAGATCTAATCGGACAATTGTCATATTTAAATTATGTTCACTGTCCATTAACAAGGATTGCTTAACTATTTGAAACTATTTTCCTAGTACAAAATTTTTTTTTACTGATCCAAGAAATTCCTTCCAGGGCTTATAATCGATGCTTCAAATACTAGCCTTTTTCTCAGAAACGTTCCTTTAAACACGATTAAATATTCTTCATGACGAGGGGAACAGCCTTCACAAAAATTACAACAAACACGGATTTTTACCGCCCCCCCCCCCGGAATATTTTTACAGAAAAGAATGACCGTTTTGGCCCACATGAACATCTTTTAAGGGACTTTATCTGATCAATAGTGTGGAAGATATTGTCGTTTTTACACGTCTAGAAGTTTATACAATTTATATATGTTTTCCAGCAGTAGAAATGCGCAAGTCACTTTAATAGAAAAACCACAATTGAGAATAATCAGTTTTTAAACTTAAAAACATTGATATCTAATTTATATCTGATCAGACAAAGCTTTTAAGAGTTCATTTTACATTGTAAATTAGGCATTGCAATCTTTGCATGAAGAAAGGTTACATGGAATTCTTTTCTTTTAGTTTCTTTTAGTGGTGAGAATGGCTTATTAATGTTTCTTATTCCCAAAAATTGGGGTAATGTTTAACAATTTCTTAAAAAAAATAATCAGAATTGTTTTCAAAGATTTTAAGAAAGTAATTCGTTTTAATTTATTTTTTATCCCTTTTAAAATTCACAATTGTTCCCTTGAAGTTGAAAAAAAATTTACTTGTTTTCTAAGCCTAATATACAATTAAATTATTTTACTTGAGTTAAAAAAATATCCTCTAAATTTACTTATATCTATGTTAACGTTAAAATCCCCTGTAATGCGTTGTTATTTCCCCTGTACATATTATACAGGGTTACCCACAAAGGATGAGGTTCAGAGACGACTGTAAATTGTCCGTTTCCTAATATTCATGATATCCGGCAGAAGTCTCAATCTAACCTTGAGATCGTCAAATGTAAGAGTTTTAGATCGTCTTTACAGTCTTATCCTTGGTAGGTAGCCCTTTATATCCCGTCTTTGTATGAATATTGAAAATTTTTCCTTTATTCAATAAATTTTATCTATTTTTAGTGAAGTGATGTAAGCTCCGTGTATGATGGACGGTGGAGAATCAAGCATAAATATAAAATATCCTAGTTTATCCACAGATTTCACAGATAGGACTAGAAACCTAGGACTACATTAAACCTTGATTTCTTTATTTACCAAAAAAAAACATATAAACACCTTCTTCTATTCTTCTGACACATTTGTACTTAATCACGCCCCCCTCCCCCAAACAATGTCCTCAGTATGTAATGGAGGTAATTACAAAGCCTTTTCTTTATACACACGAACTAATGTGTACAGGGTGTCCCAATAAACAGAGAACTTAGGAGACGACCATGGTAAATCGTTTAACCATGTACGACAGTGTGCATATTAAAAAAATCACATATTTTAATAAGTTCAACACTAATCCTTTTTTCTAATTTGCAAATCAAACGAGATCTTAAACATTTAAACAATTTTGATTCTTTTATCATTATGAAGTCTAAAAAACGTTGTAAATGTAATACAAGTGGAGTTCAAAAACAATGTCGCGTGGAATGAAAACGATTAAAAAGTTTACACTTTATTCCCATGTTTATTGAAACATCCTGTAAAACAACAGTTGCTCCTCTTGTTTTATCTATACCTTTGATTTAATCTATGAGTTCATTCTTTGATTAAATTTAAATATTGATGCACCCCATTTATATGTTTCATTCTGAACCTTTAAACTTTCGCTTTCAATTTAAAAACTACTTCGATATTGAATTCTCATATAAAACAAACCTAGTTAATCTCAGCTTATTTTAACCAATATTATCAGTTTATTACTTTTTTTTATTAAAAAGAACAATATCAGCAACTGTACTACTGTTCTGCTTTGAAATAAACTCCATTCTGTATTTAAGATTAAATTTGAAGATTATTCCTCTCATTATACAACCATGGTTTAAGCTCTTTATTATTGTAAAACATTTAATCTAAGGGAATGTTCAGATATTTTTATATATGTACCATTTATATAAATCTGACAGTTTTCATATCCTGGATTTGAAAATGAACTTAGAAAATGTTAAAAATAATTCTCTAGTTTAAAATCTTTGAAAGAATCTTTAAACCACCAAGAATTCCAACCTAAGCTGGGAACTCTTGTATTGCGGATATCTTGATCTCGATCTTTATTAATCTTTATTCGATATCCTGCGGAATAACTGGAATAAAGAGATTAAGTGGATATCGAGATCAAGAGAAAAGAAATATGAATATCCATCACAAAAGTAACCAGCTGTGAAGTGGTAAAAAGTGGCTGCAAGTTAAACATAACATAATCATTTCTCAATATTGGATTAATAAGAATTTGATATTCTTACAAGATTACTGGGTTTCTTAAAAGGATTGGTGTTTAATTCCTACCCTTCCTTCTTCAAAGGATCTAAATACACTTTAAAATCAATTTGACTACAGTATGTTGTGGTATAGTACTAACCATTTTCTGACTATTCACACCAGGCTGCAAAAAGTTTGTGTTGAATAATTATCCCATAGGCTCTGACAATGGGGGGGTGCTTTTAATTGGTTCCAGGTAACTCCCTAGCTATCTCACCAAAATCAGAAAACTTGTCTTCTGAAGTTATATTTTGTAATTGTGCTTTGGGTTTATAAGATCAATTATTTAAGTAGCAGATATTAAAAAAAATTCCATCTCTTCTTAGACTCTAATTCTATGTTTTTTTGAACGGATTTTACAGATTATTAAAGATTAAAGGGAGTGTTCGCGAAAAATGAAAGGGGGTATAGGCTTAATGCGATAAAAAAGCGCTTTTGATCGCTACTAATCTTACTTCTATCTGTTGCATCTATAAGGAGAAACTTGTTAAAGACGTCTCATACCGAATAACTTAGCGCCCATACAAATTGAGCAAATTGCAACATACAACTTAGACCGTAAAAAATCCATTTAATTTCAAACAAATCATTAAGATAGAACAACCTATAGTCATCGATTATCTTTCGCCACATTTGTATATAGTTTATATTAATATTTTATTTTTTTCAGAAAACGTTTTAACTGATTTCGAAAAATGTGAGTGGTCCGCGGCATTCTTAGAAAGTTGCGCAAGCCGCAAGAGAAATAATCAAATTCAAAACAAATTAATTAAAAAATATTATAAAATATAAACTATATACAATTATGTGGCGAAAGATAATCGATGACTATAGTTTGTAATATCTGAATAATTTGTTTGAAATTAAATTGATTTTTTTACGATCTAAGTCGTATGTTGCATCTTTCTGAATTTGTATGGATACTACGTTCTTCGGTATTAGTCGTTTTAACAATTTTCTCCTTATAGACGCAACAGATAGAAGTAAGATTAGTAGCGATCAAAAGCGCTTTTTTATCGCATTAAGCCTATACCCCATTTCATTTTTCGCGAACACTCCCTTTAATATTAAATAATTTTGAATTTTCAATGATTTTCTAACTTTTCAAACATTCAAATAAAGTTTTATTTAAATCCAGAAATAACAATAAGTTATATGTTACCATCATGCTAGATTTGATGTTTTTAACTCATTTTTATGATGAATAAGAAACTTTTGTAACATCTAAACTAAGCAGTCAAAATTAAACTTTGAACAAAAAACTTTTCATAATAATTATCTTACAGCCAAATTAACATTGATTTACAATATTTTGTACTAATTATTTCGTTAGGCAACAATAGAAAGAACCAAAAGTTTTTTCCATAAAAGGAGAAATATAATTTTGCGCCCAATGACCCCACCAACCATTTAAGAATTACAATCCGGCTTTGTTTGAATCAAAAATATCTGCTAAATTAAAAAAATTCATAGAAAATACTTAGCGCCATTTGAACACCTTCAGTACTAAAGTTACATCTTTGAAAGAATTTCTTTACCTTGATTTGAGAGTTCTAGAAATATTTTTTTCTTTCATATAGCTTCCTTGGCAAATTTTGAGAAAATAAGATTTTAATCAATTAATCAATTTTGTTTGAGAAGACAAGTTTTCTGATTTTGGTGAGATAGATGGGGAGTTACCTGGAACCACTTAGAAGAACCCCCCGTTGTCAGAACCTATGGAAAAATTATTTTAACTTAACATTTTTGCAGCCTGGTGTGTACTGTTTATTCTAAAATCTCAAATAATGTGCAGCTTCCAAACTTGAAACTATCGGTCACAAAAGTACGGTCAAATATTTCACCTTAAACCTGTGAATTGCCTTGTTTATAAAAAAATACGTTTTCATCATTCAATTTGTATTTAAATTGTAATCTCTAATAAATAGATTAAATCTTGATTTCTTTATTTAGCAAAAAACATATAAAAACCTTAATCTTTAATTTGAAGTTTTAGATTTGTTCGTTTATACTAAAGAGGAATGTCGGCATAATTTCAAGTACCATTTGTGATGTAGCATGTCCGATTCACAACAATACTCTTTAGCTAACTTTGCTTGATCAATGATGACGTGGAATGCTTGCGTATTTTATGCGCAGAAACCCTTGTAATTATTTAGAACCTGGTGGGCGAGCTGTCTTATATATATTTTCTAAATTTTAGCAGTTTCGTTAAATTAGAAACTTTGGAAATTCAAGCTTGAGAAAATATGTGACGTTCTTAACGCTTTAGGTTTTACACTGTATAATCGATCGAGTTAAAAGGGTACCTGTGGGAATCAGACACACCGCTCTATGTCTGGAGGGTTTAACAATATATTCATTCTCGAGATTTTGAAGGATTTTCTCAAATTTGTATTAAGATTAGAACAGTCCTAAGGTTTCAGTTGAAGTTTATTTGGAGAATAATGAATATTGCTTCAAGTTCTGTTTGTTTTTGTTTTTATAAAATTACCATTTCGTCAATTTTAGTAGGATTTGTACACCATTTATGATTATAATGATATCTCATTATTTGACTCTTTAAATACGTGGTTTTTTCCTAATATTTTAGTTGATATTTCGTCAATTGGTTTTATTTAAGGATCTGGATCAAGGAAGGTTGCGGATCTGGAGGTAGAACTTATAATCCAGTGGCCGAATTAAAAGAATTTGAGCGGCGGTTTAAATTTAAGCCGCGGTTTAAATATGGTTGGTTCCACTTAAAATTGTACCTAATGTTTCAAGATTTAAGCCGGCGCTTAATTAAAACCGGGTTTTTGCGGATTTAAACCGCGACTCAAATTCTTTAAATTCCATCTCGGATCGCTTAAACTTTACTGGATGTTTATGTAAAATTAAATTGATCTGCAGATTAATTAAACGAGATCAAGCATTGATCTCTATATTCACAATTCTAAAGTTACCAGCTCTGGTCCGAGAGAGGTTAAGTACTAATGTGGATTCATAAAATAAACGACACATTCTTCTGTTAACTAAAAACAATAATAATTCGTTGATTTTATTTTATATATTCATTCATTTGTATATTTTGCAGACAATCACGGTCTATTATCACATTTCTTTACTGAGTAATATAACTTTTTAATTTAATAATTATAAGATGTTTGATTAAGTATCTAATTGCATTGAGTAACCCTACATTCTAAATCATCTAATAGTAGTTTGATAAATAAGAATTAAATTCACTCCTACGCAACTTGGAGGGCTAATAAATTTAACCAAATATTGCAAAATTAAATCTTTTAAAATTAGTGAAAATTTGACATATTTAAACCAATCTTTAATCAATAGAATTTATCTTAAAGGTTTTGTTGTTCACAAATAAAATAATTCTCTTTAATAGAATAAAATGGATGGTTTAGTCAAGATAATTCGAGAAATTGAAAACGACAGAATGAAAAACATCCGAAAATACAGTGGGAAAATACAAATATAAATATAAATTAAATAAGTCGGAAATAATAAGGATTCATTTTTGAAATATGATATATATAATATTTATATATGATTTATGGCAGTTAACAATATTTTAGTTCTAATTTTGTTCATTAGATGAATTATTAGGATTAACTTTCAATTAGAGCTATTCATCCAAGAGTTTTGATGAAATTAATTACCCAAAGAAGACCTTTATTAAGAAATTTTAGTAAAGGTTAACATTGAAATTTGCTTTAGGCATTGTAAATTATGGTAATTTGCTAAACTGTAAACCCCCCCCCCCTCACCATGAGTCCTAGCCAGGGAAGAATCTCAGTCTTGGGAGTTAGAAAATACGGAAATGAGGAGAAATTCATAAACCGAACGAAATCTTGAATCATAAATGGACAAGATACTTTTTAATCAACTAGCTAATATACTCTATAATAAATTTCCAATTGTTGAATTATGTGTTTAGTGTCACAATACAGCATTAAGTGTAAGATTGGGTAATCTCCAGGAGTGTATCCGGGTCCGGAATACAAGGGAGATGGAGACTAGTAGAGAGTAGTGACCAGGAGACAGAGGAAGCAGACTACTGGAGTGAGAACAAGTCCGTCCAGCTCCTAGTTCTCCGGGTAGGTGGAGACCACTTCCTCCACTGCATCCTACTGCGGCTGAACCTAACAAACATCAAATGAATAACAAATTAATTCAAGAATTTAATTCATTTAAATATTTAAAAATTCAAACATTTTAACAGATTTAATTTCCAACAATCAAATATTAAAGAGAAGATGAAGTTTAACAAATTTTCCCCTTCCTACTAACATATAAAGAATGGAAGGAAATTAATTATGAATATTCAAGTTAAACTTTTTTATAATGGATTTTGCCTTTCTTTACGGAAAATTTTTTATCTTTATAATATAAATACTATATTATTATTATTAGAATTTTTCAATTTACGAGTCGTTATATTTTAAAATATCAGATACAGGACAGAACATATTATTCAAATTTTCCCTGTTTTTTACTCAAATCGCGACATGTAACAAAACGTGTTTTGCGCCCAAACTTTTCATTTGCTTCAAAAAATGTGACATGTTCGAAAAAGAATTCAATAAGCATCAAAAATAGAAATTTATTTATTTGTAGGGGTTTAGTATTTTATTTTTTTGTAAAAATGTAGTTTTAACTATTTAAAGTTGTAGTAGGCAACCGGTTTTTCACTTTTCGACTTTAGTTAAAAAATGTAAACAAATAAAAAATATATTAAAAAATATAAACAAATAAAAAAGATAACATTGCACAGTTGGCTCAAACCTTACACTCAGTGTCAGGTCTGGGCCAAATCACGGTTTGGAGCTTTCCTTCCCTGTACTTCTTAAATCATTAAAAATTATTTATTTTCCCCAGTTTAGTGTAAAAAAAACCTAACAAAATAATTACACAAACATATATATGACTTCTGGAAAAAAATGCTTTCTAAATGGTAATGATTTATATGAAAATATACACCCTTGCTGGAAGGTTTGCTTCTGACCTGTACTATCCTGTTCTAGTCGGACTAGAAGACGACAATCTTCAACAGGTTCAAGAAGAGAGTTGACCAGCTCCACCTCAACCTCAACCATCTCCCCGACCCTGACCTCAGTATCCCTACCCTCCACACACTCCACCCCGTTGATGAGTACAGAAGCGGCTAGCGGGGGTCTCCGGAGCATCTCAAGCATACACTCCGTCCACATTACTCCGGATAGGGATGCCTGACCAGTTCTCCTGCTCCTCCCCTCCCCTAGACTCCAGTGTAGATGAACCCTCTCCTCCATATATCTATTAACCTCCTCTCCCCCCTCCAACCAATCTAAACTGTCACTGAAACTACATTTCTCCACAGGAACTGGAACCCTGTAATAGTAAAAAAATGTTTCAAACAAAGCTTTTAAATGAAAAACAAACAATGAACAGTATAAACTATAAATGTATATTTGGCCCATAAATCCAAATTACTTTATGCTAATATACTAAAATACTAAATTATCAAGATCTTTAAATATTACAACTCTTATTGTGACAAAATTACATATCTTTTTCAGCCTCGTCCTTGGGGTTAGTACTTTATACTAAAGTTGTAATGATATCTATTGATGTATATTTTAACGATAAAATCAAACCATTATTGTCGAGTTTTCAGACACAAACTGATAGTTACTCTTTAGACTTTATACTAACTGATCAGTGATCTATTTAATCTTTCCTGAACAATAGAACTTATATATTGTAAATCTTGGAATCAAGCATATATCTCCATCTTATGCAGATTCTTTTTTTTTCCTCTTCGATATCCCGTGATGGTCATGCCCTGCAGAGTGCAGACTGCAGAGATAACTGTGAATGATCAACACGCGTTCAAGAATTACAATATTCACACAGCAGGTTCAAGGTTTGCATTTAAGTTTGATATTTGAACTTGAATAATATGCTACAGAAACTAAAAAATCTATTTACATTTTTTCACTTTTAAAGGTCTTTTAATTTCTTTAAATTAAAAAAATTATGAATTATTTCCCTCCGAAGAAGCAAATTAAGCCATCTTATTGGTATGGACAAATCAAAAAATAAAAAGAAAGGCTGTGAATTTAAAACTTTTGCATAATAAAGTTTCAAATTTCAAACATAATATTAGAACTAAAATTTTAAACAACCCTAAAACTGTTGATGGATGCGTCTAATAAAATGAAATCTTAAGAACTTCCCGAAGAGGAAAGAGCACAATGTATAAATTCCAGAATCAAATATTCATTTCTTAATCAAAATCTTAAATTTAAACATTTGAACTTTCATTTCAATAATCCTAAAATATTCCTCAGGCACAGTAATTGAAAATTTGATTAAAATAATGTCCTTCAAGGCTGAAAAATATATTGTGTTTCTAATAATTTGTATTATCTGAACCAATTTTGGAATAATTAACATTTTAATTTTAATATTGAAAAATAAAATAAAAGTAATACAGAATGACAGTTCAATCGTACAGTAAAGGGGGGGGGGGAAGACAATTAAAAAATATTTTTGAAGTTCCAAATGCTAAAACCAGATGTTTAACTCTACTTAAGTTTATAATCTTAAATGAAATTTATTCTCAAAACAGCTTTGCGGACATTAAATGTTTTTTATTTATGTGGAAAAAATTAATTTCAAGTATCAAAAAGAATGAAAGAACTAGCATTTTTATGTCTAATAGGTTATTATTCACCAGAGCAGCGGAAATCACCTCAACCCTCCCCTACCCCTCCCCCTGGTGTAAAATTCTTCAAAATGTTTACTCCTGCGACTCTTGGCAAGTAATTCAACCAAGTTCATCTACTTATTATTATGATGAACTACTTAGTTCTGTTAAATCTATATAATAAAGCTCTGTGCTCATATACACACATCATATAAATATAAATATAAATATAAATATAAATATAAATATAAAATAAATATAAATATAAACCAGCGCAGTGAATAAATAAGCACATGTCGGCATAGAAGAAAATATCTTTATTATCGATTTAGCAAAATGTGATCATGTTTTTATATTTACCTAATAATTTGTATATTACAGTTAAGTGTTATATTTTTTAAAAGGAAAATTATTACACATAGGCTAAAAACAAAAATAGATTTTTAAAATAATTTTTTTTCTTTAAAAATTTGCTTTTTCCTCTAATCTTAAGATATATCTGACCTGCATACGTCCCCCGCCTCTATCTGTAGTTGCTTCCTGACAGTATATGTGAGCTCTATCTCCTCTCCTGTCCTGTTAACCAGGTCTAGAACCAGGAAACAGTTATCAGCTCTTTCTCCGGGTAGTACGTCCCACCTAGACAATATACAATATATATGTTAGCTCTATCTCCTCTCCTGTCCTGTTAACCAGGTCTAGAACCAGGAAACAGTTATCAGCTCTTTCTACGGGTAGTACGTCCCAATAGGTTTTATTCTTAAGATAAAATAAGCGGGGAGCCCAGGGGGTCTTATTAGGAGTCCCAAATGTCCTGAAAACATTGAGGAAAAGATTGGACTTCTAGTTGCAAGCATTTAAAATATATTTTTTAAAAAAGGAAAATTTGACGACTTTAAAACTTTTTCATATGAGAGCTATCAACATTGCAAATAATGCAGTTCTACATGGATCATTTCACTGAAGTCAAAATTTAAAATTATGAAGAAAAAAAATTAAGTCAGCCGATGGAGTTCTAATGTTTGATTTATCGTTATTTAAAAGCGAGACGTGTCCAGTATGGAGTCCAACATTCACCATCCTTCTCAGAATACTAATATCTCTCAAGCATTTAAACAATATGGTAATCAATATAGCAACAACAAACAAACTATCTTTCTTTGTTTATAAAGTTAGAAACTTTTCCTTTAGTACACTAAAAAAAACCTACACTTTTATATTTTACCCAGTTCAATAAAGCAACGCTAAAATCCCCCCCTTTTTTAGGGGGGGGGGGGTATCAGGGAGTTGACGGAAAACCATTTAGATTTGCGGGAAGGTATCACAATAACTATTAGTTACAGTGATCTTTTTTTAAGTATACGTCCACTGTAAAGGTTTAAAAATGAAATTTTGAAAAAATAAAAATCTCCGAGGATTTGGTTTACCTAGACACAGAAATGCTGGGTACTTGATAAACTATCAAAACATATTCAGATCTTCGGCACCATTCAGTTTCAGACCCCTTCACCTCAACCTAGAATATCGCAAGTAAATATGGCGGGAACTGTGGCGGATATGAATATCGTCTTCCTGAATATTCTAGAGAAATCCAAGGAGGAGTTTCCAGATCAGCTGATATAAAATCATGTGTTATATATTCAATTATTTTACTAGTTAAGTTGAGTTTTTTAAATAAAGTTAATCGTTGAGTAACTCTTTTCCTTTAAAGTTGTAGCACGCCAAATTGGTGACCCCGGACTTTTTGAATACGTTTTCTAAAGTTCTCTGCAAAGCAAACCTCAGTGTTGTGATATAGTTAAAAACTAATTTGTGTCACTAGCATTTTTCGGCTGAAAAGTGATCCTGCCTCCCTGTATTTTCCACAGGCTCTCACAGTAAGCGAAACCTAGTTCGACAGTGATATTTTTCTTTTCAGCGTTGCNGGGGGGGGGGGGAGACAACCTGTCCTAGCCCATATGGTCACTGTAGTATAATCAGCATTTTAATGTGGTTAGCCGGTAAAACAAAGTGGTAAGTCGGGACATAAAAATAGTCCCAAATGTAAAACCTATCTAACTATCCCTGATCAAAACCATGCGAGACAATACACCTGTTTTTTTTATAAAACTTGTTTAAAATAATTAAGTCGGGATGACACATACAAAAAATATTGACTATAGTTATAAAAAAAATATCAACTGACAATATAACATAAAAATTCAATGCTTTTTTCCATTTTCTAAAATACGTAAATGGTGCCGAACCTTAAATCTAAGGAGAGATCTAGGATGATCCGTCTCACTGAGCTGGGAGAGCAGGGACGGGTTTCCGGATCCAGGATGTAAGGAGGGAGGAACAGGGAGATGACTAGGTAAGGATTGAGGATGAGAGAGTTTACTCTGAAGAGAGTTGAAACCTGATCCATTAGTGGAATATCAATATTCAAATCAACAAAAGTCAGATAAAATTCGACTAAAAGAATTTTTTAAGTATACCGTATACATTTTGTTGGTTTTAAAATCTTTTTTTTTTTGTTTGAAAGAAATATGACAGGGAAAATCTTGGGAAGCTAGCTGAAGTGCCCGGCGCTGCCCGTGGTATTTTACTCAGGGAAAAAATTGTAGTTTCGTAGTTTTTAATTTTGAAAAAATATTGAATGTTTTTAGCCTATGTCAATGAAAAGAATTAGTATTAGTATTTTACAATCAGAAGTCTGAAAGTTCCAAAACAATCTGTCCTAGCGTCCTTAAAATATCTGTTATATATATATATAGATATTGATAATCCCTGAAGCACTCCATCTTGAGTCGGAACCCGTTGTACTCAAACAATCATCAGCCCTAAATAGTACAAATTTAATGTTGCAAAATCAAGAGGTGAAATATCATCTAAGCCATGTATGTATAGAAAAAAATCAAAAGAAGGTTGATATTACGAAAATACCGCGAAAATATGATGAAAAAAAAATAAACACAAGGCTGTTAATTGTAATCCTAACGAAAGGGCGTAAGTGCAAAACATACTAAAAAATATAAAAAAGAAATAATTAACAAAAATACTAAAAATATTTTGGCTAAAAGTTTACAAAACAAGTAATATATATGAATAGAAAACATTCTCAAAAACAATTCTTTTTAAAAAGTAATGACCGCAACTATTTTTTTTATCAAGGTATCATATTATTTGCCGATCAGACATTGCAATTTTCATCATTGCAAAATGGCATACTTATAAATTTACTTGATAAAAAAGCAACAGTCTGATAATTAATATGTTCCAAGATATCGGCGTTTAAACCTTCCAATTATGACATGAAATTTGACGCAGCCACATTAGATATAGATTTCAGAACATTTGGAGTGGAAAAAATAAAAAGATTGGAAACAACTGGTACAGGGGTCAATATATTTCAATTTCTGATACCAAATGGGATCGAAGTTAAAAGTACATTTGGGGGCATTAAAATACACTTTCTGTATCATTGAGAACTTTGGCAAGTTGTGTACGTGTACTACATTTCATTAATGTGTACTGCATTAGGGTGCTAAAAGATGTAAATATCAGTAACCAATGTAAGAGATTAATTATGATATACAGAAAAATAAACACTTCCTTGTAGGATAAATTCTGCAGTATGGATTTTTTCTACGATTTTACATCATACTTCCAATTGTTTACAACAGCAACATAATTAATTTCTGCCCCCCAATATCAATCAATCAACATCTGGGTTCGTATTAATGAAATTATATGAAACCCTACAACTGGTAATTTTATTCCCTCACAGTTAAAAAACATTCAACACAAGACTCACCCCGTCCGGGAGGAAAGATTTCTTGTTTAAATTACCCGTATATCTTACCTAAAATTTTGATTATTTATTCCCTTCAGTATTAAAGGAATTGTGAAAAAATCTCCTAGAATGCATATTTGTTATTGAAAATAGAATTTAATTTCGTTGGAATTCATACTGAATATCTTTCTGATATAATAACGACAGTCATGCATGAATAACAAGAAGATGCATTTTCCTTGTTTCAGAGGTAAATTATCCTTGATCAATGTTTTATCTAACTCCAGGTCAGGTGGTTCTCCCTCCTCTCCAACCCAACGGAGATCTAGACCCAGAGCTGGGACGGATCCTGTGTTACGAATTACTAGACGCAAGGTTTGTGTCTCTCCACTAAATAAATTAAGGGATTCAATTTTTTTCCAAGATTGTCCGTCCACCAAGTCCAGCTCCTCCTCCTCGTCCTCCTGGAGTTCAGGTTCGGAGTAAACTAGTTCCTCGCAGTGAATGTCTATGACAGGGAGCGGACAAACAACTTGAACCTAGAGCAAAGTTAACTAATTGATAAACTTGTTGTCACAATATTAGTTTGTAAAACTAATTGTTATTCTAAACTGAAAATAAGATAAATGAGTTCAAAGTTTGGTTTTAAAAATGAGCCGTCGATGCATATACATTAAGAATTATCCAGTGAGTTAAAAAAGGTTTTTATTATGGTGCTATGATAAAAATTCTGAATCCGTTCTTCCGTTCATGGTGTAAACGTACCTATCGCGTATCATTACCACCATTAGCGTTTAAAACAGATTTAATTGCAAAAAAAATTAGCTCGTGTTTTTTATTTTATTTTTAAACCCAACCTTGATGCACTCCTCTTCTATCCCTGGAATATCCTTGAGGTTGCAGAAGGAGGTTACTCCTAGAACGGAGTGGGAGTATCCTAGTAGACGGAGAACTCCTTCAGATTTTGGAACTCCCCGGATTATCACAGTTTGAGGGTTGGGATGTGACTCAAGCATCACATGGCTAGGTATCACTTCAAAGTCTATTCCGTCACAGGTGATAGAAAAGTTTGAGATCTTGACTTCAACTCCGAGTGTATTTTGAACCTGGAGCGACACCTCCGCAGTATCGTTCTGAACCCAGGTTACGGAGCGGAGTTTACTCCGACCTGAGGATCGAGCTGAGCCCCCGCCACCCAGGTTCATTATCGGAGTAAAGAGGAAGGGTCCGGATTGAACCTTTGGGAGGCTCGGAGCTGAGAAGGGGGCTAGGTTACCAGGTAGAGGAGATGCTTGAACACTTGAAACCTGGATTTCAGGGTTCATTATATTATTATAATCAATTCATTATCAGAACTGGCGAATTTAAATTAACATAATGTGATAAATGTTTTCAGTAAAGGGAAGCAAATTTGATGTACAAAAACATGAAACAAATAAAATTGTAGAAATAACTTTCTAATCTATTTCAATTGTTTTGACGGAAACAACATTTTAAACTATGAATAATTTTTAAAAGATTTGCTGGCACAGAAATCTGTCAAAGTTGAAATCATAACCACCCAACTTTCCCCACTCTCCCATGAGGTGAATAAACTATAGGATTGAGAATTTAAAATATTACATTTCAAAATTAGATTTTAATATTTTAAAATCAAAAATTTAAGTAAAATCTTCATTTAAAAACCCTTTCAAACCAAAAAATAAAGACAAATTTTGTTGCTTCTGTAAAAGACCGACAAGAAAATAGAAAAATTTAAAATGCAAATTTAACTCAATTCAGCCTAGTTGCAATTTAATTTTTTCTCGCTAAAAAATGAACATAAAATTTTCATAATGTGAAATATAAGTTTATATAACTGAACCCTCCTTGGGTAAACAGATGATGTTAACGGGTGGAAGAACACTCTTCCCCGACATAGGATACAGTGCGCCCTTGAAGAGCGAGGTCTCAAGTGCTAGGGGAGCAGGGGTGCTCACTGCGCGCTGGGAGAGCACGGAGAGCTGGGTTGCAAAGTCCTGGCGCTCAGTCTGGGATAACCAGGGATACATACACTAAAAAAACAATATTAAAGGGATTGTTAACGAAATTCTAACTCTGTCTTAAGTTTTTATTAATTCATCTTTAACATTTATGGTTGATAATTCACTTCTAGAGCGTCTCGTGGATTTCTATAGTACAGACGAGACAGAACATTCGTGATGTTTGTTTCATTCCAGGGAGAAAACGATAGAGGATTTTGTTGACGGCACTCGATAAAAAGGGGGGGGGGGCATGAAACGTATTACTCTCCGGAAAATTTAATGAAACTGCTGGTTACTAGCGCGCCGGTCAGAATGCTCCAATATTAAATTTGACCTCGAAAATGAATTTCCTATAAATCGACATACAACATGTAAATATGTGGGAAGATGACCCATAATGTATCTGCCGGCTACTAGCGCGCCGGTCAGAATGCTCTAATATTTATTATGACCTTAGAAATGAATTCCTCATGCCAAATTTCCTATCAATCGACATACAACATGTAAAAAATGTACTAAGATGACCCATAATGTAATGGTTGGCTACTAGCTCGCCGGTCAGGTTGCTCCAATATTAAATTTGACCTCAGAAATGAATTCCTCATGCCCAATAACCAATAAATCGACATACAACATGTAAATATGTGGGAAGATGACCCATAATGAAACTGCTAGCTACTAGCGCGCCGGTCAGAATGCTCTAATATTTATTTTGACCTCAGAAATGAATTCCTCATGCCAAATTACCTATAAATCGACATACAACATGTAAAAAATGTACTAAGATGACCCATAATGTAATGGTTGGCTACTAGCGCGCCGGTCAGAATGCTCCAATGTCTATTTTGACCTCGGAAATGAATTCCTAGTCCCAATTTTTCCATAGTTTGATGTATCTCATGCAACTGTTATTCTAACTTAGGCCAAACTTAGCACATAAGTATTCAAAGATATTTTCTTTTACTGTACGCGCGCGCGGACATTTAAGCCTTTGGAGGTAAATTTTTTAAGCGCATATTTGTTTCAAGAGTGCCAGGAAAAATGTTTCAAGTGCATTTAATGAAGTTAACATTGATGTACTATAAAAAAGTCGCATTTTTTCACAAAAAGCGCGCGCGCGCACTTTTTCTCAGATTCAATCAAAACCAAAAAATGCATGTAATATACATAATTCTGAGTTTGCATGCAAAAAAATCAGCCTCCTAGGACAATGCTAAGTTATGTTACACTGCTTAAATTTCTGGAGAGTAATACGTTTCTTGCCCCCCCCCCCCCCCCGGCAATCTCTTTTAAATGTAAGTATTGTGAAAATATATATCCCCTTCCCTTAAATAATTGTTTTCCTTCGATATTAAAATTAAATTTCGAGAGCTTTTCCAGAGCTTTGCCCAATTTGATAAAAGTTTGCAGATAATCCAGTTTGAAAAGATTACTTGAGAGAAATTAACAGGAACTCTTTTATTATAATTCTTCATGTAATCTAATAAATGCTCAAGGCTCTTAATGCGTTCAAACGATGAAGGGATTTTCATAGAAACTTTCATTGAAACTCTAATATTTTAGTTCCTTAGAATTTTAAAGAAAATTGGTGGAAAAAGTTGTTTAATAAACTATGGTGTTTATGTCTGATCAAGACTAAATCAGACACCCACGTTATTCTCTTATAAAACTAATTTACTTTAAATCTGGTTTCTTGGGGGGATTTCTGCTGCAAAAAAATGAAGAAAATTATCAGGTAGAAAATCAAGCTAAAATACAACGATATTTTCCATTTATTAATCAGAAAGGTTTCAAGGGTACCATTGTAAATCAGACAGGCCCTTCTTTCAGTTACTTTAAGAGATTGTATTTTCGATAGACTTTTATGTCCGACTCACAACAGTACCCTTAAAAGCATTGTCTAATGAAGAGTGAATTCGATAACAATGTTCAACTCTAAAAATTCCCTAATTTTAATTGTGGCTTGTGAATTTCTTCTAAAATAAAGTGGGAGTAAATTTCAGAATAAAAACTTTTTAAGTAAGAAAAACGACGATATCTTACACATTATTTATATTTTATCAGATAAAGGTTTAAAAGAAACTATTGTGAATCGGTATGAAAGGCATCATGAAATTACAATGACAGCCCCTCGGCTTAAAGTACAAACAACTAGCCCATGAGTCAGTCATCTGATTTAAAGATTCAGCATGAATATCATAGAAATTGCTATGATCGAACGAGGGCAATATCATCACAGGGGTTTTCTGACTTAAACAAATTTATAAACATTAATAACATGGTTGTTCCGTTTTCAGGTTTCTTTATTTAATATTAATTATTTACAACTAGTTTACAGGAAGGGTAATGGAATTTTACTTAACCAAGGGTTTCAAGACCATTTGCCCACAAAACTTTCAGAGCGAAGCGAGGGATATTTTGTGGGCAAAAATGTTCCAGGGAAACCGTGGTTAAGTAAAATTAATCTCGAAGAAGTATTTGTACACAATTTTATTATCTTTTAATATGTACACGCGCAACTTTTTTCTCGAAAACTATGCAGAGCAGGTTGTTATTTACATAACTGTCCCAAGGAACACTAAGTTATGTCGGTAATGTTGGCGATAAAAATTATTATGATATTTGCGTGATTTTACCTGGAATAGAAATGTCATATGTCGAGTAGACGCAGCATGTGCTCCCATCTTCCTTGAAGTTCCAACCAACTCCTGGAGAAGTTGAACCTGCAGGGTTGGCCATCCTGTCTCCGGTCGTGAGCAGGATCCTAGATTTAGGTTGTATCCTTTTACTGACTCCAGCATCAAGGAATAACAGGAGGCCCAATCATGGGACGGATTCTGAGGTGCTACACAACGCATTGCCGCTACACGCTGGAAAAAAGAAGCTTTTCTCCGAAACCCAATCTAGAAAAATAAAAAATACGTCAAGGCTGAAAAGTCAGGTGGTTTATACGATATGGAACTCATAAACAAAAAACAAAACAAAAATCAGGCTTACTCAACAGACAGAAACTTAATTTAACCAGCTTCTTTGATAAACGTTTAGACCCTTATCATAGACCAAGGCTTATAGCATTATATAGCGCTTCGTGTTAGAATTGATTTTTTTCTTTCATACTCTTTCTGTATTTTTGCACGACTTTTTAATCACATTAAAAAATAAGAATATTTTATTTTTAAGATTTTTAAATCTTTAATAACTATACAAAAATCATACTATTGTGAGCTTCTAGTGAACATTTTTGTGATGCTGACGTTTGAACCATCAAAATCGGTGAAAAAATAAATATTTTAAACGTAGAATACTACAATTGTTTTCTTTAGAAATAATAAAACAGAAGAGCAGATCTCATTATGAAATTAAAAGGCCTGGTATCACTTAATATATTAACTTTTTCTATTGTGCAAGAGAAAAACCCTGAAACTTAATAAAAAACTTCTTCTTAAAAAAAACTGTGACAAGCCTCTGAGGCCAAAGAGGGGCCGGGTTGATTTTTTATTTCCCCTCTGCTAACTCGGAATAAGAATGGACCAAGATATAGAAGAAAGAAAAAATCAGAAAAGACAATTTTTTTGTGAATTTTCAGTGAGGATTAAGGAACCTGGATATTGAACAAATATTGACTTTTATTCTTCAACTTTGCACCATGAATTCGAGATGTTAAGAAACAATGTTTGAATAGAAACAGGAAGATCGATCAAGNAAAAAGCAAAATTGATAGAATTTTAAATTTAACATTTACAAGCTAGACAAATATTGGATGAATTTCTGTGTTACAAAGATGTTTGAGTCCTTGATTAAAATAAAAAATACATTAAAGCCGAAAAAAAACTTAGATCATATGTAACCGTAAATATTAACTCAAAAACTTGAACGAAAGTGCAAAAAAATCCAGATATATACTTGATGTGCCAATCGCAAAACTTATTCTGCTATTTAAATGTTGATAATCCAAAAATGTGACAAAAATTTTAAAAATAATACAATATCTACCTGACTATATAGGTTGCTGAGAGCTATAAATCTTTCAATTTTCTCCCGATCACTGAGCTGAAGATTTATGAAAACAATATTCTGTAGGAACTCGGAGGCTAGTAGATAACTTCTAAACATAATATCAAATACTAGTTTGGGAACCCAGCTTTGCCTGGAGAATTAAACAATATTCAAACCAAAATAAGAACATTAAGTTCTAACTAGAGTGCTCAATCAAAACTTGAGGCAAATCGGTCATATTAAAACTTGTGACATATTTACTTAACAGTACTATTTACTTATTTCAATCCAAACCAACTGGAAAACTGAACAGTACTATTTACTGCTTTATCTAAACAGTATTTAATTATTTATTTTATTCTAGTAAGAGGATTTCTTCTGAACTAAACTTAAATTTACTTTCCAGAATGTCTTCATTATATTTCATATTCATTATAAGTTGCTTACCCCCCTCCCCCTTCTCTTTCCCAAGTATACAATAAGCAGGTTAAATTTGGATGAAATTCTTATATTTTCATTTAATTTGATAAATCTATTAGAATGAATTAGGATCAAGTAAAGTTATTTAACTGAACTTTATTATTATGCTGTATCATATAACCAATGTAGTTGTACAACCGGAAAAAAAGGATCCAAATATTTTTTTTAATGTGTGCTGATAAAAATATGCAAAACTATATGATAACTTTATAAGTAAATATATGTTTACTAACCTATGTTTGACTCTATATAATAAGTAAATATTTATGTTAACTAACCTATGTTTGACTAGAATAACTACACCTCTATATAATAAGTAAATATATGTTAACTAACCTATGTTTGACTAGAATAACTACACCTCTATATAATTAGTATGTTAACTAACCTATGTTTGACTAGAATAACTACACCTCAATATAATAAGTAAATATATGTTAACTAACCTATGTTTGACTCTATATAATAAGTAAATATATCTGTTAACTAACCTATGTTTGACTAGAATAACTACACCTCTATATATGATAAGTAAATATATATGTTAACTAACCTATGTTTGACTAGAATAACTACACCCCTATATAATAAGTAAATATATATTAACTATCCTATGTTTGACTAGAATAACTGCACCTCTATATAATTAGTAAATATATATGTTAACTAACCTATGTTTGACTAGAATAACTGCACCTCTATATAATTAGTAAATATATATGTTTACTAACCTATGTTTGACTAGAATAACTACACCTCTATATAATAAGTAAATATATATGTTTACTAACCTATGTTTGACTAGAATAACGACAGCTTTAAGCGATGCTTCTGTTTCTATAATACCCGCATACTTGTACTTGGCGTAGTGGTTTACACACTCACGATATCTAACAAGAAAATAAGTTGATTTATTATTTTCTTTATTTTAAGAAAAAGGGGATGGTGGAGTTGGCACATTTGATGTAGGGGGGGGGGGCCCTGCCTTCATTTTTGGTTCAAATCTTCCAATTTTTTGGGTGCGCGCCTAATTAGGGTTCGAAATTCCTATAATAAAATAAAATTGAACTTTAATGACCTCTAATGACCTCTAATGACCTCTAATGACCTCCACCAATAGAAAATATTTCAACTATGGCTTAATGCATATCAAACGAAAGCTGGGAACCCAGGGAATCCAGTAGCAGCAACNTTAATAGAAAAATGGCTAACAGCAACTCATGAACCATCGTGACAAATGCAGCATTCAGAATGGGCAGAATTAAGTTTTTTTTTACCATTTAAATAAATAAAATTTGCTACTGACCCATGATATATTATCCAGCTAAACCTGATTTACTCATTTGCTCAATGATGGGTGTACTGATATATAATGGACTCGAGAATAAATCAGGAACAGTGGTGCGCCTACACATTGTGTTCTCCTAGTAAGATCGGAGACCCCAAGGGTAAACCAGATATGGATTATTTATTTAAAGAAAGTTATAAAAAAAATTTTCCGTAGAATGTTAAAGTTTATTTCTTAAAACAGTAAGTAACTGCATTGAGAGCAATTGAGAGCAAAATAACAAAATACTAACAAATATTTCAAATATATTTTAAAAACCTTAAAATTTTTCTAAATTCCTATAAACCTTTAAACAAAGATAAATTTTAAAAAATAGTTTGAAAAGGCATGTGAATTATTTTCTCAATTTACATTTCCTGTTTAATACGAGGAAATCATTTTTTACAAGAAGTTAGGTCTTTTCTGGAGATTTTTTGCTGAATTATGAAATATAATTGACTTTTAGTGGGTGAGGAATTATTATTTTTGGAAAAGACTTTCAAGAGGCTCCATTCTTTAAAATCATCCCTCGGGTGTAATTCTTAAAATGATACACCCCTACAAACCTACTCATGCAAGCCGCAGGGTTTATTTCTATAATTAAAACAATCTGGGGAGGGGGGGGGGGGCAACTTTAAGTAATAAATTAATTAAGTCCTACTTCTCAATGACCTCCTCCCATGAGAGTCCGACTGCACCGAAGCTAACCCCCTTCTCCTGTCTCTCCTGCAGCAACATAGATACCGCACACAACCCCTCCAGGCAACCTGCCAACCACAACCAGTCGTTGGCAGGACGAAGCACATCACATCCAACCTAGAGACAATCCTTAATTCTTTTTCACCAAAATTACCGACCTTGGATTCCCCCAACAGAGAAACGTTAAGCTACTTAACCGTCCCTCGGGACAACTAAGTAAAATAACGATCCTCTCTGCAAACATTACGGGAAAAAAATCGGGCATATTCATCTCATTAGACGATAAAATTGTGTACAACTATTTTTTCGGTAATTTTACTTAAAGGGAGGATTTTATGAAAAATTAAAGGGGAAAATATGAAATGTCGTCTTCATTATAAAAATCCTCGAAACAGGAATAAATATTTCTAAAGTAACTCTCAGATCATGAAAAATACAAAATATTATGAAATATCAACTATTTACGAATGCGTCGAAAAATAATCGATGACTATTTTTTGTAATATCTAAATGATTTGTTTGGAATTAAATTGATTTGTTTACGATCCGAGTTGAATGTTGCATTTTTCTGAATTTGTATGAACACTACGTTCTTCGGTATTAGTCGTTTTTAACAATTTTCTCCTTATAGACGTAACAGATAGAAGTAAGATTAGTAGCAATCAAAAGCGCTTATTTTTCGCCGCAAGCCTATACCCCCTTTCATTCCCTTTAAACACGTTTGCTCGGTCAATTATGCCTACAAAACATCCCTCACTAAGCACTGGATGTTTTGTAGGAAAAATTGCCCTTGAAACAAAGTAAAGTTCCCTTGACTTGTCTAAAAACTAGCTGTAAATACTTATAAATACTAAAGATTTACCTTAAATTATAGAAATAATATTTTCCTTAAACAGTTTATATTTGTTATGAACCCGTGACATAATTTTTCTTAGTATTAACCTGATAATAGTTCCAAGCTTCAGCTGGAAGTCCAGCTAGTAAACTTAAATCCCCGAGATGTTTTTTCTGACGTCCTAGAACTCTTTTTCTAAAAAGAAAATAATTTGATCAAAGGGTTGAAATTAGTATTAATAAAGATATGAGTGATTTGAAGCGATCGAAAAGCATATATATTGATTCTTTTAAACATTCAGGGTTTTTTGAATCTTTGGCTTTCAAGGATGTTAAAAATTACTTAAGTTTTGAATAACATTTTGCTTTGATAAAAAATGCAGGCTAAAGCCGAAACGAGACAAGAGCCTTTCATTTTTTTTATCAGGTTCTGATTTTTCCCTGCATAAGTAAAGAACTCTTAATATTCACAACCTACTAGGAACTAGTTTTACCAATAATAAAGAATAAAACAAAGGTATGAGCATGGTTTAAGGACCGGACTTGTGAATTAACTTTCCTGACCTATTGTTCCTGCTCTCCATGTCGAGGCCCACGAAGTCCTTACGCTCGAAGGGTGCGCAGAGTAGCGTTGATCTCTCTCCGGTTTCCCTACTCCACTCTACACGTTTAGACTCCAGGATCCAGAACAACGAGGCTATAAAATCCTAGAAGAAAAAATAAGTTCTCCAGTGTTCATATATAAAATAAATTCTAGACTGATAATAGGCTGCTAATATATTTGGTAATTTCCAAGCAAATTATAGCATGACCGCCCCTCCCCCTCCTTTTCCAAATTAGCAACTTAAGTAACTATCTATCTTCACCTAACCTTTACTGAAACAGTTGGTATGTGTACATCTAAACATGTCAAGAGGGGGAAGGGGGGGGGGGAGTGTTCATAACAAGAACAAACCTTGACTTATATAATATCTTTTCTTCAAATTTTAATGTTAAACTGACTGTCTAGTGTCTAGTGCCATGCCTGATCATTAATGTGTAAGATATCGTAGTTTTCTTTGGCTTGAAAGTGTTTAATTCTTACATTTTCATCCATATTTCTGTAACAAGAAATCCGCAAGTCACTTTATTAAGAATTGAAAATGACCAATTATATATCTTATTCATTCTTGATCATACAAAGCACTCAATGGCAATGTTATAGAATCGTATATTACCACCTTTAGGTCTGCGGTAAGAGCAGCTGAATATTTAGCTCCATGAAACTGAAGAAGTCGTGTTTTATGATTCTGAGGTTGGAACCAGGATGGAGGTTTATCAACCTCTCCTCCTCCATCCGTATCTACATCCTCCTGGATAAAATAATAGAAATGTTTATATCCTCATTTTACCAAAAAAAAAATTCAAATCAGCTGATTTTAACATTCAAATTTTTTTTTTGGTCTTGACTGATTTACTGATTCTAAGTTAGACCAGACCTAACTCTAACCAAACCAGTCTCAACTATTTATGGGCTATGCCTTCGTTTTTTTTAAGGTTTTTGGGGCACCACAAAAACATTTTAAAATTATAGCAAATGCACGAATTTTACGGAATTACCTTGGCCAAGATGGTTCAAAGGGCAAATCCCTACTAGAGAGAGGTAAAAAGCTGGGGAAGATAATAGAAAAATGGCTAACAGCAACTCATGAACCATCGTGACAAATGCAGCATTCAGAATGGGCAGAATTAAGTTTTTTTTTACCATTTAAATAAATAAAATTTGCTACTGACCCATGATATATTATCCAGCTAAACCTGATTTACTCATTTGCTCAATGATGGGTGTACTGATATATAATGGACTCGAGAATAAATCAGGAACAGTGGTGCGCCTACACATTGTGTTCTCCTAGTAAGATCGCAGACCCCAAGGGTAAACCAGATATGGATTATTTATTTAAAGAGGATGCCTAAAAAAGTTTTATAAGTGACATTCCATTAGGGTTGCCCCTCAGTTAGATCCAGATTTGTTAAAACCATTTTTATAAATTTTAAACAGACGTGTGTACTGTTCAGGAATGCTATTTAAGGCCTCCTTACATATCGGGCATACACACTGGATCCTAAGGGATTCAAACCTGATGTGATCCATTATAACTCAGGCAGACAAGGGGAAGTGGCTGGAGCTCGACCCTAGAGCTCGGAGAATCATTGTCCTTGAGGATCATGATTCTTTGAATATAGGTTGAATGTTAATAATAATAATAATAATGTAGGAGTTTGCTTTTATTCAACTATGAAAAAAATTTTATCCTAAGAGGAATAACAAGAAAAAGTGAACTAAAGATCGGTCGTTTCTTTTGTACGATTTTGCTTTTAGTATTTACAAAGATTTTATCCTAAGAGGAATTACAAGAAAGGTTAAAAGTTGGCTTATGGTAACTAAAGATAATGTTGAGGGTAAACATTAAACAAGTTCTAAATCAGATTTCTGTAGAATCTTTTACAAGTCCAAGAAACCTTAAAAGCTTTAAAAATGAAATTAAATAATCGATGAATTGAATTGAGGCTCAAAAAACAATGTGATCTTCCAAAATAAAATATTTTCACTATTTGAAAAAAAGCATTAGATGCATTAAGTCACCATTGTGATTTGAGAAATGCTGATACCTCTCCTCAAATAAAAGGTGATTATTTATCTAAAACATAAATTTTAACCTGAATATGAAGAGTTTTCTCCTCATCAACCCCGTTCTCGGAGTCACAGAGAACTATACACCTGGAGTCAAACAATGTGTTGATGAACTTGTTCTTGACGGTCTCATGGAGCCGGCACAACTCGTTCAGTTCTACTTGAGAACTACAAGATCCAACACTAACCACTCCCAGGATACGTCTATGAGCCTAGATAATTTATATTATTAGACAGAAAGAAGAGGCTTTATAGATGGGAGCTCAACTCAAGCCTGTTTTACAATAATTGAAAGCAATTATTATTATATGAATAGCTGAAGTGCCCAGCGTTTCTCGTACAAAAAAATTCAAATTTTGAAAGAAAAAAATTTAGGTTTTGAAAAATAATTCGAATTTTTGAACAAATTTTAATTTTGAAGAATTTTGAACAAAATTTTGAATTTTGAAAAATAAGGGGGGGGGGCCACAAAACGTATTACTCTCCGGAAAATTTAAACAGTGTTTAAACATAACTTAGAATTGTCGTAGGAGGCTGATTTTTTGCATGCAAACTCAGAATTATGTATATTACGTGCATTTTTTGGTTTTGAAGGAATCTGAGCAAAAGTGCGTAAAAATTTTTTGCCTAAATAACCCCAAGGTCCTTAAAGTTCCCTCAAAATTTGCCCCGCTCTAGCTAATATATATACAAAATACAAATATATAAGTATATGAGCTTTGAATTGCCTTACTAAAGATCATACTAAACACGAGTCTAGGTGAGTCAAGGATGTTGACCTAGGGCTACAGAATACGACGGGTTCTGGTCACCCTGCACCCGGGTACGCTTACATCCAGGGTTTACCAATAGAACATGTTTTGAGCAGACTAAACAGACGACCCCAGGCGTGATTGATATGCGTATAGAAGGGGAGTGCTGAGGGGTGGGAATGCCTGAGGCTATGAACAACCCCAGCAATTTTCTTTAAATAAAAAAATAAATGTATATATATATATAAGCGAAGAGCTTTATTTTATAGATTAATTCTAAATGATTTTATTCTCATTCTTTTATAACAACCAGAGGCATGTCCAATTCCATGTTTTTGGTTTTTTTTTTAAGATAGTTTTTTATGAATTGGTATGGTGATTTAGGCTTGCAGAAACATAGGAGAACATGTTCAGAATCAAACAATTTAAATGCTAGAAAACATAGGAGAACATGTTCAGAATCAAACAATTTAACTGCTAGAAAAACACCGATATTTTCCACATTGTTGATTAGACTCAGGTTTTAAGGGTATTGTTGAGAATTGGGCATGCCCCTGACTCCATCACGAGAAATTAAAAAGACAGTCTCTACTTGTAACAACCTGAAATTCTCCCCATTCGTTGTTTTCTAACGGATAATGATGCGTGTACCGTACACCAATATTCCGGGTCAATCCATCCTTGTTTACAACAGGAACCTCATGTACCTGCAGTACACAAACATACAGTACATGTTTAAAAATATTAAATTTTAAAAATGTTAGAATCAACATGTTTAGGAAAAATTCTAAATATTGTTTTTAATTAACTAGGGCTAAAAAATAAAAGAATAATAATTAAAGATTTGTTTCTAGGGGGAGGAGGTTCTCTAATATCCAACCTGTTTGATTAAGCTGGAAACCTGTTGAAAGGTTTGCTCTGACATCTGATGACCAATCCTTGCAATCAAAACAAGCAACCTGAACAAAGATTAAATATCATATTTTAAAAAATATATTTGAAATATTTAAGTTGTTTCAAACATATATGTAAAAAGATATTTTAAAGAAAACCATAGAAAAAAAATATGAAAAAGCGAAACAGAAAAAAGAAGAAAAAAAACTTATATTATGATAATCTTATGAGGTGCGGCCTGAGTTAAAGAATGCATCAAGATTATTTCATCGAGTTTAAGAATTCCATTATTACATTTTTATCCTCATAAGATTATTATTATATCTTATACATTCTTTCACGCTCTGACCGTGTAATAATTTCCATTCTTACACGGTCTAAGCGTTAAAGAATGAAAATTCTACACCTTCAGTGTAAGAATAAGCATTCTTAAACGCAAGGAAGCGAACAATATTAAAATTTTCCTCCTGAACCGTGTAATAATGGGAATTCTTACACGATAGCTTTACTACTATGGAACCGAACAGATATGATATAATACAATATACAAAAAAGGAATTCGGCTTATCGAGGAAAAGGAAAACACAGTTTATATCTGGTCATGAAAAAAATCCCTTTTTTAATATAATAAATTAGAATTTGTTTAAAGATATAAAACAGAAAAGGGTAACTAAACAAATGAAATGTAGTTTAAAAAGACCAAAAATACTGTTATTATTATCGTGTTGTAATTTTAAACCTGGCATGGTCGGAGCAGGTCTGTTTGTAGTCGGGAAAGGCCATAGTATAGTCCGGAGCTGGATCTGATAGGATAACACTAACACTAGATCTCATCCTTCATGTTTACATTATATCTAGGACAGGAGCTAGGATTACGGGTTGGAACCATGGGAGGGTGGAACCTACAGGGATGGTTGGGAGACTGTACTCGACCCACTTAGATATAGAATTTGATTGATCCAAATTTATCTTCCCCGGGAGTAGGCTTTACAAATCCAGAGGAATTTAACTACACTGAGAGTAGAATATACTAATCCAGGGAGGATTAAACTACCCTAGGAGTAGAATATACTAATCCAGAGAGGATTTAACTATCCTAGAAGTAGAATATAGTATTCCAAGGAGGATTAAACTACCCTAGGAGTAGAATATAGTATTCCAAAGAGGATTAAACTACCCTAGGAGTAGAATATAGTATTCCAAGGAGGATTAAACTACCCTAGGAGTAGAATTAACTATTCCGTGAAGGATTAAAACTACATTAGGGTGGGAAGAGTAATGTTTTCTATTACACAAAAGATCCTATTCAAATTCTATTGTTTATCGAACCCTTAATAATCCTGGGTTCCATATTAGAGATTATACACAACGGTCTTGTGAGTAATGTGTAAAATGCATGAGCTAACTACTTTTCAACTGTCCAGGGGGAGGGGGGGGGGGGGATATTAACAGAGGTTAGGTCATTCATTTTCCAGGTTAAAATACAATAGTACAATAAAAAAACAAATCGACAATTTATGAATCAATAAAAGATGATTTTAGGGAGAAATACATTGAATACAACCTGATAAAAAGATAGAATAAAAATTCATTTAACGAAGATACCGAATCCTTAACCAAAGCAAAAATAACAAAAATACAAATAAAAACAACAAGGTTAAAGTACAATAGGAGATATATGTAGATTACATGGAAACATTTATCAGAAAATTCCAAATATTTTCCCAGCTGAGAACCAAACCATTATTATTTTATCCACAGAGTATCTACAGAGGGGCAGCACTATCATTCAAGTTTACATTTAATATTCAACATTCATCTTCTTCTAGTTAGATCACTTTATACATTTAGTTCTCAAATCAAACATCGTAAAATATGTTTCTTATTGCTAAGCTCCCCTTTGTACATACTTTGTAATTTTGTTCAACACCATTTACCAGTCTTTGTACTGTTTCAAATTTAAATTTACAAATTTAAAAATACAAATTTTAAATATTGGAAAAACTCCTTCATTATGATTATTGATATGTTATGCGGTTTCAAAAATAGAAAAAAAATATTGAAACCCTATCGTCCCAGGAAGAAACTTAAGCTTTAAGGTTAAAAATATTTTCATACAAAAATGCTGAATTCTTCAGAAGTTTTCGTCAAATAACTACACTGATAAAAAAATCCAGGACATCCTGAACATCAGAAATATTATAAACAATATTGAAAGAATGTACTGTAGAGTGTTTAGTACATTTACTGTGTACTATGTACTGCAAACTGAAACTTTATTTCTTTCTTATCTGCAGTAATCCTTACTTAATAGATAAACATTAGAATATCACAATTATTCAGCGAATAATGGAGTAAGCAAAGAAGGGTCTGGGTTAGGTGTAAATGTATATAGCTAGGGGTGCTGGGTTGGATTGGGTTGGTTCTGGAGGATCTCCGGGTGGTGAGTTTAGTACGCTGAGTTACTGAACCCCTGTGCTGCTGGGCGCTGGTCGTTAACGGCTTGTCTGAGCAGGTATCTGGCTACACTTATCTGTCCCTCTGTACCTTCGATAGTGATCAATCTCTCGTTACTTCCAGTCTGTACATCTTCGATAGTTATATTGGCCTTGGACTCATTCCGGATCTTCCGGATTCTCTGTCCTCCGGGTCCTACAAATACAAATACCAAAATGAGCCATTATTGTACAATTATATCGACAGGCAACAAACAATGAGTTTTACTTAATTTACTTAATTCAAAACAAGATATTCATAATTTCGTGAAAATATTTGAAAAAATAATCACTTGCTTTTAAAATATAAAAACAAAAAAAATCAATTTTAAAAAGTCATTTGAACCAAATTTCCCGTGGTGATTGTCAAATGTTCAATATTTAGACTTAGATTCTAGAGTTTATTAATTATTGAATTCATGAAATTTTAGAAATTTACAAAACATATTTTACCTATTATTGCTCCTGCAACCTCCTTAGGTATTGTGACCTGTGTTGATTCCCTTGGCCCGTCATCAATCTCTAAACCTGTTCCTGCGCTAGAGTTAAATCTGCCCCCGGCATCGCCGAATTTACCACGTCCCCCGCCAACACCGCCACCACCGCCGAAACCAAGGTCTCGACCGAAACCTTCCTGACCAAAACCACGTCCCATTGGTCGGCTAGGGAATCCGATTGGTGGGATAAATCCATCGGGACGACCAAACCCTCCGGGAGCAGGTACACGTCCAGGTCCTCGCTGTACTCCACCACGACCTCGTCCACCCTCCATTCCAAACCTGCCGGCTTGGCCACCGAAACCTCCATATTCGTGGGCGAAAAATGAGTCGAAATTGGCTGGATCATATGGCATACCGGAACCACGCTGCCCGTTCTCGACTATGACCTGCAAACAAAGTCTGAGGGCCGGGATCAGGGTTTCCCGGTCACCCTTTATAGACACAACCCGATCACTGGACTGTGGGGCACAGTTCTGATACGCTTTCACGTTAGCTCCGCTCTGCTCTCTGATCTGTTTAATCTTATTTCCTCCTTTACCGATAATGGCTCCGACTGCTCCGGTTTGAATTAGAAGTCGGATCTCTTCTTCCTTTTCACTGTCTTCGACTCCAAACATCATGGGTAATGCTTTCTCTGCAGCAGATACATCAATTAAATCATATTTACGTAGGTGGGCATTGCAAACAATAACTTTAAAAACCAGTGCTTTTGATTCTCGCTCAAAACTTACAAAAAAACGAATTATTTTAAAAGTTCTGTCCTTAACAATTGTACGAGTAAAAACTAAGTGTGTAATTTCAAACTTTCAAAACAAATAAAAAAATCAGTATTTTCCAGGATGTATCCCAGATTTACAACAAAATATTATCAGTTTCTAATTAATATAAAATAATATATTTTGATTGTATTCCTATGACATCTGCAACAGTGTCTGCATCTGCTGCGTAGACGCTAAATATCCTCTCAGGTCCAGGGGAGTCCGGTAGCTTAATATTAGCAGAGTATTCACTCCGCAACATCTGTATGTTTGCACCTTTCTTTCCTAAAAAAGTAGAAAAATTTGAATGAAGAATGTTTTGGAATGTAGAAACTATAATTTTACTTAATTTAACTTTGAATTACATGGGAAAATATTTTTTTTTGGGGGGGGGGGGGATTTAGCTTCATTTGGCAAGTTTGATAGCCTTTTTGAATACTTTTTACCTTTACATGCTTTTACCAGTTTATTTTTCCAATTCAGTGAAAAAAAAACTTTTAAAATATACCTTTCCATACTGAGGGAAAAAAATCTAGTAGGAGGAGGGGGGGATTGTTCAAAATAATAAATACCCCTAATAAATAGGTTGGTATATAGGATCTAGACCCCTGACAATCGGTCTGTAAGCTCACCTATAATAGATCCCGCCATTTTACTGGGTATAAGCATTCTGCATTCGAAGTCACCTTTCCTTCCCTCAACTCCATTTTCTTGTCCATCCTCTTTGTGGGACATTTCTGAAAATATTAAAAAATATTTTTATCTGACAAACATAGGACCAGCTAGACAATAGACATTAACCAGCAATCATTTCAGGTCTTCAAGTGTCAAGTTAACAAGCAACGAGGTCAACGTAATAAAGGTTCCCTTTACAACAACTAAAGATAGTAATGCCGCCTTTCTTGCTTCTTTTACCTAAAAGCTAACTTGTGAATTTTCAAAGCACTAAAGGAAAATGGCGGTAATATGTCTCGATCCATACAGAAAAGTGACGACTTTAAGAATGTATAAAATGTTGTGAATCGTTTCTGGCACAGCAAGGAAGAAATTCCATTTTTTAGAACATATTTTAAGACAAAGCTAATAATATAAACTATTACTGTTCCAAGAAGTTATGAAATAGAACTATTCTTGTTCCAAGAAGTTATGAACTAGAACTATTCCTGTTCCAAGATGTTATGAACTGGATCTATTCATGTTCCAAGAAGTTATGAACTAGAACTATTACTATTCCAAGAAGTTATGAAATTGCTGGAACTATTCATGTACCAAGATGTTATGAACTAGAACTATTCCTGTTCCAAGATGTTATGAACATAAACTATTTCAGTTCCAAGAAGTTATGAACTAAAACTATTCCTGTTCCAAGATGATATGAACTGGATCTATTCATGTTCCAAGAAGTTATGAACTAGAACTATTACTATTCCAAGAAGTTATGAAATTGCTGGAACTATTCATGTACCAAGAAGTTATGAACTAGAACTATTCCTGTTCCAAGAAGTTAAGAAGTAGCAGGAACTATTCATGTTCCAAGAAGTTATGAACTGGAACTATCCTCCTCCTGGTCTGAATCAAGGTTCAAGTTCTCCAGGAATTTCTCTTCATCACTGGACTCCCAGTCTGAGTTGTGTTGAATGACAAGGGATGATGAATGAAGATATTTTGTTCTAGCTGGAGCAGGATCTCCATCCTGGATGATAAATACAAAGCTGTGCAATCCAACCCCTTAACCTTTTTTTCCATCAACTTTAAATGTTAATAAACATTAGAATTTTTAAAAAGAGAAATTCATCATAATATTTAGAATTTGAAGAAAATATTTCAATTTTCTTCAAAGTTTAACTTTGTAACCAATAGCTTTTACAAAAAATATTATTGACAGAAATCAAAACATGAAAAGAGTTGTGGAACGTTCCTTCAATTTTCTCGACTTGAACCGACCATCCTAATCCTTCAGCTAGAAGCAAGGGTACCCTGATCATCATAAATCCATTTAAAGTCTAAAAAGTTAATGTTTTTTAAGTTGGAGGATTGTTTTACTGAAAGTTCTAGGTATAAGCCATATTTCTGATGTATCTGTTCTAATCTAAATAAAAATAATTGGAAAGCAGAGTCGGCTTAAGGGGGGGAGGGGGACGCCCCCTGGAAAATTGGGGGACATTACCCTCCCTCAAAATGAAGATTTGTTTTATACAAATCCAAATATTGCATTTTCCACCGTCCACCCCCAGCTGGTCAGTGGTCAGTGGTCTGGTTTTGACTTTTGACATAATAACAAAATTCACCGTAAAAATTTCAGTGGGGGATTTTTTATTGAATTATTCACCCGTTCTTCCCCTACTGAAAAATATTGTAATCCGCCCCTGTTGATAAAGTTAAATTTACCTATACTATTATAAAGCTCTTCGCTCATGTATTTGTATATATGATTGTAAATATATTTATATGTTAGCTATAGCTGACTAAACGGCTTGACCAAATTGGCTAAAATATTTGGGTGGGGGTAACATAGGCTAAAAATTAGAGTTTTTTTTAAGATGACAATTTTTTTCCCTCCACTTTTTAATTTCACGGGAAACGCCGGGCACTTCAGCTATTGATGAATAATCTTGTTGTGGATTTATATTCCTGAAGTGTGGTTGAGAGAATGTGATGGATATAAATGTTCCGCCAGGATTCAATATTCGTTTTATTTCCTTCAGAACTCGTCCAACTGCGCAATTTTTCCTGTCAATTATCTTCCAGAGTTGGATTTGGTTGGAATCAGTTTTCTCCGGTTTGGGATGATTTTAAAATTTAAATTTTTAAAAAATTAATAAAACTTTATTTTTCTATTTTCTTTTGAAGAGAATTAGGAGACTTCTCAGGAAATACATTAAACTAACTATTCATATCAAAGAAAAATCTTCTAAACTTGTGTTCATCTTTATTGAAAACGGAATATGAACACTTCATTCAAAAACGTTAAAATGATAAAATACCGTTGAAATGATATAATAAACAGAAACCGGTTTTTGTCAGAAATATGTTACAAGGCTTGATAAAAAAAAGTTTTTAACCCTGATCACAAACAATATATAAGATCTGAAAAAATAAACAAATGCTGATTAATGAATATATGAGATAATAACAAGTTGAAAACTAACAGGAAAGATTTCTGCCTAGTTTGTGCTGCTTAGAGTCTAGATCCCAGGGAGATTCAGCAGTTACTAGAAGAGAATCTAGGGTGCACTGAAATATAAAAAAGATTAGCAAATAATCCAGGGTGCACCGAATTACAGATATTGATAAGCTGTTGAATGTGGATCTAAGATGCACATTGCACATTAAAAAAACTTTAAAATTAATTTTAAAAAATGTTTACAATAGTCTCCTTTTTTAATATACCTTCTCTACCACGATATCAAAGGCTTTGTCCTTAAAAGACATGATGGACATATCCATTAGAACATAGTTGGAATCCCTCTCTCTTCTTCTTAGCTTTTGTAATCCCGTCAGGCTGATATCGATATTTGTTATGTTCTCCCAGCCTGAAAAAAATACCATAATCTCAAATGGGTACTAATACTATAACCTTATATTTTTTTTACAAATCACACATAAAAGTATTTATTCCAGACATGAAGCAAATAATAGGATTTTATTTTCATGAAAAAAGGAGTTTAATTTAGGTGTATATAATTTGATATCGACAGCTCAAAGTCTAATAAAGAATTAAATCAATACCTTCGTTCCGTAAATCCGTGGAAAATGAAGAATTGCCACATCCTAGGGGAAAAAATTATCACGTAAAATAATTTACAATTGTAAAGCGATTCAAGTTTAATTTCTAGTAACCCTCCATGCAAAGATGGCATTGTCTGATCGACAACGTAAACCTTGACAACTTTATCTGATCAACATTGAAGAAGATATTGTCGTTTTTCCACAGTTGAAGATAATCATTTTCTAATTTAAAATCATTAAAATCCATACTTAATCAGACAAAGCTTTTAAAGGTACCTTTAGGAATCGGGCATTGTCATCCTTGCATAAAGGATCACTATAAATTACTCTTCCCTTAAAAGCTTTATTTAATTTACCTAACTGTAGAATAGAATCTGATTGTTGATGTTTGGAGAGGTATTTTTGTAGAATAGATTTATAACACTGGAATCCACCCAACCATTCATACTCCTCCTCACTAAACAAATTCGCTTTATACTTTGCTAGTCAGTTTGTGTTTGTTTGTTTGTATCCAATAAACGTCAAAACGGGTGATCCGATTCGGGGTCAAATTTTGTGTGGGACCTCATGTGACCCCAGGGAATGTTTATGGAGGATGTAATTTTTAATAAATTAGCCTCCAACAAAATTAAATTTTTAATAAATCAAATAAAAATCCACAAAATATTTTTATAAAATCCGCGAACTTAGTTTTTGGTGTGCTTTACAATGTGTACAAAGAGAAAATATTCACAATAGAGTCCCCCTGACAGTAATTTTTATTTCATACAGTACAGAGCGTCCCATATCATATTGGATTATTTCCAAGCTTTAACGCCCAAATACGCATATAATACCCGGAAAACCTATTATTCCGTTACATATTATTCTTTGATGAATTAAGATTGAAAACACATAAAACTTCAATCCAACTTGAAATTTACTTTAGTTTACCGTGAATTGTATGAACCTGTATTTGTTTTATCATATCTGTCTGAACCAGGGAGAACACTAATGAGTTCAAATCTGGGTTGTCCATCAAAACTTGGCACACTAAAGCTCATGCAGGGATGCACAAAAACCGGTTCTATTTTTACCAAAACTTCCGCTAAATTATTGCAAATTAACGATGCTGGGCCTTGGATTTAATTACCCGTTCCTTTTTCGGCTTTCATGGATATACAGTGGACAGTAGAGGATACAAAAAATGGCCTGAAAAAAATGTACTTAATAATTTCATACAGATTTTGTTTTTAAATTCGTGAGCTTTTTAAAGATATCAACTTTTTATTTAGAAGATCTATAATCATCTTTTTTAAGTTATCAACTTTTTAAATATATCAACTTTTTTAAAGATATCAACTTTTTAAACATACCAACTTTTAGAAGATATCAACTTTTTGAAGATATTAGCAATTTGAAGATATCAGCTTTTTGAAGATATCAGTTTTGGGTATAAAGGAATTGAGTCCTTGCCACAAACTCTGATTCTATAATTCCTATATCTTTAGAACCAAATGTCGTAAATCTTTGATATTTCAAACTTATATTATTTGATCTAACAAGTATTTATTTAGTATTATTTAGGGTTAGATTAGGTTAAGACACTTTCTTGGCCGAGCGCTGCGGCTAGGATGGGTTAGGGGGCCGAGCGCTGCGGCCACGGGTTAGGTTGAGTTGAGACACTTTCTGTAAGATCCATGTACAAAATTGATAGGAGGAGGGGGGGCCTGGGGGGGTTCAAAAATCGGTTTCTAGGAATATACCTATTATTTAATATGAAAATTTGAACATACGGAGGTGGGGCTTGCAAGTCCTTAGTTCAGACAAACTTCAAAATATTACGATTCATATAATATTAAAAAATATGAAAATAACCCCATCAAGTTCAACCATGAAATTAAAAAAATAGTCATTACCTGATATATCTTTTTTCCCAGTATTCAGGTTTACTGTAATCTTCATTTCTAGGTAGATTCATCGCTAGATATTAATTAATAGCGCCGATCTAAGACGGATAGCCGGAAACCCGTTTCTTTTTAACAAATTCAGGTTTCCAAAAACAGTAATATTTATCTCTATATTCGATACATTAGGCCTCTTCTCAAAGCATGTTAAAAACATTTAAGTTATAACTTGGGTTTTGGGTTTAATTTTCTATTTGTTCGATGAAAACATAAATACTCGGGTTGTAGTGTGAATGAACGGATACATATTTGGTTTGGATAAGAGTAGAGGAGTTTCTCGTCAAAGACGACATTTTTATTAGTTGCAGAAGCTCTTTTGATATTTATAGTAATATCTAATAATGTACAGGGTGTCCCAATAAACATGGGAATTCAGCGACGAATTCGATATCGTCTTTTCAAATAATTCTTTGATTTAGTATAGTGATGACTACTGAGAAAGCTGTAATCTGTAAGAATTTCGTCTGCTATGATATGGGACGAAACACGAAACATGTGCGCAGTTGATGAATAGTTTAGAATGTCTTTTTCCATTATTTGTTCTGTTGTTAGATACCTAAGATCAATAAAAATATTATAAGGAGTCATGTTAAATTAAAATTGATTTCAAAGTAAAATATAATTAAGCAAAAGATTTGCTTAACTAAAAATAACTATTTATCAAATGTCATGTTTCGTGATACATCCTGTATGTTCACATTTTGTTCGTTTATGTTTTGACTGCATACGGTTGTACTTAAAGTAAAACAAGAAAATTAACAGTATACAAACAGAGTAAACTGGTCCGTCTTCAATGTTCATCTTGCGGAGACACATCTTTGCAGTCTTTTACCCTTTTCATTAAATAATCTCTAGCAGACATAATACTATTATGGCTTTTGAAATTAGGTATTACAATGCTAATTCATAACAAAGACGATATCGAATTCGTCATTGAATTCCCATGTTTTTTGGGACACCCTGTACAATGGAAACTATGAAAGACATTTTTTTCTTGTTATTCAAATACATCTTTTTATAGCTTATAGAGAACGAAGATATATATATAAAATATATTTTAAAATGGCAAAATATATACGCAAGGGGGGCAGTGCCCCTACCTAGAACTGTAAAGGGGGCAGTACCCCCCCCCCCCTTCCTTGCCACAAACTCTGATTCTATAATTCCTATATCTTTAGAACCAAATGTCGTAAATCTTTGATATTTCAAACTTATATTATTTGATCTAACAGAATTCATAGTTTGAAATATCTAAGGTCTACGACATTGGAATCTAAAGATAAAGGATTTAGAAAAGCAGAGTTTGTGACAAAGAAGCAATTCCTTTTATGTTAAAATTTCCACTCTTTAAAGAGATATCAACTTTTTAAAGATATCAATTTTTTCAAATATCAATTTTTTTAAGATATCACAGCTTTTTGAAAATTTAAATTTTCTAAACTTTTAAAAATATCAACATTTTTAAGTGTTACATCGTAAAGTTTTAACTTTTTGAAGATCTAACATTATGCATTTCTCTTCTCCCACGAAACATGACAGTTGGTGAAAAGTTTAAAATATCTTCTACCAAAGTTTGTTAGGTTAAGTTAAAAATAAAAATTAAAATTAAAATATAAAAATTTTCATGGCAGCCGCCCATATTACAGTAAAATTGATTTAAAAATAAAATATATTTGATTAAAAGATTTTTAATTTAAATAAACTGCAAAAAGTCTATAATATCTAATACAGTATAATATGGAAGAAGACATTCAAAACTATTCAAAAACTGTCATGTTTCGTGGGACACTCTGTATCTGATGTAATAAATTCATGAACTCTTTGAAACTATGAAACTTAAGTCTTGGTAAATTCTATATTATCACCACCATAGAAAATTAAGGATCTATTAAAAAATGTTTAATATAAACTAAAAATTCTGTAATATGTATTTTCCGATTACAACTGAATACATTTCAAGTCAAGGTTAAATGCCTTTTTCTCAAAACAAACCTATATATTATCAAAAATGAAGCGTGCAGTAAAATACTTAATATGGTAAATTATAGACTAAGCAGTAAGCAATGATCATTCCCCTATTCCCAAAGAAAATAATGTGAACAAAAATTACAATTTCCTGTATATGCTCATTAACTAAATAATGAATTAGTTGGAACAAAGATTGTAAAAAATAATTGTCAACAGTGTATGAAGTGTATGCCCAGCCCAGGCCTGGTTTTTCTGCCCTCCACAAGAATTCCAAACAGACGACATTGTTTGGATATTAAAATATTAGAAATATGTTTCAATGTGATTTTAGATGTAACAAGGACATTTCTATTCCTTTCATTAAAGGCGATTATAAGTTTGTCATTCATATTTACAGGGACTTCTTATAGTTCTACAATGGTACATACAGGGTTATCCCCAAAGAATGAGACATCAGATCGAAATTTTTTACATCAATGGTTTCCTGTACCTTCAAACTTATTGTTTTCTTTTCAAAATTATTAAATATAATAATAAAAGACTTCACACGTTAGAATTAGCTAGTTTCGGGTCGTCTTTAAAGTCTTATTCTTTGTGGTTCCCCCTGTACATCCGAGTGGGGGGTATACTCTACATACACCTAGAGCAGTGTAGTCTAGAGTTCAAGACTAGCTCCAAGGAATTGGTTGAAATTAGAGGGTTTACCATAAAGTATTTAGACCTACATTTTCTGCCAACTATCTAATTTAACCCTATAGGACTGCAGGCTCAAATAGGCAAATTTTACAATTCCCCAATTATGTGTTTATTTTTTTGAGTTTGTTGAATCATATGTGTAGCTGCTAAGCAAGGTTTTTATGTATTACTAAGAACTGAACAAAAAAGGGTTCGATTATAGAATGTACGCAAATTTTTCACGAAAACTTTGCAGAGCGGGTTGTTATAGTTTACTTAATTATCCCAAGATACGTAAAGTGACTTAACATCCCTTTGTTGGGGGAATCATATGGTCGGTAATGTTGGTCAGAGGGCGGTAAAAATTCATTATATCATGCATGTACAGAAAGTTTTTATTCTCGTTATTGAACTACTCTAAACCCCAATGTGAGCTAAACCAGGAGAATTGGAAAGAATTTGCAAAATCCCACACAAGCAAACATTGTCTTTCTTATTCAACCTCGAGCTGATTTATTGAGATTGCTGTATTCACTGTTTTAATAAAATGGAAACCCATTAAACATTAGAACCCTTCTCTTTAGGTCCTTCCTGAACAGTGCACATAATTGAAAGATCAAAGTGTAAATCTAATAAAATTCAAGATTGAAAATATTTAAGTACATACAGCGATAACCAGAAAACTCTGGAATATAAAGTCGACTTTTAGACTCAAGTTTGACTTTAAATAGTGTGCATAACATGATGCATGCAGCAATTGTGCAGTGTAAACAGACCCATTTCTCTTAAAAAGTGATTTAATAACATCAAATGCACTTCAGTATTGCTTTAATGTCGTCTTCCTTTTTCTACAGTTTCCTGATTAGCATTGTAATTGTATAACAAGTGTACATTTGGTATTAATTACATAATGCATATATTGCATCTATATGTAAAATAGTTAAATTTCTGTTTTTCTATCTGTTTGTTTGTATGTCCGATCATAACTCATGAACCCCTAAACCGATTTGCCCCAAACTTTTATTAGGGAACTCGATAGAACCGCAGTAACGTTCTTAGTTTGGTCTGAAAATTCTAATTTGAGTGGGTTGACTTTTATAACGAAAGCTTAGCTTCCAAGCAAAAATGGGTTCCTAGGCTATTATTAGATTTGTACAAACAGTCTATACAGTGCATTTAAAACTAATTACACTGCTACAGTTCAGTCAATATAGAAGATAAAGTGCATTCAGTACACAAAATATGTGCATTTTACTCCACGTTAAACTAAAGTGAATACGTGATAAATTTTGTTTAATGTTTTCATTCAGAGCATCTCTGATTGAAGAATTAATGAGAAGAAAGAAAAAAACGTAAAAAAGGAATTAACTTCTCTTTTTTTGTAACCTCACGGTGTAAACCGATAATATTAAAAACTTAAATTATTTCACCCAAACGAATCGAATTCAAAGTTCAAAATATCTAAGGTCTACAACATTGTGTTCCAAAGAAATAGGGATTAGAAAATCAGAGTTTGTGGCAAAGACTCAATTCCTTTCCGATATGTAACCGCGATAATCATGCGTAAAATGAAAAAAGAAGACATGAGGAGGTTACAACGTCTTATCAATAATGCCGCGTATGTTTAACGCTCTCCTGCTGCTTAGTTTGCCGTGATATCAAACTGAAACACTGCTAATGTAGTAAATTAAATAAATCATTTAAAAACATCTGATACAAAGGTAAAACCACCCACACCAGAACACATGGTGCGTTAAACAGAATAAAACCGTGCTTTTTGCCGAGCTGAGATTATATCTGAAAATTAATTATTATTTAAAGGGTTATTAGCGAATTTAAAATGTTGGGTCTGGGTGTCGGGAGTGATTATTTGGGCGGGAAAATGGGGTTAGTATTATTAAAAAAGAAATAAGGAAGTCATATTTTTAAACTAATAATTAAGTTAATTGCTTGTAATAATGCTAAAAAATAATTCATGATTCGTTAATTCATTTAATTTGTAGTAGCCCAGAACATTAAAAGTTTATTTTTGATTTCAATTATCAAAATTATTTTTACATAAAAATTAATAAATATTTTTAGAAATACACTTTATTACTTACACAACACATTTTGATTCATAATTAGACACTCCATGTAATCTATAATATTTAATATATAATATATAAGCAATGAGATGGCAAAATAATCCACTTTACTTATCAGATTTATATAATATATATAGTTTATATATATTTATATATATATATTGCTTGTCTGTTTGTTTGTTTGCTATAAATTTAAAAATGGTTGAACCAATGTTGCCCACATTTTTTGTGAACCTCTTATGACCCGAGAAAAGGTTTGCAGCTGGTCGAATTTAAATTTTTATACAGCTAACTTATAAACCTATGAAAATAGGAAATGTATGACGTCTATAGGAAAAGGGCGCCAAGGTAAATAAACATTTGAAAGCAAACAAATAGTATAAAATAGTATAAAATTGTATAAAATTGTATAAAATTGTATAAAATTGTATAAAATTGTATAAAATTGCATAAAATTGTATAAAATTGTATAAAATTGTAAAAAATTGAATAAAATTGCATAAAATTGTATAAAATTGT